ATTAACAAATATAAATATTCATCTTCAACTACATAATTGTTTGGAATATTGCGTGACATTTATCATAAACCATATTGCTACTTTTATTTAACTAGTTTTATTGAATTTTTAATTATATTTGTGTAGGCTAATCAGTGGCTATCAAAATTAATTTTGAAAAGAATATTCAAAACAAAAAAATAAAATTGAAAAACAACGAAAAATATTTCAATAATAATAACCATAGAATATGGATTTATGTTTCATTAATTACATTTTTATAAAAAAATAATTGTACAATATAGTTAATAGAGTAACTTTTATTTTTGTGGTATTAAAAATTGGTTTATCAATGTAATACGATTTCAAATTATTTTTTGAGGAAATAGAAGTAATATTGCAACGGTTGTATAAGAAAATTTTTTATACATATTTTATTTTTAATGTATATTTAATATATATTTAATTATATATTTATATAACCTTAAATATAATAGGATAAATTATGAAAAATTAAAATAACTAAAAAATACAAATTCCTATGAAAAATAATAACGAATAAATAGTTACATAGAATACTAGAATAAATTTTTATTTCATCCATTAATTACTAATTTTTTATAGACATTGATTTCCTTAAAATTACTTGTATTATTATAAATTCACTTATTACAGGTTTGCAATGTATAAGTATATTTTCTTTTGTTAAATGAATATAAAAAATTAATTTTATATGAAATTAAGAAACTTACATAATGAAAATAGTAAATTACTATGCAAATACACATCATTAAACACAATTCTTAATGTAGAGAAGAAATTATACAATTGCTGATTTAATAATCTTATGAAGCCTTTACAAATAGCTAGACAATTTTTAATGCTTCATAATTAAACATGAATGATAAATCACAATCTTGTCAAATATTCAAATATCTTGAATTATAGTTTTATTAAAATAGAATGAACCGTTCCCTTTATGTAAATATAAGACGTTAACTTGTTACTTCGACCAATATTATTTTGGAATCTAAACCCGAATCTGAAACTTATAATTTTTTAAAAGTTTTAAAATTTGCTTTACATTGAACATCAAACATCAAATCTTCGATTCAGCAATTGAAGAGTAAATTACTTCTTACTCAAGAAAATCCTACCATTAAAACAATGAAGGTTAAAATTAAAATAGCTCAAATGAATTTTCCTGGATAACATTACATCACATCAACTATACTCAACGGGGTTATAAGAAAGTTTATCACCATTAAAATTACATTATTTAATTATTGCTAATTTACCGATACAAATGGAAAAGTGTTCATTTTAAAAATAAAGAATAATAAAGTGAGAGCCATTTTTTAGATAATACGTGTTACTAATTTAGTAAACAAATTCAGTTGATTGATTTTTATAAATCCTTTTTACTATTGCAGATAAAACTTAATCATAAATAAAAATCTTATAACATATATATATATATATATATATATATATATATATATATCTTTTTTTTAAATATTTTGTTTAACGTACGTATAATTTTATTTAAACAATTATTATCGACTTTTAGGACTTTAATTCTTTGACTATAAATTATTACAATAAATTATTTCTTAATCTTTTAAGGGCTACGAAATCACGATTATTAAATTATTATATTAATTAAAATGAATTATATTAAGCATATTTCTTAATGTTATACAAAAAGACGTAAATGAAATTTGTCATATTATATCAAAATTAAATTAATTTAAGAAAATCGCTAAAATGCATGTAATTTATATTAAAATTTATTATAATACATTGAAATTTTTATGAATATATCTATTTAGAATAAGTCTTATTTATATAATTCAATAAAATTTTATTTTCATTCAAATTTATAGATTAATGTTAATTAATAATTTTTAAATGCGTACAAATTATTTCGTTTTACTATTGTGAACATTCAACGCTTTTGTATCTCAATATATATAAATTATAAAAATGTAGAAGTATATATATAACTAAAATTTTATATAAAATATTTCACAATTAACATATAAATATCATTCTAGTTATATATAGTTAATATAATTTGTAATATATTTTGTGCAATCAGTGTTGTGCGTGTGTGTGTGTGTGTGCGCGCGCGCTCGAGCGTGCGTGTTTGTGAAAATATATTTGAAAATTTAATTACTATATATATTACTATATAGTTATTATTATTATAAAATATAGTTATTATAAAATCATATTAAAACGTATAGTTATTATAAAGAAATTAATTTCATATATTTCACATAAATTGAATACTTTGTAGAAAGAAATATGTGGTAATATTAATTAAAGTAATTCATATGATAGCAAAGTGATGTTGTAGAAACTATTCTTGACATTGTCAATTTTTTACCAAAGATAATAAATGCATTATCAAGTAGTTAATAATAACTACTTATACACACACAAGCAAATAGATATAGTTTTCTTTCGCCTAAATACATATTAAGTATAATTTATATATATAATATTACTGTTTTACTCAATTCATTCATTTTGCCATATTTCATGATGTCCTTTTAATCTAGAAGTTTATTAAGTATGTCCTGAACTTAAAAAATAAAAAGAAAAAATAAAGACACATTAATTTATAAAATAATAAAATATAAATGTTTAATGAATTATTTATGATTTATATCTATTATTTAATAGTAAAACATAATACTAAAACATAATATTAAATTTCTTATTACTAAAAACAACGGTAAATATATTTGAATTATAAATTTATTGAACAATTGAATCTGTACATATTACTGTATGAACTTTTTAATATTAATTATAATATTGAACTTCAACATTATAATTAATTTTAATATTCAAAAATAATGAAATTTCAAAGTGACCAAAATAAGCTGGCAGGATTTTTATCTTCTTTGAAGCTAAATGTTCTATATCAAACATAATAAAATTCGATTTCCCTTATCTATCGGAAAATTTATTTATTGCAGCCGTATTATATGAGTGGAAGATAATATTTAGTAATTGAACAGTGTTGGTATTTAAAAGATTCGATAAGTTGAAAACTTAAATGTCACTCTGTTGTAAACTGCAGACGAGTTACTACTTTGGTTTATTATTGTGGATACGTTGTCTTTCATATATATCAGCAAGGAAGAAATAATTTAGAAAAGCATTCCCTTACATTTTCATAGAAAATTTTGCCACTCAGTTATGGAATTCAAATAGAAACAATAAAATCCATAAATAATTAGAATAATTGGAATAATTTTAAATTTTAAGAAGAATATTATGAATTTCATATTGTTGGATGGTTTTATTTTTATCACGAGAAAGGTAAAATCTATACTATTCAAATTAAAAGTATTGAATTTCAGTGTACAATATTATGTTATATATTATAATATTATATGATTAAAATAATGCAATTTAAAAATATGAATATGAAGATGGTACAATATAAGTAGAACATATATCTATTTTTTTTTATTGTTTCTTTATATTCGATAATTTATTTGTATGTACATCACTTTAATTTGGTATTTAAAAAGCAACACAAACTTTTAAACTATTAAATTTAATATTGCTATTATCTTTTTAATAAAATGCTGTCAATTCCTAATGATGTCGGAATAAACGGAATCAATTAAATTAATTTTAATGTCACACTTTAAAAAAACAATGAAACATAGTTTTCATTACTTATAAAGATAGAAAATAAATTTATAAGTACTTTGTAAGATCCTTAGCTGTATAGTTAAACAATTGTATAGTCATCCTTTTATAGTCATCCATATATACCTTATTATATTATTTATATATTATTGATTAATCTTTATTTATAAAATATTGATAATATTCCAAATAGGTTACTAATAAGATAATTTTGAATTATTTATTTATATTATTTAGTTTATATATTATTTAGTTTTTTTTATTATTGAAATTATGTATATAAAAGATAAATAGTAGAAAAAATCTATCCAATAAGTATACTAATTTTTAATAAAAAAAAATAAGACTAATTTATGTAAAAGAAATTACAACAAAATTTACTTTTTCCATAAATACAATTTTATAAATCCTTTATTAACCCAGAATTTAGATTACTTTTAATATTACTCTTACAGACATAATTTTACTAATAGCTATGAAAATCCTTCCGAAACTAGTCTGACGTAATTGCTTCACGTTGTTCATTCTTGCATAATATACGCCTTGTCAATTTTATCAATTTTTTCTTATATAAAATCTACTTTGCATCTTTATACAATATTAAGTATTACTAAGGGTTACATCATTTTTATATTTATTTAAATTAGATGTCTTTTTACTGTTTTTTTGATTTTTGAATTTTTAACATACTATAACAAACAATATTTATTACCTTTTTATTTCATACTTTACTGACTTTGTTTAAACATAATTGTTTCTTTTAAATACGAATCGAATAATTTAAGTATTTACTGAAAAAAACCACTAGACAAAAAAAAATGGCAGATAAATATTATAGTAAATTTCTATTATTATTCTGGGATTCGGGAAATATGATCAAATTATATAGAAATAAATAATGATAAATTACTGTAAATTTGTCTTAATCACGGGATCATCCTTAATTTTAGCAATTCTAATTTTTCCAACGAATATTCAAAATTATCATAACTTTGGAAACAATAGACAAATTATAAATAAAAATTTTCATATATAAAACGGATTGTGAGTAATAACTGTAAAAATCGATATTGTACGAAACAATTCACGTGAAAAAATTTATAAAAAGAATATAATTAAATCTGTGAATTATGAATTAGATATTATTCATATCTTATTAAATTATTATTGATTGTACGATGTAATTATTATTTTAACACTATTACGATAAAAAATATTAACAAATTTTATATGCTTAGGTATATTTTTATAAATTTATTCAATTGATTTTAGAGTAAATCATATTTATGCCATATATTGTATAATTTAAAGTGAGGAAAATATAATCTATAGGTAAATTATTTCAGACACAATGTTAAGCGTAATGAATCAATTACCTTCCATCAAACTGGGTGATTTAACCCTGGAAATCGAACTTGGAGCACCAAGTACCGAAATCCAGGAAGTTGCCATAAAAGAACTTCGTGAATCATCGGAACTTCAAAAACAAGCTGTAGAACATCTCAAAGAACTTCTGAAAAGTACGTATTAAAATAATATTTTAAAATGTAATTTTATAATTAATAAATGTTAATATAGATTTAATTTATTTACAAAAATAGCTAGAAAATGTATATAGTAAATTAGTTCGTAAATATATTTTTTTACACGTATACATTTACTCATAAGTCAATAGTAAATAGCAAATTCTAAAGTTTAACTTATATTTTTCCTTAAAACTGAAATATTATATATTTCCTATATATAAAAAACAACAATGAGTATTATAAAAAATTCTAAACATATTATATTCAGTAATTATTGTATATTTTAAAAGCACTTTGTGTTAGAAAGTAAAAAAAGCAGATAAAACAATAATGATAAGCTGAATATAAAAGATAAAAGAAATGGCATTTTTAAACGCAAATTAAATATAAAAGTATACGGAACTTTCCGTGACATTTTCTATATCTAACCTAACCTAGATCTAAAATATCGATTGAATTGAAAAATTATAAGTTATAAATTATATGAATAAGTTATATTTCTTAAGTTTAATATATATTCATAAAAATATCGGAATTTGAAGATAAGTAATGAGATTAAATTAGTATTTCGATATATTGAAAATAAAACTATATATATATATATATATATATATTGTACATGACGAATTTCAAAACAGATAAATTAAAAATTTAATTGAAATTGAAAATTTAATTATAACTGAAAAATTGAAAAACAATTCGCTGTGTACTAAAATAAATATTTACATAATTGCACTTCAATTAATTTGTAATATTTATTAATTCGATGTGGCATTCGATTAAATTACGAATTCTAAGAATATAATATAAAATTATTCGCAGAAAAAGGATATAAAATTAAAAAAAAATTATGTTTCAGATGAACCTGACCTGAAATGCCCCCTAGATAATGAAGCTTGGATAATTCGATTCCTTCGACCGTGCAAATATTATCCTGAATCATCTCAAAAACTTGTTAAAAATTATTATAATTTCAAAGTAAAACACTCAAATGTGTATGATGGTCTTAAACCAAGTAATGAACGAAATATTTTTGAACAAAATATTCTCACAGTCTTACCAAATCGTGATCAATACGGACGACGAATTCTCATAATTGAACTTGGAAAAAAATGGAAACATAATGAAGTCACTCTTGATGAAGTATTTAAGGTATTTGAAAAATATAATTCATATAACGTACGCAATAATTATTTACTTAAATTAATGATAATATATATTTACAATTTCCACCTGTTACACTTATATCCAATTTTATAACATTTTAAATTAATAATGTTTAAATCCTTATTATTGTAAATCCTTGCGTCCAAACATACATTAATATAATATATATATATATATATATATATATATATATATATTCGAATGTTTCAATTCCAAATATATTTAGTATTGTATTACATTTCTTTTGAATAGTTAATATTTATTCAGTTTATATTATACATACAATTTATATAAAATTGTTTTCGATATACTTCAATTCATTGAAACCGTTAACATTTTGACTTCTATTTTATAACGGCTATTTACTCAAAATTTTTAAATATTAGTAAGTATTAAACTAAAATCAAGCAGTGCAAATATGATATATACCATATAATCTTTTCAATTTTTTATTAAGTCTTGTTTAATACTTAAAAAAATAGGAAATTATTAGATTTATTTTTCATTAATTCATATATAACTAACGTTATTAATTTATCATGTAATACAATTTCAATTTTTACATTAAATTTCAAAATGAAGATGTTTTGAAATGAAGAATAAATTTAAAAATAAAAATAAAAAAAAATATATATATATATATATATATTTTAATTGTTTTTCTACTTCTGATAATTTTATATTCTTTTATATTTTTATTTTTATTTTGAAAATAACTTATGTATTTCCATATATAAAAATATTTCTATCTCAAATTCCAATAAATTATTACCTTAAATATTTTAATTATGAATAATAATAATGACCAAGCATAAATAATTATCAAAGTGCATATTTTGTTCAAATAGAAGATAATCATTATTACTTTAGAGATTTTCTATTAATTATTATTATATGAAAATTAAACAATTCAAAATTTTTTTACATTAAACTTATAAAAAATCTATCCAAATTTATCTATCTAAACTTATATAAAATTATCCAAACCTATTTATTCTGAAATTTTCGAAAAAATTAAAAATTTATTATAAAATCGTATTGATGATTGTTAAACTATTTTATGTCCTCCTATCCTAATATATTAAAACCGACAAACATTATATATCTCCCATATATACGAGAACATTAATAAATTAGATTTTCATGAAATATTCATAGCTTGAAAGAGCGTAGTTTAAATATTATTTAAACCATTATATTTTTGTAATTAAGACGCTATCGGTGAGCTAACACTATGGATATTAGAAAACTCATACATCAATCAATTTTAATAGCAAATACGAATTTGTATCTATATATTTTATAAAAAATTTACTTTTGAAAACACTAATTTCTCTTTTTAACTAAAAAAATCTTTTTCCTTTATATTATATAAAATTATTATTAATCACATATAATGTTAATTGCAATTCCATACTCAATATATGCATATGAAAAATTCATGAATAAAATAAAATATTACATAAAATTAAATTTTGTAAATTGATATAGTAAATGAATAAAAAAAAAATGATTAATTAGAATTTATTTTAACTGTGAGTTCTGATACTATACACTGATAGATTAAGAATGTAAATACCGCGTGTATAAATACATTAACATCCATAATGAGTATTTTCGAATTCAAATTATTTCCACGAATCATGCTCGTAATGTAGGGTCTACTATTGCCTTTTCATCGCTAATCTAATGAATTTGTGTGCCGTGTGTGCGCGCGCGCGCGCACACGCTAGTTCACATAAGCGTGTGCGTATTTATTATGTTTTATTATCTCGTTATATATTATTACAATAATCATTAACTTTAATTTATTACATTTTTATTGAAAATTTATGCGATGAAATATAATAGTATAATATAATGTTAACACATATTAAACGATAAAAAATCTATTCTCTTCTCTTGCCCTTAATGAATACTACACTAGAAGAGGCTCTTTTTAAATATGTGTTAAATAATTATGGATTAAGAATGTCTAACAATAATGATATGTTTTTTTAAAAATATGATTCTTCTTAATAATTAACAATAAGTAACAAGTACATCATTATATTTTTAATTAAAGGAAGTTTTCTCCTGATTGAATTTGATTTAAAATCACATATAACTAACATTGAAACTTTCATTTATAATAAAAATCATATTATAAGTACATGAAATCAATAAATAAGTATAAAATGTTATTGGCCATTATCATTTTACCTTATACGCAATCCTTTTAATACAGAAATGTACTATTGAAAAAAATCCACATTAAATAGTAGTTGGTGATAATATTCTTTATTATATTACGATATGTAATATAAACTGTAGTTATCAGTAAGTTTAACTAATTTTAAAATGCTTATTTTTATTTTTATTTTTATAAAATAATTATCAATTATTTTAAGTTTAATTTTATTGTTTCATATTCATTAAAATGAATGTAAAATCGCGCGGTACTTTTTATATATTAATATAATATAATAATTTCTTAATAGATTTATTCAATAAAAGTATTGCAATACCTAAGAAAAACTACGAATATAATCATGTTCTTATATTTATTACTTAAATATATGCAAATGATATCATAATATTTAATTTTTAAATTTCTAATTAGTCTATCACAAATGACTGGGTACATGCAAATGAATCTTCTTAGTGTTCTTGAATGAAAAATACTTAAATAAAAAGCCAAATATATCAGCTTTTGAAGAATTATTTGAAATTAGTTTCAAAATTTTATTTCTAATAGCGAAGTAATTATGAAATCTTAACAATTGGTATTTAAAAATATATATTTTTTTTAATTGACCAAATAAATTTAGAAAAAAATTAAAAATGAATATTTAATTATCTACATTGCCCCAATCGATGACCTCTAGAAGGACAGATGTCTCGTGTCGATTTATCTTTTCCAATGAATGTCTAAAAATCCTGTAATATCTTATAACTCGTTCTTACAGTTGGCCTGAAAAACAAAAAAAAAAAACAAAAAAAAAACAAAAAAAAACAAAAAAAACATAGATTCTTAAAGAAATATTCTGCCTGACAATAATGATTTTTAATAGTGAAATTGTTGTTTATAATTAAAAATAGAGCTATTAATATTCTTTGACTGTTAGGATAATGCGATGTTCATAACGAAAGCATAGCGGGGGATCTGATGTGGCTCAATCAAACTTATCAAACAAAGCAAGAACATGTTCGTGAAGCGCGGTATCCCTGTCTTCTCTGGGTTTTTCCACATATCTGGCCGTTTCAAAAAGTAAAGTGCTTTGATTTTCTTGTGACATTTCTACGTTGGCTCAAAATATAGTCATTATCTTATTTCTCTCTCTCGCTCTCTCACTCTCTCTCTCTCTCATTTACTCTTACGTCCTTGTTTTCTTATTCTCTTTCTCTTTGGCGCGTCGCTGCGCCTCTTATTCGCCACATGATCAAACTCAAGACGTCTCACTCTCGCAGTATCTGCTTCTCTATGTCGTCGTTACGTCATTGCGCCTTTAACACACTTCGCAAATAAATACCTCATTGATTGCATAAAATCATATGTTACAGTATTATGCGATATCTCGAAAGAAATCTACCATAGGCAATGCTTAGTCATCATGACGTATATGATTAAATTTTTCTTTAATATTACCACGATTCGTTAGATACTTATTGAATATTTATTACATTGTATAAATTAATACAATATATATTTAATTTATTTACTAATTTTTTAATATAATAGTAATTGTTTATAAACTATACAATAGATCCGCCGTGTATTTTAATGTCACATGAAAAGTATTCTGTACGATAAGAAAATTACGGAATTAATTATTATTAAATAACATAATTTCTAATAATTTAATAATATTATAATCAAATAGATAGTATCTGATAAGAAAATTCAATGATAAGTTTCTTAAAACATTAGTTCTTTGACTGATTAACTCATTCAATGGATGATTAAACCACTAATTGGGAAACATACTGAATCAATTATTTGATGAACTAAAATAAATTTATTAGATCGCAAATAATATCAAGTTATGCCTAATTTCCAAAACAAAAAATGAATGTTTCATTATTTTATGAATAATTATTAAGAGTTCATAATAATATCATTGTCTTTCATAATAATATCATTTCATATCAGTTCATAATAATATCATTGTCTTATATAAGAATTATTAGTTTATTAACGAAGAAGAATTTTAATTTATCCAACGTTATTATTAATTCTAAACATTTTTTATATAAGCAATATTTGTTTTTCTTATTACTTAAAACTTTTAATTCGTTAAGTTTTTCAATTTTGTCATTGCGTTTAATTACATTATAATAGGCTGCGAATGTATGAGTTACGTATGCAATCGTAATAACTATATGTTTTTTGTAATATTTAGGATTTTGTTTTTCAAAATTCCACATTTAATTTCGGTAATGTGAGGTTGATTTTCTTATTCCGTTTTGAGCAATTTATTTAATATTGGAATATTATCTATTTAATAATTTATATTTAATAATTTTAACTATATATAATTATTTAATACTATTTATAAATATTTTAAACAATTTTTGTTACTTGTACCCAGTGTTTTCAAATAAATTTTGGCATTTTTTATCATAAATTATTATGATATTAATACTATTTTTATACAGTTGATCAATAATGACGTTTAATTGAACTATCAAAACTTTTGAGCTTATAAAATAAATTAGATATGTATTTTTATTGAATACTAATTGAATAATTTAAATAATTTAGTTTATTATAAATTATTTTCTTATCCTCATATTTATGTACATTCAATAGTTTTTAGAATTTTTTTCTACTTAAAATTGTTAACCCACGTACATTCTTTTTAATCATTTTATTCCAGTACATTTTTCTATTAGATTTATTATTATTTTTGCTTTAATATACTATGAACATAATTCATATTCATTGTCGAGACTATTTTTTTTTTTTGTTTTTTTAGAAAATTTAAATATCATTTAATATAATTACTTGTCTTAAATTCTGAAATCTTAAAATCAATTTTGACCTAAATTCTAAAATATTTCCCCTCTACGCAATCAGTATACTCGCCCTTCGAAACTCGATTGAAACATTTTAATTCTAGTGACTATTCTTAATATATAGTATTTATATTATATTTTATAAATATATCATAGTTAATATAATGATTTGTGATATAATTCAAAATAACGTATATTTCATACAAAATTTTGATCTACTTAGTGATCCTCATATTCGAAACATTAGAAACTTCAATTATCTAAAAAAATGTTTTTTCTAAGAACTGTTTATAGTGTTTAATATTTATAGCTAATATTATTTATGACTTTATAATTAATGATATAATTGATTATTGTGCCAGCAATAATTATCATATATATGTATGAATATTTATTATATATTTGTTTCTTTCAAAATTCACGAAATTATTTATCTACTACCTTATTTATTAACCAATATGCAGCAATGCGATATGCAGCAATTTTTAAACGAACGTTTCTCCCTACATTATTTATAGAATATTATAAATACAGTATCAGTCATCGATAACAGTAATTCATTAATAACAAAAATATAAGAAAAATCATTCTTATTTTACATAGATAGCTGTGTGTCAACGATCTAAAGTCCATTTTTTAATTTATACTATATTATTACACGTGAACACTGGAGCATTTGAGAGGGCTAAATGGTCTTTAATTACATTTAAACTTTGTTATTTTTTAATTCAATTTATTAATGCTCTACATTTATTTATTCGCTTTTTAACATATATAATATTTCATACATATTTTATAAATAAGAAGGCTTAACTTGTTATTCAAAATCAAGACTTTTTTTGTATTTTTTTTATACTTTTTTTTATATTATTGTTTTTTCTAAGTTAAAATTTGTATTATGTTTGAATAAAAAAACTAGTACTTATATAATTATATACTAATATACTTACATTATAGACAATAAGATTATTAACATTAATCTTGATATATTCGAAATTAATCATATAATAATTTATTGATCTAATAGTTTTTAGTTTTATTTATATTACTTTTTAAATAAGGTAGCTACTTCAGGTAAAATAAAATGTAAATAAATTATATAATTTGCTATACATATAAAATACAAAAATAAGACTTTAATAGGGTGTCATACTTTTGAAAATAAAACTTTAAAATCTTATGTCCATCAAAAACAGTATCGATGCAATGAAAAATAACCTTAACATATTTAATTTTTTATAAATAAAATTTCTTTTACATAACGTTTTTTAGTTCTCTAATTTTAAATTTTTGAATTGTAGTATACATTTTGAAATATTTATATTAAAATATTATTATATTAAGATATATATATATATATATATATATATATAACTCTTCTTAATTATTATCTATATTATTCTCCTTTAACTTTTTATTATTTTATTGATATAACAATGTGTACTATTTTAATATTTACATAGCTTAATGTTAACATTATAATTTGAAAATATTTCTTTCATAGCCTAATATTAATAATATCCAAATTAAAGTTAAATTAATTAAATTAATAAAAAATAGCGACTGCCTTCAGAAACAAGAATGTATCGAATATATTGTATATTAAGAGATATTTTTAGAATATAAATCTTAAAAATATGTATCGATTGAAAATTTCAAATGTAATTTAGGAACTACATTAATTGCATTAGTTTTAGTTCACTTTGAGCAACAATGTAGAATATTTCAGCATTTAATTTCGTTAAAAATAAAAATTTCCGTCATTTATGATCTTAAAACTTAAATTGAATTTGGTTAAATGTATAAAAAAATCAATGGATTGAAAAATTAATTGAATTAAATATATTAAATAGCCAATGTCGTAGTATTTTTAAAACTATCTTCCCCAAGTTCTTATTTATAAAACTAAAATATATAATTGCTTTTTCCAATCACACTCATTTATTCCTTAAAATATGTTATTCAAACAATAATTTCTTATTGATCTAAATTTTATAAATTGAAATTTGGAAATATTTTTTTATGTATAATGTTTAATTTGACTTTGAATAAGTGTCTTTTCAGCTTAAATATTTAAATAAATAAAACTTAAAGATTATAATATACAGTTTGTTACACGTTGCTTTACTAACACGAATTATCATACTTTTAATAATTTATTCGAAATAATGTTTTAAAATCATTTAAAAGCATACAAATAATGAATAATTGTATTATGATGAATTTTATTGAAGGGCTGTGTATTATACCTTGAAGCAGCGATGCTAGAACCCACAACTCAAATTGCCGGAGCAGTAGTTATTTTCGATATGGATGGTTTGTCCCTTCAACAAACAATGCAGTTTACGCCACCTTTTGCCAAGAGGATCGTTGATTGGCTACAGGATGCTATGCCACTTAGAATTAAAAATATACATATTGTTAACCAGCCTTATATATTTAATATGGTTTTCGCGCTATTCAAACCTTTCCTTAGAGAAAAATTAAAGAGCAGAGTAAGTGTAACGACATTGACATCAATTTTTTAATAACTAATCTAATTTTCTTTCATATTTACATTAATTTATATTTATGAAGCATAAAAAATTAAATATATTTTTAAGATAATTTTTCACGGAAAAGATCGCAAATCACTTCATAAATACATCTCAACAAAATGCTTACCAGACTGCTATGGTGGAAATCTAAAAATTCCAAGAGTTAGTGGTAACCAGTGGCTAGATCTTCTGATAATGTGCGACAACGAATATGTTGGTAAATAACTTTTTATTTATCGAATACTGTTTATTTCATTTACTTGTTTTATTTTTGTTTTTTCTTTTGTTTTGTTTTGTTTGTTGTTTTTTTTTTTTTTTTTGTTTTTTGATGATGCTTATTTTTGTTTGATAAAAAGAGTATGTTAAGTAATTAATAATTATCAGTAACTAAAAAATAATGAATATATTATATTAAGGCCTATTATTATATTATTTACTTTATATTTTAGCTATTAATTCGTATGGATATAATAAGAAGTAGAAGTGATGAAACTGCTATATCCAAAATTCATCAAATTTTCAATGCTTTAGGAAATATTCTTAACATGTACATGATATTATTCAAGAATATCTTCCAGACTTCAATATCAAATATTTTAAATATTTTAAATACATAAAAGGAAAAAGTAGATGGTAGTCTAGTGCTTATAATATAGAAAATATTTAATTGTTATTGTTGATACCATAACGGTTTAAATGTAGTGAGATTAATAATTTGCATACGCTATTGAAATTTACATATTGACTGCAACATAATACTTGCAAGATATAATAAATCAAACGAAAATTTAACTTCGCATACGAAATTTAACGATTCAAAATACAATTAATAAAATATATTCATTGGACATAGAATTAAATTGAACAACGTGTGAACCAAGAACAAAATATTATTGTAACTACTGTTATTATGAATTACAGTAGGTTTTTAATTAGTGCAAATATTCTTGTATTATAAATACTTATAAATTATAACTAATTATATGCGCTTATGTGAATTAATTAAGATCAGAATGATAAAGCTGTCCATAAAATGATAAGTAAAAGTATTTTTCTATTATATTTATTAGCTTGTACGATAAAATATGAAGAAGTAATTATATTAAAAATAAGAAATTACTCTTAAGATTTGATACGTTGGTTATTATTACATAGAATTATAATAAAATGTTAAAAAGAAATTGTATTCACTGGTAAAGTGAATTTACATTACGTTTTTACGTAAAGAATTAGAACTGCCACTGATGTTAATTAACATTATGATACTATTGTCAACATTTATAAATCATATATTGTTACTTATCAAAATGATGATATTATGATAAATATAGAAAATCATTGACAACAATTATTTCTTATAATATTTTTTATTATATTTAACCTTGCCTCTTCAAACATATGCACATGAGTACATAATACATTTCAAGTTAATATTCTATTAAATTATTACATGCATAATCGTAATATAAAAAGTGAGATAATAACAAGCTTATGTCAATGATAATAAATTTAAATTAAAGTATTTTTTAAAAATTAAGATAAATTTTTGTATGGATAAATGAAAGAAGTGCCCTTATGCGATGAAAAGACTAATTTCCTGAAAAAACAGTTTAAAATGATTTTTAAAATTTCAATATTTATAAATTACATGATATACTTCTTTTATAAATATATATTTCTATAATTTTAATGCAATTTTATAATTATAAAATGTCTATAATTATTATATAATTATGTATATATTATAAAAATATATTATTATATAACTGGTGTAAAGTATTATAAATCTTATAACTTATAAAGTAATTGAAACAAGTGAATACAATTTTTCTTAAATTATTGTATTCGAAAATATAGTTAGAAAGGTTGAAAGAAAATGCATTATGTCGTCGCTTGTCAGACCTTATACTTCACTTGTAAATTTTTTACTAAATTTCCGAAACATAACCATATCTATTGTAATCTGTAACATATTCGCGTATACATATATATTTATAGTTTCATAAATAATTGTTAACTGCTCTATGTATTTAAATACACCTACCAATAAAATAATCTTCGAAATGGGCTGCATGTTGATAAAATAGTTCACCGAACGATTCTTCTGGTAAATCAAAATCTCCACCGAATTTTTTGGGTAGGACTTTCGAATCAATATAGCTTAATAATGACGCTTTATTATCACCATGAAAATATATTCTGTCTCGAAGTTTTCCCTTGTGAAAATGAAAAATTATTTATTAAATTCATATTAAATTATTAATATTCTATTTGCAAATTGATTATAATATTAGCAACTTTAATGTTTCCATATATCCTTTTACCTTTTAAATATTTACATTTAGTCTTGTCTCAATTTGTTAAAAAAAAAAACTATGAATATTGCAGTTTATTTAAATAAAAGATTAGCGTTTTATTGTATTTTTTTTTTTTTTTTTTTTTTTTAATACTACTTACATGTAAAAATGGTTTAAAAAATGCAAATACCATATCAAAAATAAATGACTGATTGATAATATGAACACCCTTTAAACGACACGGTAAACATTTTTGTACAAATTCGATAATTGCAGAGGCAAAACTTGGCGTGAAGTAAGTTACGTGCGTTAATGTTAAGCCTTCCATATCCAAGATTACTCGAACTCCGGAAACCTTTAAAATAACATTTTCCGTAACTGTTATCATATCATATTGTAAAATGTAAACATCTTCTAAAAAAATATAAATATTAGTTTAAATATCTTTCATAATTTTATTTGTTTGCTATATTTTCATATCTATAATAATGAAGAAAAAAATTGTTTGTTAACTAAATCTTGATACATTAATAGACGAAACTTTTATATCTTTGCTTAAAAAAGATATTTTAGTAAATAATTATTAATTAATATTTATAGTAATAGCTCAATTTATACTTTCGTTAAAAGATTTTTTTTAATCTACATTTAAATAAGTTGAAAAAATTTTTAGCCAAGTTGATTTACTTTCTTATATTTAATATTTTTCCTAATATCAAATAAATGATATATATAATATATGCGTTATAATATTACATTTTTAACCAACTTTTTTTTAAACTATAAATACAAATTAAATATCAATAAAATAAAATAAGGTACGCATTTTACAGTCCACACCATAGCCAAGAATTTGAAAATAAAAATATCCAAAATACTTTTCTTATGTATCTAGTTTTGTTAATATAATCATGAATAAAATTAATATGACAGGGATATAATTAATTTTCTATTCTTTCTTGTCTTTATACTCAATGCTTACATTATTTTTTAAACCTTGTAAACTTATATGTAAAAAATTATATCAACTTATTTTAAGAAAATAAAAATAAATACTTGTCGTTTCAAATTTTAATTAAATGAGATCATTTAAAAATCCTAAAACCTAGTAGTTCTCACAATTAATGATAAATCGATCGATTTGATTAAAGATTATTACTTGCGTTTTTGGTTCGGAAATAGCAACTATAAGATTGAGTATGACTCCACGAAAAATTTGATTGAGTGAAACCTCCTTAGGATTCCACTTTCGTCCAGCCTGGATTACGAAGATTCTCAAGCCATCTGAAGTACGTAGTGGTAGAGGTGTCAAAATTTCCGATGTGAAAATCGCTCGTTCATTGCTCGGTAATAAATTATCGAAGAATTCTGGATGATTTTTCTGGTACTCATAGAACCGTTGTATCTAATGTAACAATACAGACTAAAATTATCAATTAAATATTCAAGAAATTTTTCTGTAAAATAACACTTGTATTGCATATAAACATACAGTTACTGAATTATTCCTTTATTGTGGAGATGTAAAGTAATTTCTAGAATCTCTATTAAATTCAAAATTCATATATTATTTATTTGAAAATTTATTATTAAATGTTTAAAATACAAATATTTGTTTAAAAATACAAATAAAATTTTCAATATGTTTAATTACAAAAAGAATTTTTATAAAAAAATTAAATAAATATAATAGAAAATTTACAAACAAAATAAAAAGATGTAGACTTAAATTCAAATCTAGTAGTACTCTTAACGGCTATTCGAATTTACTATAATAATTATTATCCTTTATTTAACTATGATATAAAAAAAAAAAATGAAAAACCCAGACGTGTAGATAAAACTTTCTAATATAACAATTGTTATCCAAACTTCATATTTATAAAGACCAACATAGATTGTAATTTCTATAATAGTAAAACAATTTTTCAAAAATATTCTAGTCAAATAGAAATGTTAAAAAAAGATATAAGTAAAATAAACTCAGATATTAAATTTGTAAAGAATTATATGAAAATATAGGTATCTCAAATATTTTTACAATGAATCTTATATGTTAATTACATTTAAATTGTAATTTAAACATAATTGGAATCATAAATATTGATAAAGTAAAATAACTTTAATATTTATAATTTGAATTTATTCGATTATAAAATATAAAAATATTATCGCACTTTTACTAATAAAGTTATATAATAAATATAATAAAGTGTTCTTCGATATAATAAACTTAACTCTTCGATCAAAGCATAATGAACTCAACAATCATATAAACTACAATAATTAGCACAAGATAAATTTATCTATTATTTCTATTAAAACCTTTGCTAATTTAATAAATATATATAATTCACAAAGTATAAGAAACAAATATACAAATAATAATTTAAATCTGTCTATTGCAACAGTAATGTAAGATTTAGTAGTCCAAGAAAATTAAATATTATTTTTAATTAATATTAATATTCTTGTTATAATATGAAAGAACTATTACTGAAAGGTATCTTTTTCTACGTCAATTGATTTATAAAAATTTTAATAAGGAATGATGAAGATTTCTTTAAAACTTATAGTCTCAAAAATTTCTTAAAAACAAAATATTTTACATTACCAATAAAATAATTCCCAATAAACATATTTATATTTATTCATTTTTGTCTATATAACATCACTGCAATTATATACGTAAATAACAACAAATTATAAAAATTCTATCATTAACTTTACATACCAATTTAAAAGTACTTCTTGGATACCATTTACATCGTCGAAGAAATCTCTGTAAAAACTTTTGATCCAATGGTATGAATAAATTTTCTTCATCTATAAAAAAAATAGCTAACATTATAATTTATAACTGTAGTTGTGTTTTTACAAAGTATACATCTTTAGTAAATTTAATTAATTCATTTATTAAGTTTTCAAATAAAAATTTTAAACCAATTTAACTCTTATAAAAAATGTGTTTTCTAAAAACCTTGTATCCAAAATTAATAATAATGTAAATTATATAATATATTAAATAATACAATAACTAAGAAAAATCAATCTTTTAAACGTGGGTAAAAACGATAAAGTCAAAGTTCAGAAGACAATGTAAATAATATATTTATATATGGACTTAAACTTCATTTCAAATCTTTGCCTATATGGCAATAATCTATTTCCAAGAATTTGTTTAATTCTAAAAACACCTTAGTACAATAAAACACATTTCAAATTGTATAAGCTTTCTTAAATTGAACCAAAATTCTTTAAATATATTATAAAGACTAATTTAAGTAGCGATTTCACAAAATTATGTCACGATATTCAAAAATAATATTTCATTAAAAATTAAATTTTTATACATAATTAAATATCAAATAATCAATACATTCAAAATATTTATAAATATGAAATTGAATTATAATAAGATAATAATTAACAATTCAGTAACAAGTAGAAGCTATAAACAAAATATTTCTTTTTAAATTAAGTTTATTTATTAACCTTCATTATTTAAAATTTTAAAAGTATTTCAATTTATTAATTAAATTACAAAATTTACTTTAAAGAATCATTTATAATAAATTCCAATATCATCCAAATATAATTTATTACTATTATTAGTAAAACATTAAGGTATTATAATACTTACTTAATGCTTTTTTATTAAAATGGATACAATAATTTTGTAAAAATATATGAGTAATCAAAATTTAAATGTATATTGTAGTAAACAACATATTTTTCCACATTACTGAAGAAATTTTGCATTTAATACGTTGAAAAAAATGTTTATTAATTAAAAAAAAGAAAAAAAGAAAAGAAAAAACAGAATAAAAACATCTGACCTCCAAGCAAATCGCCGAGAATTTTAAATGATTCCTGAACCAATTCAGGTGTTTCGCGCAATTCACGCTGAGCTTTTTCAATATGATAGTCATCTAAATCATTACAATCTAATGTAATTTCGGTACCACCGATTGCTAACGACGCAGATTTAAGTTTGTTTAGTAATTCTTCAATTACTTGCTCTGACATTTTGATTTGCTGTTTGTATTTGATATTCTGTAAAATAATTTTAAAAAAAATGATAATTGTAATGATACAAAAATATCGTGTAAAAAATCAGTGATTACAAAATATAGACATATTGAATTGAATCATAATTTATATATTATAATATTACATATTTTCAATCATTAGAGGTTTTAAATTTTATTTATCAAATTTTAAAAATATATTATTACAGTTATATTAGCTTAAAAAAAATGTTTAAACAAATGTTTTTTTTTTTATCAGGCTTAATTCGAAATTGAATTTAGTTAATTTTAAATATGATATTACACTTATTAAATTTAAATTAAATTTAATGATAACCATAATTCATAGTCATAAAAATATTAAATAATTTTCAAAATAACAATATATTAATGTATTTCGTTAGAATATTTTATATGTAGATTAACAAAATTATTAGTGAACTTTTCTCAATTTAGAAATTAATATTTCAGATTAATATAGAGATATGTAACTGAAATAAATTTCTTCTTTTTTTTTTTTGTTATAGAGATTAAATACCAAGAATTAGTTATATACATATATATATAGCAACTAATATAATTCATTTATATTTTTAATCTAATAGATTTTTTTTTAATAAAATTTTTAGTCTAATTATTTAATTTAGTACATCTTTTATTTTTGTAATTTTAAGATATATATTATTAAAAATTAAATTCTTAATCATATTATTATTTTTATCCTTTTTGATAACTTTATATATACATACGTATTTTTTTATTTATTTATTTTTATTTTTTTGTCACTGCACAAACTAAAAAATTAATAATAATACTAGTTATTATTAGGAGCAATATTACTAAATTTAAATAAATGATATGAAAAAATTTTTTATATTTATATATAAAAAATTTATTTTAATTATAAATAATATTATAAAGAGTTGCCATAAAAATAAGTAAACTGTTTATTTAATAATAATATTTAAGGATAAATTTTACAGTTCCTTCGAAGAATTATACATTCTTTGTATTTAAACGTAATTTAAATCGTGCAAATTCGTAATTATTTCGTTTTCTCTGATTTCTCATTTGTTTTGTACATTTTTATATAGATTGTCTTGAATTTAATAAAAAAACAATTTATCGCTGTTGATAAAATACTCATACATGAGAGTAAATATAAATAAACACTTGTCTTGGCGTTAGTATTCAATAATGTTCAATAATGTTTCAAATCAAAGATTTGTTCTGAATACGTAAAGAACCAATTTAAAAATATTTGAAAGTAATATTTATCTACATTTCATCGAAAATAAAAAATAAGTATTTATATATATATATATATATATATATATATATATATATATATATATATAAGATAGCCATATTATATCGAAAGCCCTGTCATGAAGTCATTAATCTTATCAATAACAAAGTGAGTAGATTGTACGTATACACCGATACATGCAAGCGAGCTCTTTTTCTTTCCACCAGTTAACATTATTCGCAAATACGATATAGTACCTTAACACCAGAAGATTGAAGGGTCGATTGATCGTAGAATCTCCACTTAGAAAACAAAGTCGAAAACGTATTAACGTCGTTTACAAGACTCGACGATATACAAGAAACGTTAAGGCAGCTTGTAAGAGCTTATTGCGCATTTCCCACTTTTTGTGCCGTCGTGAGTCTCCGTATATCTCATGCCTTCGTAACGAAGCCCCGCACAATCTACAATTACAATGCAGCGACGATCATGTTTGCCGGCGATTTAAATGACGCGCCTTGGAGAACTTGCCGCGTTACCTTGAACTAATAGTAATGTAGAAAAAGATGAATGACGCTAATAACACAATTGAGCTTACACTGCAAGCAGGTAGTGCTCCATTTACATACACTTGCTTGCATTATTGTAGGTGATTGTTGATGGCTCCGAAGGACTACGAAACATCTTTTCCAAACAAAATCGAATCTCCAAGTCACTATTGAGATAAATAGCAGTAATCGTAAAAAGGCATTCCTCTAAACTCAATAAAGTTTTTATTTACAAGAGCAATTGGAAAGAGCTGTCCGATTCATTCTAATTGAAAATTGTAGTATTATAACTATTGTCATAAATAAATTATTACCATGTAAAAATATTTTATTCAAAATTGAATAATCGAGCGACGATAAGTTTATCATAATAAGTTTATAAAAACTATGATAAAATAATATAATGATAAAATACATAAACTCACATACATGTTCGACTAAATTTTCATTATAGATATTTTTATAATATATAATATAATATTATATATAACATAATATAACGCCAAATATAATTACAATGTTTACCGTATTTTCAAAAATTTTAATACAAAGTGATCACTATCTTAATATACAGTTATAAAATATTAAATGTTCTTTATTAATACCTCTTTTACAAAGAAAAATGTTAAACAAATTCTTTTTCATTGCTTGTATATATATACAGATACTACAGATACTTTAACATTCGTGTTATTTCGATTTTTCGACAATTTTTTACATTATTGGATTCCAATTTTTTCACTATTCTATATTATATTAATTTCTATATGATTTATTATAGTCTCGCTATATATAGATATATATATATATATATTTTTTTTTTTTTAATATAATTGGAAATTAAAAAGAATTATAAGCGGTATTATAAACTATTCTTTCAGTTATTTAGACAGTTCTTTAATAATGATTAGCAAAGTATACATAAATTTTTCAAGCACTGAATATCATTGATGTGCTTTAACAACGGAAATTATCATAAAGTCTAAGTCTTCAAAACATTAAAAGTCAAGTACCTTTTATATTTATATTGTTTTGAATTTCCCATTGTATAGAATATTCAACGATTCCTACAAAATTCATAAATTTAAGCAATTTTTATCAGTATTTCTATTATTTCTAAACTTCAATAATTTCAAAAAATAATAAATTAAATTATTATTATAAGGTTAATTACAATTATTGTTTCTATTTTACAATTAAACTAAATAATTGAAATAATCTTGAGGATTTAGTTAGTATCTGAAATATTAACGACGATTCATTTTATAAATATTGAAATTTTTAATTAACGATTAAAATTATTAATGTCCTATATTCTTTAATTTTTCTAAGTTTATACAATAGTTATCTTTGCTAAATTGCGGTGAACTTATGTATTATTAATTCTTTTTGATATATTTTTTAAACAAATTCAAATTAATTGATATTATTAATATTTTACTCATACAGATTATATAATTTTGTTTTGCATATGTAAAGGACAATTTTTAATAATTTTGATATATTTATAATTAAATCTCATTAGATAACATATACACGTACATACATATACAGACAGTATAGAAAGAATTTAATTTTTTTAGTATACCATAAACATAAAAGATAGAAAGTAATTTTTATTAATATGTATATTAATTTAGTCTACAAATTTCAACAAATAATAACAATATTAATAATCAATACAAATTGTTTGACATTATATTTTTTTGAAAAAAAATGTAATATGAATTAGTCTACATATAATAAAAAATTATTGATCATATTTATATGATTGTGGACAAATTTGATTTTGTTTCGACTAAATTTCAACTTATATAAGTATACTTAAATAATTTTATAAAAAGTATCACATTAAAAACATATAAAATAGATAAAATAATGTAGGTAGAAATAAAAGATTTATATATGTATTGATATATATATATATATATATATATACTCTTAATCACACAATTTACAAACAATACTCACAATAAAAAAATTATAAAATACTTAATTTATATCGATGAGTAAATAGAAATTTTATATATTGTATAAATACAATTGTAAAATAAACTTTTTTTTTGTTTATAAAAATCGTTTTATTATTATAAAGACAGATATTAATAAATTTTTTTAATCGTTTACTGAATATTAGAAAATTGCATATTAACAATTTTATACCGAAATATAGTTTTATTTGGAAATGCTGATTTCAAAGATTTCCTTCTTGCACGTGTGTATTCTTTATATTATCAAAAATTATTAATTTTTTACATAAGTATTTCCACATTCTTATATAAATATTTTCATAAATTGTAATATATACTAACATTTCTTTACATACTTTCATATTTTATACAAAACACCATTTATATTACATTATCGTGTAAAAACATTACATATGTAACATATAATACATTTTATAACACATAATTTTATTCATATTCATATTTTCTAAAAAAAATTATTAGTAAGTAACGGACAGCTAGTATATTTATATCTTAAAATTTTAAGTTAAAAATTATAATTATGCAAACACTACTTTCTCTTTTTATAACATAATTTGATTTTTATTGAATTACTGAATGAAAAAATCTTAAGAATAAATGTCACCAAATAAACCTCAACTATTATTTATAAAAGTAAATAGAAAAGATATGGACTTTTTCTTCATTTCTAAATATCATTTTTCATTCATTCACAGTATTGTATTTTATATATTTAATTACTTGTTCTACTTATGTTATAAAAATAATGATGTAAAATTTGTAGTTGGGTATACTTTATGATTATTCCAGTGCAAAATATTTAGATTCTTCTTTAAGTTTTCGAAACGTATCCATATTTACTAGATTCTAAAAATTAAAATGATTATTTAAAATTGATTTAATATTTTAGTATCAATATGATAATATAATTATATTTTTAAATGATTATTATCATTAAAATATTTTTACATATTATATATATATATATATATATATATATATATATATATATATATATATATATATATTTTACATGTATTCTTTAATTTATCTAGATAACCTTACATCCATATTTTTGATAAAATTTTACTTTTCGGGTGTACATTAATCAGTGTCAATAGAATCATATTTATAATACGTAAAAATACTTATTAAAAATTAATTATATCATATGAATGTCAATGATGTATGGTGACTATTATTTAATTTAAACAATTGTAAATAATATATCAAATAGATTTAAAAACACTGGATACATAAGAATAAAAACTATTTTATATGTAATTTTCAGAGTATATTCATTATATATATTCATATTATATACTTCATACCAGAGTATTTTTAAATATAGATGATTATATTTTTATGATGAAAACGTTATTATATATAATATTGTAAGAATTAATGAATGCTTCTTGCACATTTAAAAAAATTGTTTTCAACAAATTTTCCGCGCCTTTAATCAATTTTTAATAAATAATATTAAATTACCTTTAAATTCATCCTCGAATGCACTTAAATATTGTACTAATTGCTCTCCTATCGGCTCATCAGAATAATCTAATTCACCACCCAATCGTTTAGGTAACGCTTTAGGATCGATAAAATTTCGTAGTGTAGTTCTGTCTCTACCATGAAAATGAATCCTTTTACGTAATTTTTCCTATAAAAAATATTTACAATGGTTGATTATGAAAATTTTTTGGATTATTTAATAAATTATTGTTAAATAATAATTTTTTAATAAATAATAAATTATTTAATAAAAATGATTACCCTAATGTTTATTAACGTTGCTCTCTAATAACATAATTTAATTCAACACTTGATATTCTATTAGAAATAGTAAAGATTTATTAATATTTATATATTCAATATATAACTTTTTTACTATTTTTATAAAGTAAATAAATTATAAATTATTTTATATATCTGAAATTTATGACATGTCAAACTCCAGTAGGTACATATAGAGATTATTATTAATCTCTTATGAAAGAATGCGTAATTCTTTATAATGATTAAACATCAGGTATTAAGCGATGTAATATGTGTATATTTTCCAATCAAGTGCTCTATATTAATTTAACTACATTGGATACCAATTTTAAAATAGAATTTTATATAACTCATTATTCACATAATTTTACATAACTAATTTATTACAAATGTAGCGAAAGAAAATTACAATGTTTAAATTATTAAAAAAATTACACGGCTCTACGTATTGAAATTGCTAAGTTTTGAGATACAGGACAAAACACAAAAAGAAGATACAAATATATATTTCTCATTGATTTAATTCCAAAAACACTAGAATAATTTGAATTACGAATTTTTTCTTTTAAATCTATTGCAAAAAATTTTTTTTGCTAAACAGCATTTCAAGATTTCTACTATATCGACATTTATCATAAACTTATGTAAACCTAACACAAAAAAACCTAGCATATATGTTTATATAGAGTGAACTTAGTATAGATATTGTATTTAGATTGTCTAAAGAATTTTATTTAATAAAACAAATACTTTAACTAGAACTTATTTAGTTATAAATTATCGAATATTTAGTTTATAATAATGATTATATAATATATGATAATTGCATTGTATAAAAATATATTAATATGTTTTATTTCATTTCACATAAATAATTCAATTTTGCAAAAAGGAAAAAATTGAAATAATTGTTCTTGTCTAAATAAAAAGTAAAAATAATTTACTGTTATTATAAATTAAAAAAATATCCTATTCGCTTGTTAAAAAATCATCCTAAAAATTGAATTCTACTCATTAGCTAATTAGATAATGAAAAAGCAATATAGACAATTATTATAATAAAAAGGTATTAACGTTTTTGTATAATTTATGATAATAGATACCTCGTCTATGACTTTAATTAATTATCAATATGTATAAAGAGTAAGTAAAATTATTTTTTAAAACTTAAAAGTATTTTGATAACAAATTATTAATAATTTCATGCTTTGAATATACTTTTATTCCTAAATTTATATTTCGTTCTATTGAATTAATTATAGAATTACATATTATTACGTATATACCTGTAAGAATGGTTTAAATATAGCAAACACCATATTAAAAATAAAAGGTTGATTGACTACGTGAATTCCCTTCAAACGACAAGGCAAACATCTTTGAACAAATTCAACGACTGCTGCGGCGAAACTTGGAGTAAAATATGTCACGTGTGACAACGTCAGGCCATCCATATCAAGGATGACTCGAACACCAGCAATCTAAAATATTATATCTTCATTTTATTAATATTGTATATATTATTTGATATAACTAATTAAGTTATATCCATTGTAGCTTTGAATCTATGAATTGCGTAATGTTCAATTTAAATAGCTCCAGATAAAAATTAATGTATGAAATTAATTATACATACCATAATAATAATAATAATAATAATAATAATAATAATAATAATAATAATAATAATAATAATAATAAATAAATAAATAAATAAATAAAAGGAGCCTTATTTTTTGATTACCTGAGAAATAGGCTCAACTAAAACAGCATCAAGGAAAAGAATAAGTCCTCGAAATATTTGATCGAGTGATATCTCTTTTGGTATCCATTTCTTACCGCCTTCTAAAAGAAATACTCGAACGTTTTCTGTGCGTCTTGGTAGAGGAGTAAGTATTCCTGACATGAGTATCGCATACTCATTACTGGGATACAAATTGTCGCAGTAACGAGGATGAGTTTGACGAAATTTGTAAAAACGTTTCATCTATTGAAAAATGATTTAATTATTATCTTACATTACCAATATTAACCTTCCAAAAATAAAATGTTATATATTAAGAAAGAAAAAATAATTTTTATGCCCAACAAATAATAGTAACTCAGAGATGAAATATTCGACTTATTGCCTATTAAGTGTATGTACACATATACACACGCATTTCTACGTATAATTAAATATTAATAATTAATTATATATATATAATAAAAATATTATTCAATTTCAGCATTTATTTCATTTTTATTATCGAGAAAGGGATCCTGGATAAAAAAAAAAATAATTCTTCGTTATTTTACAAACGAGCAGATAAAGGTTGAATAATATGTTTCTTTTACGATTAATTTAATTATTTATTAACACGGTATCAATATTCTATTCTTAAATATTATTCTACAAATACATTATATTTTAAGTGTCTTTGAAATAAGAAACATCTGGAAAAATTGAGTATCACATCATAATAAGATAAAATTGGAATACATTACTCACCGAGATAAAATTTTTATAAGCTTATTTGTAAAAAAAAAAAATAATAAATAAAATAATCAACAGTACTTGAACTGAAACAAAGCGCAATGGACAACGAACTAATTGTAACTCTGTCTATATAACAATTATCTCAGTTGTATCAGCGAAAAATTATTTGTACCATTGGCTGCGGAAACATTAGTAAACAATGAAGTGATATTTATTAGCAAGATTCAGTTGATTTTACATGTAATTTGATCAGTTAATATTTGTTTTTCAACTTGACTCACAATTCAAATTTCTATTTTGAGTACATTACAGTTCATTACATATTAATATATTAATAATATATTTACACACTGCTTTTTAGCATCAGTGATAATCTCATTTCGAAAACAACATTAAATATAAATTAATAATATTAATAATAGTAATCAAATACCATAAAAATATTTATATTTAGGAAAATATTTTCAAAAACAGTAAGAAGATGATAATATTGACGATAATTAGTTACCATTTCAAAACTACTGTCCGGATACCATTTACAGGGTCGTAAAAATTTTTGAAGGTGTTCTTTATTCAAAGGAACCTGTAATTCCGATTGATCTGTAATTAATAAAAAATAGTGCCAAATCAATTACAAAATTTATTTAATTATTATGACTTAATGAGCTTCATGGAAAATAATAAATATTGAGTGACTGTAATGTTTGACGATAACGCTTTAAAATGTTTGCTTTTTCATTATAATGATAAATTAATAAGATACCCAAATTTTTCGGAAAATATAAATATTTTTAATTTCTAACTATTTCCGTAGTCTATCATTTTTTAAAATAGTGTTTCAATTTTTACAATAAAAAGTTATTAATAACTCATATATATATATATATATATGATATATATATATATATATATATATATATATATATATATATATATATATATATATATATATATATTAATAAGGAGTTATTCCTATAGTTTCCGTTTGATTGCATAAGACAAAACTTTCATTTATTTGTTAGTGTAGAAGCCCCATTATTTTTCGTAATATTTACGTTAGAAAAAGACACTCATTAAGCGCTTACTAAAAAAGATATTTACGACATCATGAAGGCTGTGTGTACCAATGGAGAAATCATACTAAAATTTTAAAACATGAAAATATAATACTATAAATAGAATTAAATATATGTTATTCAACATAAATAAACATTACAAAGCTTATATGCATTAAAAATTTCAATTTAAAGAAAATATTAAAAATAAATACTTGGGCTGTTTCTGACCTTTCAGTAATTTTTGAAGAACTTTGAGTCCCTCTTCAACATTTTCTGGCGTCTCTCGTAATTCTATTCGTGCTTTCTCTCGCAGTTCCTCGTTGGGTTCATTTGGATTAAAATCAAGTTCTATATTGCCTATCATTAATTTAGGCAACGATTTCATCTTCTCCTGAAGCTTCAGGGAAACCGACTGCACTAACGTGGTCTGATCTGCTGACATGGCGCGTTTAGGTTTATATCTTCTTACTTGAATTTAATTACAAATTCCTAAATTAAAAATAAATTTGGTTGCAAAATTAAAGGAATAAATTTAATTATTATTATTGTTTTTTGCATTGTATAATTTTATTTTCGGCATAAAATGACAATTTTATTGTACCCTAAGCCAAAATTAATGTAATTCAATAAATTAATATTAAAAAAAAAGAAAATTTGTAAAACGATTAATTTGTTCGTGTAATGACAATATAAATTATGTATTACATTATTTATTCATGATTGTATTAATTTCTCTTAATAACACTGGCAACTTTCACGTTATTTAAGATGTGTTTCTTACAAACTTATATGAAACTTTTAAAATTTTTAAAATGAGCACGTAAAATTTTTTTTTTTATTTTTCGAATAATGAGCTCTATAAAATATGAGTAACTAATTCGATAGATTAGGAAATTAAAGTTACAACATGACTTTACAATAAACGCACGAATTTTAACTCGAAAATTTAAAAATGTAATTGTTAATTTGTTTGAAGACCTCACTTATAAATAATTAATTGTTTTAATCTTTTCTAACGAAATCATTTTTATATTCTCTACATTACTGTACCGCACTGTAATTAATATGATAATTTAATGTATTCATGAGAAACTTTCAATGTAGAATCTAGATTATTAATCAATCAATTTTGTTCACAATTCTTTTCAATACATGAAAACTATGTAATTAGAATTCATAACATATTTTCTAATATACTGATTTAAACTTTTTTATTATAAAAATTTTTTTTTAATCGTTTTTTAAATATTTTCAATATAAGATAAAAAATAATTGAATTTACTATATTATAAATAATTGTTAATTATAGATATAACTTATAAATAATTAGCATATATAATAATAGCTACGCATTTTAATTAACTAATAAAAAATATTCTTCATATACATTGAATTGATCAGTATGATTTATTGGAAAAGTATGTACGTTTTATGGACTTATAAAATTTATGAAATGTAAAATTAAATATTGATATTGATATTAAATATTGATAATTGGAGTATTGATTTGTCGGCAAAAATAATATTTTGTAATTTTCGTATTATTAATTAATATCCTTGATAATTATTGAAATTAATAATAAAAGTATTGCAATGCATAGTGCATATAATTACATATACTTGTTACATGTTCTCAACAATATTCAAAATACTTTTTTGTGTTGCGAATATAATATGATCTAGAAAAATAAGGACAGGTTGTATGATAGCCAAAATAAGGAAAATTCACGCTTAAGATCATTAGATATTTTAACGATTAGCCAAATTGAAAAGATATTTGAAAAGTATGGGTTCTTATATTATAAACTAAATTTTTTACTCATAGAATGATCTTGTTAATAAAATATATTTATCTAAATAAGTTATAACATAATTTGTAATAAAATTAATATAAATTAATATGAAATACGTAGTATACTTACTAAAACGACCATTTTACAAGCATTTTAAAAGCTACTTATTTACAATTATATTTTAGTAATAATGGATTATTAAAATATTGAAAATTATATTAAATGAATTAATACTACAGATATAATCTTACATAATTCTTTACGTGATTGTAAATATAATTATTATTGATTAGTACTGTATGTATACTACATATAAAAAAAAAATATATATATATATATATATATATATATGAATAATTATGATATTTTCATATCAACAATAATAAAATTGTAAGAAATATATTTTTCAAGTTAATAAGTACAACTGCAGAAAAATCTATGGCAATGCTTTTATTAAAATATATTATTTACACTACAAACTATAAAGAAAACAACAAGTTTTCATAGTTTTATTATGTGCGTAAGTTATTATATTCTTATGTATTTCTTATTTCATAATTCGATTTCATTATTTAGATAAATTAAAAACAACTGGTTAAAATATCATAAAATTTCACAAATATATATATATATATATATATATATATCCCAATATATATAATATATTCATCTTGAATAATCCTGTTAAAAAACTATTTATTAAGAAATTTGTCTACCTTTTTAAACTTTAAGTTAATAACCATATACTATCGAATACTATTCACCAACACAAATGTAAGAATCAAACACATTACTATATATGACTGAATAACAGTTCAACCATACATTCCAAACATATTCTTATACTTCAAGGTCCAATTCAACAATTTAACCAATTATAATACAACGCAGTAAAAATCCCAACAATTTGAATAATTCTCGGTAATAAAACAAGAATATGCGTAACACGTAAAATTTATACAAGCATGAGAAAGTTTGTGCCGTGCCGTACCCGAGAAAAGTATGCAGACCGAGACTGTCGAGAAGTCGAATGGGCATAAACCGGTGCTACGGACCCCACATCAGTGACTGCCATGGCGTTGCGCTGGATATTCCAGGCGAGCGGTCGTCGACGCTATTGACTCCGCTTCCCCACCTTTTTTCTCATCACCATCGCCGCAGTGTCTGAACGTCATGGCCTTCGCATAATTGCAATCGCATAGTAAGACTCCATCGTAGACGAGACATTTCGTTAAGTCCGCAATTGATAAGCAAGGAGTTTACTTATTGAAATTTTCATTCCTTTATTATTTGCCGATTTTTATAATGGAGGAAGGAATGCGCATGACCATGTCATAAATTAACTGTATTTATGGTATAGAAGATACTCGTGCGATTAAAAATTATCTCCGAACATACTATTGTCATATTTAATAATAAGGAAGTTTTAATTATTATGAAAAAACTATTTATAAGATAATATAACTTAATATTTTAATGTAATTTTTGCTTAATGTAGCATAGCAATTTTACTTAAGTTCACATAAAAATGATCTTACACCATATTTATAAATATTAAATTACAACATGATTTTGCACCAATAACTTCATTTTTTAAACTTCAATTTGAACGTCAAACTACAGACGTGTTAAATTGAAAATGTAGAAAAACATTTTATTTCGCTTAATCAAATCAAATTTTTAGATAAAAGTATTAATGTCTGTAGTAAAATAATCATTTTTTAATATAATTTTCATATACAACATTTTTTAATGTTATCTACCAATCATGATATATTTAAAAGTTATATATTAATAAGAAAAGAGAGATAAATTATGATAAATTCTATTAATATCGCTTGGTAACATAATAATATTTACAATTCATTATTATTAATAATAAATTTGGTTATAATAATAATAGTGCCGTATGAAGCATGTTAACATAAACATTTACATAACACGTTTTACTCATATATATATATATATATATATATATATATATATATATATATATATATATAATATATACTTGAATAAAAAATATTTTTAAAAGATCAAATATTAAAAACGAAGATTTTGTAAAAAGTAATGCAACAAATTCTTAACGAGATATTTGACAGTAGAAACTGAAGCAAAAATAAAGCAGATGAAGAAGAATGAATCTATATCAATGAATTATTACATATTTTATAGGCAAAAAATAATGATTTGCACCAAAATAAAATCGATTCGAAATAAATCGCGGTTGAATTGAATACTGAATTTTTTTTTTAATTTTTCGAAAGAATATATAAAATTTTCAATCGACAGTTGTATAATTTTTTTACAGATAATTAGCATCTACTTTATAAACATAGTTTTGAAAATAATTGTCTTTAAAATTTTAAGTACCCTATGTACATATGTAAAATACATATTTTAAAATCTTACTTAGCACCATGTATTTTAGGTCCATTGCCACTACGCATTTTTCTCCAATAAAAAATACCTCTCGTGGAGGTTTACTTTGCATGAATTTGTGCGCATCCAAATCACACATTTCATCTATCAATTTTTAATATATTTACCTTATAGTTTATTGTGTTATAAAATATAAAACCGACAATAACGATATACGAGCAAAATCGATAATAACGTATAAATGGCTAAACTGTATTTCGAAAATAAGTAAATATTACATTAAATGGAATTGGATTCATATTATAAATAACCAATAGGATCAAATGATAAAATTGAATTCATTGTAAATTATAATAGTAATAATAAATATTGTAATAAGCAACAATATTGATACTAAACATAATATATATTTATTAAAATATTATTAACATTTTAAAAAATACAAAAATCTAAAATACAGTTTTAATTCTACTCATTAGATAATATATTTTCTCGAATGAATTCAAATTTTAGATAATATCCATAATAAAATACGTATTAAATTATTAGAATTTCTAAAAAAAAATTTCAATATCACTTTTTTGATAAAAACATCTAAAAAACATTTTCGTTACGTACATTTACATATAAAAACATAAATTTAGAAAGGAAGAAATACAAATAGATAATAATAAATTCACAAACATGAGTATTATTTAATAATAATTCAACAGAAATAATAATTTTATATTCTAATAATTACAGACTATATATATGTTTCTATTATATTTCTAATTATTCTACAAAAATATTGTTAAGGTTTATTATACATAATTCACAATATTTAGAAAATCATCGATATAAAATTTTACATATAACTAAATTTTAGTTTATTTTTTCATTATTAACATAGATATTATATATATATATATATATATATATAAATATATTATTCATAATTTTTTGTAGTTGTTGGTTATAAATAAATATAATAAACGAAAAATATATATCTTCCTATAAAAGATTTAAATTCTAAATTATACTACACGTGATTTTCAACGTAAGACGTGGTTGTTTTATATTCTATACATAGAAAAATTAACAGAATTAATATAAACAATGTACAACAGTTTAATTCAACATTTGCATGTTATAAAATTAGTATATTATATTTATATTAAATAACTCAAGTAATGAATTAGTTAAAAAATTATATTTAAAAATACTTTTTTATATTTAAAATATGCTTTCTGTTTAAAACAAATATATTCTTATAAACAAATAAGATGCAAAAATCTTATTAAATACTATAATATGACTTTTTAATATCATTTATATATAAAGATATATACGAATAATTATACTTGTTATATATTAATGAATATAAAATAAAATTTCATTTGACATTTAACATAAAATCATAGCCTCCTTATAAGTAACATTAACTTCTTATACCCTGAATATTCATTTGTTAAGAACATAAAAATTATATTAAATATTTTACTAAACAATACTATTATTTTTTTTATTAAAGAAGTTTTATTGAAATGAATATGTAAAACATTCTATACCATTTCCAGTTTCTCTTCACTTAAACAAATTGTCTCTAATTTTCCGATGACTTGTAAATTATTTAAAGCAAATTTATATTTATATTAAAATCACAAATTTTAATAACATATAATGAAGCGAAATAAATTGATTTATCGAGTAACACTGTGAATAAAGAATAAGAAGTAGCGATGAAATACAAAGAATTTTAAAATACCCCTTGAGATAATTATTGTATTAAACACTAAAATTAATTATCATTAAATAAATAATAATGAGATATTGTAATTTATAATTATTAATGAACATGAATTATTTATATTTGAGTGGATATTATTATATTATTTTATATATATTACATATTTTTTTAGATAATATTTATATTAAAATCGTTTGATATTCTATTATATTATTGCAAACTTCAAATCTCTGTCAATTTCATTAAATTAAATTACAAAATATTTAACTGGGTAAGTATACGCACACATTAAAATAATGAAAAATAAACAATAATCAATTTAAAATATCTATTTAATAAAAAAAAAACAAATTATAAATTTTTTACAAAAAAACATTTTCATTACATTAAAATTGTATACACACTCACGCACGCACACACACACGCACGCACATTTTGTTGGGTGCGTGCGTGCGTGCGTGCGTGTGTGTATTTATTTATGCATATTTTTTTAAATATACATATTTACACACACACACACACACACACACACACACACACACATATATATATATATATATATCATGAGACGCTGCGGTTAACATATAATACATATATCCATTATTTTATTAATTAGAAACTAAGGATCTCTTTTTGTATAAGAATTTTAAATTTTCCTGAATACATTAAAAAGAAAAAACAGATATTACGTCATTAAGACGTTTGATAAATTTAGTTAGAGCAATAACATTATAAAAACAAATGTGAACAACAATATGCATTAACTCTATAAAATTATGATTATAGTTGAATCAGTCTATTCATTGTTCCTGAATCCATAACTATTCATGTCTGCAACAAAAAAAAAACAAATTTAGATAATATAGCTCAGTATAATTTTAAACCGTAATTATAATTTCAAATCAACTAATCATTATAATACAAACTATTAACATTTATAAAACTATCAGAAGGAATTTGTATTCAATATAATTAAAAAAAAAAAAAACTTTATTATAAATCAAAAAATTATTAATTTATCTGAAATTCTTAAACAGCGTATAAAAGTGTTTACAAAAATTATGACCTCATCATTAGTAAGCATTTATCCGACTCACGTAAATTTGTATGCTACTGCTTAAAATATGTTGTTTACGAAATCAAGTAAGACTAAAAACAACATCCAGAAAATATGGAATCACAATGACGAAATACCAATCACGTTCATCGTTGTCATTCGTATTAACGTTACCCAATCTGTTTATATATCCATTTTCATCTGCATATGTATATAGTATATATGTACTTTTCAATTTATCAAAAGATACATGTTTACAATCTATTTAACTAAAAAATTGAATATACACTGTGACATATACTGCTAATTACAACATAATAAACGATGTCATATTATTAATTGAATAATAATTATATATTCTAAATATAATTAATATAGTTATATAAAATTAACATAATATACAGACAACTATAAAAAAAATTTCTAAGCATATTATGTTGGATTAAAATCAAGTTCTTATAAAACGCTTTATAAAACACGAAAATTTATAATATGAAAATATGAGTTTAAGTAACTTTTTATTTACTTACATATAACTTAACGTATGTAAGTATATATTAAATTCATAATGCATTCAAGAATGGAGCAAAATAACTATTATACCGTATTTCAAAAATACATAAAAATGTTAAACTTTAACAAATGCATTTTGTGCTACATTTAACATAAATGTGTTTTTGTAAATAGTAGCCCCATAAAAGGCTTCATTAAAAATATCAGATATTTATTTCTCTATCTGCATTCTAATTACGTCGTCAACTTAAAATATTTATAAAATCGCTTTAATATTAATATTTTTTATTCAAAATCCAAACCTATGAATTTTGTAGATTTTGACTAATAAGAGTATTACAATCATTGAAAAAATAAGCACGAATAATAAATAATAATAGTTTTAATTGAATTTTTTAATAATTCAATAAAAAAATAAAATTGAATAAAATATTTAATGAACCTTATATTTAATTTTTATCGTTACAAACAATTTCCATAAGAACTTTTTATTCGTACAATTTGCTTAAAATTCTACTATTTTTTACTTTTTTCTCTAATAAAGATTCAATCATAATAAAAATAAATCTGTTAATCTAATATATAAAGTTTTATGAATAGAATTTTTAACAAATGATTGTAGTATTATTTCAATTAGTTCTTTCCAATTAGTAATATAAAAAATTGAAAAATATTCTGTGAAAGTAAAAATACACAATTTTTTTAAAACAAGAAATTTAGAATTTATTAGCGTAATACTTCTCAATTATCATATTCTTAATATTTTCAAATGTACTATAAGGGTAATAACATTTAAAGCTATTGATTTTTGTTAATATATTATTATTATGTAAAAATTAATTTTTGCTTACTTATTGTTATTCTTATATAAGAATTGAATAATTGAGAATAGCAGAATAAAAATATTTCACATATGTTATAATTCAACGTAAAATCGTTTTTTTTTTACTTTACATATCGTAAATGTCTAAAGCATTATATATTTTTTTTATTTACATTTATAGAGTAAATTTTTCTTTGTTCGTTGTGTGTAGTCACGTAATATCGTAACATTTACGTGACATCAATAATCAATAAAGTACCTATTATCTTTTATTTTATTTAAATATTATTTCAATAATATTAATATTTAGTGTATAAATATTTAATTTTTGATCCTTTTAACATTAAAACTATATATTATTGATGTAAACATTTTATAATTTATTGTATGTTGAATAACTATCGCGTAAGATAGACTCATTTCCATTAAAAGAAACCATTTAATTTGAATTCCAATGAAGAAACTTGTTTGATACATATATATATATATATATATATATATATATATATATATATATATATATACACACATATATATATATATATATGCGAGCAAGCACATTATTTCAATTGGAATACTTATGTGCATGCGTATGTGCATACATAAAATAGCATTTGTAAATGCTTACGTACTTAATTCTTTAATAGATACTATACAGAATATTACGTCTTTCGATATATTTTTATTATTAAATTGAAAGAAAACTAATCGTTTAAAAATAAAAATCGAATACACGATGCCTAAGTAGTGAAAATAAAGAAAATAAACAGATAAGAATATCCGTATGAACTATTTTCTCCTTAAATAATTGTAATTATTTCCACATATGTTTGAAATTATATTTTTATTACATTAAAGCAAATTTATTGTTAAAATTACGTAAACATTAAATTCACTTAAAAATTTTTTTATGTTTAAACATTATTTAACGTAGTCCCATTTACATGACTTTCATTCATGAATTTTATCATTTATATTACTTATTTTTCCTCAATAATAATAATAATTAAGATGCTATATATTTCTTACTGAAGTATTTCATTGGAACAAATATTATAATGCGCGTTACAATGTTGTCTTAATCCCTACTTTTCGTAATAAATTGTCTCAATCGTTTCTACGATTGTAGGTCGACTGGTTAGCTATAGTTTATTATAATATATTATAATGTTAAGGAATAACAATCCTTACTTTTTGGTTCTAGTAATTCTTTCATTCTTCTATTGAATTTTTAGAATTCAAAACTTTACGTTAGAAAGGAAAAAACATTGTCTAACATATTTGAGTTATTACTGTACGTGCTCAAGCAGATTGTATAATTTCTTACGAAAAATGTAAAGATATAAATTAAATGCTTTTTAACACTTCAATTATCGGTATTGTATTTATCAATATTATATACAAGATTTTATAAAAATATTTTCATTCATTATTATATGTAGTCTTTCATTAAATATATATTATTATGAATACGTCTTTCCCCATTACCATAGATTGTACAATAATGTTTGTCAATAAAAATCTTAATTATTGCTATTATTCTTTTTCTCGATTAAATTAGGGAACTCAAGTAACTATTTAAGTTACATAAGATTGAAAACAAAAATCATTGTTTATGATAGATAAAAATGGACAAAAAATTCCCTTCCTGTAAGCTTAAAATACCATGCTATTTACCATGTAGTTTACATTAAAAATAACTCATAATTATATTTTCAAAAGAAATTTTGAAAGAGACCTAAACTAATATTTATGAATTTACAGCTACACGTACTAAAGTTTTGAATCAAAATAGCTTAAAAATAGAATAACAGAAGAAAATGTATAGAGAAAGTAAATATGCAATGTAACCAATTGGCAGAAATGACGAAAGCGTTACTGTTACCGGTAGTTTTTCACTTAGAGTTTTCTTATTTTACAAATCGGATAAACTTTTCTTTCGATTTCTGAAGAAAGTTAAAACGTGCTAATCACATCTTCTCTCTAATTAATCTTCTATCCCATTGATGTACACAATACATATTGTATGTATATATATATATATATATATGTATACTATACATATACATAAATATGTACCATACATACATACACATAATACATACGCATAGATTGCAATTACAATGAGGCTTTTGATTCTCTTAAGAAAATACTTAATTATATTGAATAAATTATAAATTATGTTAGAATATATTATTATGTTAACTAATATTTTTATTTATTTCTCACCTTTAATGTGATCTTCATACGCAGTAATAGTGGGATACCAATCTGCACCTGTGTAATTGATTTCAGGTAATTCACCACCATAATTTTTAGGCAAATGGGAAGGGGCCAAATGTTTATGCAACGATGACATCTTTGACCCGTGAAAGAACATACGCTTCTTTAGTTTTTCTCTTACAAAAGGTTTGAACATTTGCCAAACCATATTAAAAAGGAACGGCTCTTTTACAATGTGAACCTAAGATAGAAATATTTTATTATAATTTTTAATTTTTACTTTAATAATTTTTTATAAAATTAATATAATTAAAAAATAAATGCCTCTTTCAGACGAAGTGGCATTGCATCTTGTATGAAGCTAAGAAGTCTCATACTGAAAGATGGGGTTAATCCCAAAACTTGTTTCATAGAGAGACCATCAAAGTCCATGATTACAACAACTCCATGAACCTGAAAATAATTAATTTTAAATTTATAATAAAAGAAAGAAAATAAATAAAATAATGAGAATAGTATAAAAATGAAATTAAAAGAATTTCATTATCTATTATTAATCATTGTCAAATATAAAAAGTATTTAATTATTTGTTAATAAAATCACCTTTACATTGTAAAATTCTGATAAAGTTATTAAAAATTCATAATACAATTTATAATCTGAAAAGATAATAAAACTATTATATAATTTTTTCCTTCTATTTAAATGATTTAATCTTAATACAAAAAAGTTAAAAACGATTTAACGATAAGACGTGAATTTGATCGATTAAAAATTATCTCTCGATTAATCACTCAGAAAATTTATTTTCATTGTTTTTTTATCAATCATACAAATGTAAAATAATGATAAGGCAAAGTAGAAGTGATTGTGTCAATTCATATGTTTCTTCGTTGTTTCAAAGCTAATAAAGTAACAAACAATTATTATTACAATTTTTTCACATCTGCAATTAAAAATTTGGTATCCAAATTCATTTGTTATAATTACTTATTATATCAAAAAGTGATTAGATAAATTAAAATTAAAATTGTATTAAATAATAACAATTGAAATAAAAATGCATTTGCAAGTAAAGAATATAATTTATTTTTTATTCGATAATTGTAAGTAAAATTTATCGATAAAATTATATTAAAAAAAAATTACTCAAATATAAATTCAATAATTTTAATATTAACTTAATATAAACATTAATGTATGAATATAATGAGCTTATTAAAAATATTATTCTTATTCAATTTTAAATAAATTTAAAACAATCATTTTTAAATCACTTAACGCTATTCCTGAATAAACTTGAATAAAATATTTCCATGTAATAATACAAATATTTATTCCAAAATTCCATATGAATCAATGTCACAATTCTTGGCTTTCTTAATATTTTTTTAGCTTAATAAAACTGTTTACAAATGAAATTATTTTAAAATAATTTTTCGCTTTTATAAAATATAGAAAGGAATCAAAACAAAATAATATTTATGGAACATGAAGTCCAATCTTTAATTGCATATGTATAAATAATACACATATTTTTCATTATAAAATAAACAAATAAAATATTTTATTACTACATAGGAAGGTTATACAATGACCAAATTTCTCGCTATTTCTTTTGAATTGACTTAACGGCGACTATTTTAATAATAATAATATTCATTGAATAAAAAAAAAACATATTCGAATGTTAAAAAAATTATTTAAAAATAAAAAAATTAAATAATTCAAATGAGCAGAATTATTGTTCATTTATTTTAAATAAAAATCCAATAGTGTAAGCTATGTGGCGCACCTGCGTTTCAGGTTCTAAGATTGCAGCTTCATGTATCAGGTAGAAGATGCGAAACATCTGATCGGCACTAACGCGTGATGGGTCCCACGATTTCCCTGAATTTACCAGGAGCACGCGTCGTCTCTTATGATCGCGATTTTTCATAACATTAACAACATTATTTTCAAGGAAGGCAGCCTTCTCATCACCTGGCATCAAGTTGTCCAAAAGAGAAGCATTCTTTTGCTTAAAATCGGCAACTCGCCTCATAAGATCATGAGCACTCTCGGCGTAGTATTTACATGGCCTTAAGAAGATAATAAGGAAGTCGTCATCAGTTCTGTAGTATAGTGTTTTATCATCTGCAATAAATACGTTCCACTTTTATTAATTAATTAAAATTAAATTAAAAAATGCAAATTCAAATATTATATTTTTATAATTATTATGTTATATTTAATTTTATAACAATATTAAATATACAGGGAATTTACGAACAACTTCGCTATATACTGACAATTTTCAGACTCATTCGACAATATTTATTTGTTTAAAATAAAAAAACAAAATAATTGTATACTCATTTTAATGTAATCGTAGATTAAAATTGATTGAAATTGCATAAAATAAATATAGTATCTTATAGAGTAAATTAAAAATTTCAATATATTATTATACATGAAAATTAGTATACATTTATTGTTTTTTACACAGCAGTGAAATTTAAATTAGTCTAAATAAACATTCATAGCGTAAAACTTCTTTAATAAAAACATACATTAATAATTGTATAATTTATATACTTTTATTAATATTATTTGTATATAAAATAAAATAAAATTATTTACAGTAAATATGTATCATGTTTTTATGAATTATAAATGTCTTGAGTCTTAATGATTGCTCGATATATTAAAAAATAATAAATTTTAATGGATTTATGTAGAAGAAATGTATTAACTAATATTTAAAATTTTCTTATATGAAGTGTTTTGTATTATTTTATTGAAATATTTTACAATATTTTAAAAATATTTTTCAATAATTAATTCCCATTCTTGACAAAATCGAATTTTTTTATATTTATTTGGAAAACATTTATAAAATTTTCCTCTGTATTTACCAAACAAATATTGCGATAGTAAAAATAAGATAATGGTATTGAAACTATAACTTTACTTAAAAATAATATAATTTGAATTCAAACAAGATTTTTTTATTTTATACGTATATGTAAAGATTTTTTATAATTTTATGAATGCACCTTTAAGAATTGAATTAACATTAATTTTTTTTTTTTTCATTTGAATATGCAGGTGAAAAAAACTTTTTAAAAAATAGGAACTTTAATGAAATTCAAACAAATGTTTATAAAATAATCAATTGTATACTGAAATTATAATCAATCACGACTCAAAGAGATCGAAGCTGGAAGTTTTTATCAATGTAATTTAATCAAAATTTTATAAAATTTTATTACATTTCAAATATTAATATTGAAATTCAGAATTTTATTGAGATGTTATTTTGTCTTAAATCAAAATAGATTTTAAAAACAAAGCCAATTTCATAAAAGAATAAACTTTCATATACTTTAAATGAAAAAAATGTTCGTTTCAACATTAGAATATTCCATAAAATAATTATTTACCGACAATTTACAAATATTAATTTAATATATGTTCCACATTCCATAAGCAAATAATTTGGAATTATCTTTTATAAAGAAAGAAAATCTCAATTTATTATTTCATCGAGTTCAAAGTTATAATATAGAAGATAATTTGATGCATATCAAATTAAAAAGATATAATGATATTTAATCATTGTTTCAAATTATGGAAATCGACCGAATAAGTTGACCAAATACACGCAAACCAATTAAGTTTACTCTTATTTCATAAAACTATTCATAATTTGGTTATTTGTCGTATTTTTGTTTCTTCTCATTATTTAAAATAACTTGCATGTTATAACTTTACATGTCATAACATTATTTTTTAAATTTATATCTTCGGCAAATTATTAATTGAAACGTTATGTTGCAAAAACTGAAGTACATATAGAAAATATGGTATAGTAAATCATACATTAATCATACATAAGGATTTAAATATATATATATATATATATATATTATTATAAATATAAATTATTAACAAATAGTAATTCATTTCCAATGTAATATTATCACTGAATGCTGGTTTGATTTCTAACTATTTAAAATTCAATTTTCAAATTTTAAATTTAAATAACAATGTAATTACACATAATAAAAACAATAAGAAAAATATTAGTATTAGACGTTGGAATAATCAGAGTCTATAAACTAAGCAATTAAACACACTTTGGTTTAAATTTTTATGACCGTGTACAAATTATATTTAAATACAAATTATATGATAAAATAAAACATAAAAGTAATTTAAATATTGAATATAAAAAACAAAAATAATACTTATAAATTAATTATATTACGATAAAGGAGAAGATAATTGATAATTGGCAACTCCTTTACATAAGAACAAAAAAGATTAATGTAATTATTACGGAGATGATTCTTGAATAATAAACTAATCAATCTTTGTAGTAAATTAAGCTAAAATACATAGAATATCTAACAAACTGTTACAAAAAAATGATCCTATTCACTTAAAATAAAGATATATCTAATTATATAACTAAATTAATAAAAAATCTCATATAAATAAGAGAATATTTATAATTTACCTTTTTATTAACAACAAATTTGGAACTATAATTTACATGTATCAATGTATAATAACTGCAGTAACTTATAATTGTAATATGTAAAGAACTAATTACGTTACAAAACAATACTATGAAAGTGTGTCTTAAATTATAAGACAAAGATTTATATAAAACAGTAAATATAATAAAGAATTACAATATAATCGATTGAATAGCAAAAATAATTGTTAAAGCTTCATTAATTACTTAATATTAAAATCTCAAACTGATTCTAGTTCAAAATGATATTTTGAAGAAAAAAAAACATATTTGCCCTTTTTTAATTTTTTCATTCTTCATTTACAATTTCATTTATAAAAATAAATATAAAAGTATATGTTTAATTGAATAGGATTTTATAACAGAAGAAAATCCATCTACGTTATACCACGTGATTGGATGCACACATTTACATAGCAAAAAAGAAATGTCATTACAATTAAACTTGGATATATTAAGTAATTAACCTTGCTTTTTACTACCCTCAATATTGTAAAAACTAATAGCCGTCAATTATAATTTTTAATAATCATAAATTTGAAATAAAGAAATTATTTTATAATTAAAATTATATATAATAAGAAAGTATATTTTTATTGCAAATATATCTTTTAATTATTTTAATTATTGATGATGTTTTTATTATGTTCTTTAAACACATTAAATATACTCAATAATTATAATTTGATAAAATTTACGAAACAATTATTCATAATAATTATGTTTTATAAAATATGCATTACTCGTCAACATGATACAAATTACAATGTCTAGAAATAATTTCTTGAGAATTTCAATCGTTATACTAAAAGGATCACTAATGAAAAAAATCATAACAAAAATAACTATCAAAATAAAATGTGTGCCAATTAAAATTCAATTTTGAAAATAATTATTTTTAATTTATTATAAATAAATAATAGAAAATTGTATATAAATATTATATCTACATTCTGTTATTCTTATCTACTTACATTTATATTCATAAAATGAAAATTTTAATTTATGCATTTTTAAACGCAGTATAAGTAAGAAGTACAAATTTGTAAAAAAAATTTTTTAATAAAAGAAATTTTTTAATTTAAATTATAATGTAAAAATACATTAATCAATAAATGATGCACTGGTACAATAATAGAAATGATATAAGTAAATCTATAATAATATAAATGTTAATAGTATTATAATATATATATATATATATAACATTTGTGATGTTAAATAAATTATTATGTTACCCGGCGATAATAAAATTATAGATCATAAAATTTAATCTATTTAATATCTATTAAATATTATAATAATAATATTACTTATAATAAGATATCAAAAATTAATATCATTCATTATAATCGTTTTGAATTGAATAATATTGAATTGAATAACGTTGAATATGTCAACCTATGGGAAATACATATTTTATAAGATTTTTGCAATTCTATATTCTTTATCATTTTTCTGCAAATATATAAAATAAATAAAATCTATTGAGAGTGAATCACTATCAGCAAAATTCTTATATAGAAAACTACATGAACACACGAAAAAACTGGTATACACGTTTGAAATAAAAGTGTTTGAGCTGACCCCGATAACGAACTCCCGAAAGATTCATGCTTATCGGTTCTGACCCTACGCTCTCAGTCTACTCATGTATTCGTACACAACTATCTCTAATTCTGATTTCGAAATATTTCAGAAGATTATATAATTGTCGAATGAAGTGATTGATCTAAACTAGCAAATGTATAATTTCGCTTAATAGAAGCAAACAAATCAAAATAAAAATCTCCACTACTAAAGTTTTCAGTTTTCTACATTAATTCAATTGTTAATGTCAGAAGATTACAATTAACGATATTATATTTATAATAAAATTTATAATAGGTATTTTTATATTATAAGAAAAAAATACAAATTAATATATACGTGCGTACATATATATATATATATATATAACACATAATTGATATAAATATTTTAAATGAATCATGTAAAAAATAATAAATGATCAAGAATTATGAATAAAAAATTTCACTTCTAAAGAGATTTTAGATTTATTGTTATCAAAATCAAATCGATAAAAACATTCTTCAATTCTGATAAGTGCTAAACATTTAAAACACGTAAGATCTTGAAATTAAATTTCAAATTATACAAGATTTCAAGAATTTGTATTTCATACATAATTAAGTAATTTTAATGATGTAGAAAAATTTAAATTATAGATAATGAATTAAACAAGTAAATTAAAAAACTTAGCATTACATTAATCGTTGAAATCTTTTCGTAAACATAAGCTTCCTGTAATTAAATAAAAATTGCAATTATATATAATATCAGTTATTAAATAAAATATTATAAAATTATCAATATTTTGTAAAAATTATAACATGAATATTTTTAAATGATTTTAAAAACTTATGTTCGTAATAAATTTATATTATATTACATGGACAACATTCACATAGATAATTGAATATCATATTTTTCAACTCTTAAATTTTATATGCATGTAAATAATTCCGTGAATTATAAAAAAATATATTAGAACAGTAATAAAAATATAATTTGTATAAAAAATTATTTTATAAATTAAAATATTATTTTCATAAAAAGAAGTTCTTCATTAAGTACAATAAAAGCACTTACGTATAATGAAAATTTTCATAAATTGAAACAAACTTCTATTTTAGATTCTTCTCGTATATATATATATATATATATATATATATATATATATATATATAAATATAATAATTATTTCACTACGAAAAACAATTTGATAAGCGAATGAAAAAAAAATTTTTTAACATATTTTAAATATAATTTCATAGTTCACATGTATTATTATTCAAATGAATTATTAAATTGAAGAATAAATCGTTATTTTATTTGTTTTAAATTTTCTCTTTTATATTTCTAAGAAAATAATGTTACATTAATTTGATATAGTAATCACCAGAATTGACGTTATTGTGAACAAAAAAATATTGATCAAACTTTTCGTGTAATCATAAATACAAAGTCAGAAATTTATCGGCCAATTTAACCTTTCCTGAATTAAAATTGTTCATTAAATTTTTTATTCTGAATAGGAACAAGATTAAAAAAATCATGTTATAAAAATCACTTTATCTCATGAAATGGATATCTTATAGAACTCAATAATTTTCTATTATAGGATTATAATTTCAAATAATATTACTTGTCAAATTTTTATATATAAAATACAAATGCTAATAAATTATTATCGCAGTTAACTTATGATAATTAAATAGTTATTATAGTGTATGAATGATTCCATTTTTAAAGATATAATTAAATCATAAATCATAAATGATTCATACAACGAAATATAACAATCTATATTTATTTTTATTATTTTTAATAATAACAATGCAATATACAATGTAACATGCCTATTTTACACAGAATTCACAACTTTCCATTATCTACTTAAAGCTTTGTCATAAATTAAACTGGAATCAGTTTTGATTTATTTAAAACAAATTTATAATTTAAATTGTGCACTTGTATTTTATATATAAAAATTTAACAAGTAATATTATTTGAAATTATTAAATAAATTATTATTATATTTCTTACTCGGCTGAAATTAATTCGAAAAATTAATTATTTTAAATTTACACAAAATTAAAAATATCCCCTTTATGTGTAGGCATTCTCTCTATATCTCTTCTAACGATAACACAAGTGTAATACAAAATAACGGAAGAATAATCGATAAATAAGCTAGTCAATTTTAAATAAAAAATTAAATGTGTATCAATTATATGCACAAATAAAATAAAATGTATTATTACAAAAAGATTATAGATGTAATGTAGTTAATCTTCAAAATAAGTATATGTATAATATAGTATATTTAAAACTTTCGAAAATTGATAATTTATTTTTAAATAAATTATCTAATCTTATAGAAACATTTTACTATATTTAAATTAATTACGAGATATTAATAATTATCTTTGTAATAAATACGAAATTTTTTAAATCATATGAGAATATGTTCGTATTAGCTTTAGTGATTTTCTCTTTAAAAAAATTTAATTGGAAAGAAATCTTTTCATATCTTGTCAGTTAGACAGACCAAGGTAAAAAAACTTTTAAATTGTTAAGTTTAAAATTATGAAAGTGTATTGTTAATGTAAACAATGTAATTAACTCTCATTGCATAAAAACAATTAATTTTTTAATGAAATACATTGACTGTTTATTTAATGTATTGCAATAAAAGATTTATTTAAAATAATATATCTAGAAAATATGTATAATTATTTATTTGATATACATAAATTCTTATGAATCCTATTTCAAAAATTCAAAATTAATATTAGCTTATATGCATTTTATTTAATATTTTAAGTAATATTTTATAATTATAAACGATAAAATAAACTGTTATTATTACTGTCCGATTAAATAAAAATAAAATACTTTATTTAATACATCGTATTATTTTTAGTAAAACTAAAATTTAGAAATGATAATTGAAAATAATTTTATTTAAAAAAAATTGTCCAGTAAAATGATATATAGTAAACACTTAAATAAATCAAAATATTCATTAAAGCTATTTTGATAATACTTAAATTATAAATAACTATGTATTCAATAATGAGAAACCTTTTTTTGTATTTTATATTTAAAAAACTTCATACGTTTATATTATTACAAACTCTTGAAGGTAGAACATTTAATTATCATAATAATGTTCAAATTATGTAATAATTTACGTTTAAATCAGTACAAGATTAATGATTAATTTATAACAAATATATAATAATAATATTTAAAAAATATTTTAAATGATACTCTCTTATTTATCATAATTCATTTTTCTATTACTTTATTTATAAAATAATTTATATATTTATGTATTATTAATAATCAACTTTAAATAAACAAATTTACACAATAGCAATACAAAGAAATATTTATTTATGACCACCAAATATTGTGATAAAGCCATTCAATTTTAAAGTTTAGCTATAAATGAAAAACAATGAAAATTATAAATATTTTAATACTTTGTTATCTATGAATTTTTATTAATTATTGAAGTTAAATAAAGTTTTAAACTAGAATAAACCACACTAAGTAAACCACAATAGTTATTTAAAATATTAAAATTAAAATAATATGCCAAATAAACACATATTTATGTGATTATAAATTTGATAAAAAGTTTAAATAACTTTATAACGATTTGGTACTGCAGAGATTAATTACTAGAAAAACAGCCATTAAAGGGTTTCATTAAAGGTGTAAGCTATTATTACAAATTATTATAATGTATGCAAAATAAATTATGCAAAATTTACGAAATTAGATGAACTCAAAATTTATTGCTTTTATTTTGGGTATTTATAATATTAAATTATTAAACTTTTAACATTTTCTGTATGCTCATCGCTTTTCTAATAAATAATAATTCATTGTTTAAATAATTTATGCTGACATAATCATAGTAGAGTACGACATCATTTAAAACATTTCATATTTTATTTACATAAAAATAAATTGGTCAAATTTCAAAATTTTAAACATTAAGCACATTAATTAGATTAAATTAAAAGATTTTTATTAAAGTCTCGTAAATTTTAATGATCCTGAATGTCTTGTACACTATTTCTTTATAAGTCGAAGTATCAAAATAAAATTCGTATAACAAATAAACCCTTCGTTAAACTTGAAAATTTCATTAATAAGAAAATAATTATATCAAACAAATACTCACCTTCCAATAGCTTTCTGAGCTTTTCAATACCATTCCTGACGTTCTCATCGTTCTCTCTCAGCTCTTTAATAGCGAGGGCCTTTGTTTCAGAATCTATTGGCCCTCTGTGCAACTGAAAATCAACCATCTTCGTAAAGTCACTCAAAATAAAGTACTAATAAATCTCAGGCAGTTTCGGTTTTCGATGCTTGGCAATCCTTGCTGCTTGAGCGTCGTCGATGCTTCTGATGTCTTTAGGCCTACTCCTCGACTCTTCCTTCATGCTCCTTCTCTCCGATTTTCGTCATCATCAACGACCTACCGATCAGTCAATCTTTCTCGCTCGCTCTTGTCCTCGACCAATTCCAAAGTCCAATCGGACTGTGAGGCTCGTAGAGAGCGCAAAGGGGAAAGAAAATGTATGTCTAAATGTGTGTGCGAGAACACTTGAACGCGTCACTTTTTTTTATCCGTCTAACAGATAAAGGCCGCTTGTGCTTCATGTTCCTGTGCGATAACAAGTTACTACAACAAACTATATTATGATGGAAAAAGGGGCGGGATCAGATGTTTATAATTTGGATGATTTCTAATGTCTACAGCTTAATCCAACTTAATTTTTTTAACGACACTTTATTTATTTATGGTAATTTCATGTCGGATTCATGTATTTTATTTTAATTATAGATAACGACAATGCTGATAATGACATTGCTTCAATATTGCTATCCCTGATTTCAAATAAAGATTTGATGAGATGAATAATTAGAAAAGTGATAATTTATTTGCATATTTAATGTTTGACCAATGCGCCACAAGATAATTTGAATTCGTAAATACTGCCAAGAATTTTTATTGCTTTACGCATAAACGTTAGAAAAAAAAATAAACATGGGATTCTGGAATACGTTTAGATTGATATTTTAGAATAATGAGATCATATTCAAATTGGACATTCTCGTTTTATACAAATACGTAATTTTTTTAATACTGACAATTGCGTCATTACGAATATTTATTAATATTTTGAATTATTCGAAAAATACGAAAAACTCATACAGATGTATGATTGAAAATTTTAATCTATATATCAACTTTTTGCTATAACTTTCTGCTTTATAAGCTAACAAATATTTAAAATAAAATAAATTATTGTAGCATTATACTTTATTTTAATTGCACTTAAATATAATAGATGCATTCGTTAACAAAAATATCTTACAAAATTTCAATTTATAATTACGATCCTTCCTTAAAGTTATTTTTGTTAGTTTACATTGTAGTTTTAAGAAATTAACATTAAAGAATAAAAATATATTATAAATTATTAAGTATATATATGTTTAATAAAAAATAGCTTTAAATACTTTAATCACTGTTTATTCTAAAAGCTTTGATTTAATTTTGATTTATTTTTTAAAAGTATTATATATAAAATTATTTAGTACTTATATAGTTAAAAGAGAAATTTTTCTAATATTAACATTGCAATGCTCGAATATAAATGTAATTATATACTACAAAAATTGAAATTGATGTTTAAAAATGTTCTATTTATATTACCGACAATTATATTTAATTATATATATATATTTACTTATTTATTTTTGCTGAATTTATTAAATTGTAAAATAAAAAATATGATAATTATATTACCTGTAATACAATAATTTGTTTAAAATATTAACATTGCAATTCAAGAAAAGCTTTATAATATTTTACAACCTCGTGTATAATCTGAATACAATTTAATTAATTGTGTTTAACGATTTCACGTAAAGATTTAGACTGACTATTCCTTTTGAGTGTCAGTTCATAAATATTGTAATATAGCTTGTGTTTTTCACCAGACCTTGTGATGCAGGGCAGAGTGCGTAATCATTAAATGCTGGATCAAGGTTGAAAAAAGCACATAGTATATTTAGTAATAAAAAAAAAACTTAATACTTGTTATTAATCATAAAGAATAAGTAAAATGGTATAATTGAATGAGTATGAATCAAAAGCGAATATTCAGTGGTCATTTTAAATTATTCAATACATGTCCAAAATATTTGGATTTTTTGTGTTAATTAAAAATACCGATAGCTTAAGTATTCGATATATACAAAATGATTACTCGCTATTATTCGATAAATAGTATTGTAATACTGCAAGATTATAATATTATTATTACAAATTTAAATTAATGTGACAAGACTATAATATTAATGTTACAATTCCACATGATATTTCACAAGTATATATTTTTTAAATAAGATAAAAGCTTTACTTTAGTAATATTTGCCATCAATTAGTCTCTAAATATTAAGTTTTGTCTTTGTTTTCGCATTCATTTTTTTATAATAATGATATCTTCAAAAACTGATTCTCCTTGCAGATATTAAAACATTGATAAAATATCTAATCATAAGAATTATATAAATTAATTAAATAAAAATTCATTAACTTACATTATGATTTAATTTAAAAAGAAATTTTTATTCCACTTTAAATTTGATGGGTTTGTCCAATTATAAAAACAAAATGATTTTATAAAATTTACCTTAAGTCGAATATAACTTTATCGGCATATAAACTTTTTTTAACAAATGGTTTTATATTAAATAAATTTATAAATAAGAAAAATCTTGTATAAAAAAGAAAAGATCTCGTGATGTTAATAAATTATTAATAATAGACAATATGGTTAAAAAACGTTAATAATATAATTATTGTATAATATTACGAGATAAAAAGGTAATGAAAATTAATAAAACAAAAAACTCTTATCTTATATTTACGATAAATTAATATACGAATAATATTTCGTTATATAAAATTATTGAGGATATTATTCCATATAGTAAGTTATAATGATATAATTACAACATTTTAAAAACTTTTAAACAATTAATATTAAATTTAAAAAAATAGTAAGTCTTAAAATTAATCACATATACTTAACATAAAAATTAATTCAATGTTTTCAAATTGTTTACAAAAAAAATAATTATAATCATTTTAATGTTCCATTTAAATGCATTTTACAGTTAGCAAATAATTTATAATAAACTATAATCTTAACAATCAGTAAATAAATGATGTAGTTTATTCATAAACATTTTTATTTGAATATTCTTTTCATATATATATATATATATTATTATAAATAGTGTTTTACTAAAAACTCCTAGAGCAAAAATTAAAAATAACTTACATAAATACTTACAGCCATTGTATTCATTAATCTTACTATTTGTTCAATTGTAATTTGTATATTATAATGTTATGATTAAATTATCTACCAATTTAAGGGTCTTTCTGAAGGCTCAAATTATATTATATATTAAAAAGGAAAATTAACGTTTAAAATTTGTTTGTTCCCCACCTAAAAAAATTCATTTGTAAACTTTAAAATTATATTTACTTAATTTATATTTAATCATTTGTTATTTTCTTTTCAATAAAATAAAAATTAGTTTAATTTAAAGTGAACCAAATATCATTATGAATTATAAACGATTCAAACACATAATTATAATAATTAGAATTACTACTAATTAGAGTATTAATTAGAATATTTTGTATTGTGAAATGTATTGTCGAACAAATATATAACCTTATATAGTTTAAAACTTTAATGTATAACTTTATTTTTACATTTTCCGTTTTAATAAACAATTCTTATATTTTTATAATATTGATTATATAATGTTACTATAAATGTAAACAGTTGAATAGTTCAAATAAATTAAAACGGTATCATTTATAACAAATTTAAGAACAATAGAAAAATTTGAAATATATAGAACACTATGTTAGTTGTACAACTTTAATAGACTTGTAATCCTTCAAAATTTAATTAAAATTTTAATTTTTAGATTAATTGGATTTTGAAAAAAATATAAAAATATAAAAATATTAATAATTTCTTTATATAAATAAATAAAAGAAATAGTACATAAAGCGCTGCGCGCGCGCGCGTATGCGTTTATGTGTGTGTGTGTAAAACTTAAAAAAGAGAAAGAAATATGGGTAAATATGTAAGTAAAGCTTTTTATTTACAGAATTGATTGTTTTTTTATATGTAAAGAATTAAAACGATCCATTAAAGAAATTTTAAATAAAAATTATTTATTTAATGATCAACTATAAATTATTTTACTTATATTATAGATATTATTTTTTATCTTTCACTACTATCTTTACTTATTATAAACCTTATCCTCTTTTTATCGTGATTCATTTATATGCAGATATAAATTATAATCATTTTTTTATTAGTCATACTTTATGCCAACTTTTATAATGAATTCACTTTTGTTGTATTTTACTTAATGTTCATTCTCACTTTATTAGTCAATTAAATACTGTCATAAAAAATAGCTACTATGAAATTAAATTATTGTTAAAACTCAAATTGCATTAGATAATTTTTTTATGACATTGATTATGTGTAATATACTAAACGTATAATAATTTATTAAGTAATTCCGTGTAAAAAAATTCACTTAACATAAAGGAATTAGTTTATTTCTATATTAAAAAATTATTTTTATACCTGCTTTTTAAGAAAAAACCCAAAAGATGTTCGATTAACAATCATTAATTAATACCCATTGATTTATTATCAGGATTCAACAAAATTTTATAGTAATATAATTATGATTTTTCGAGCAATTTATAAGATCTATTTATTTTAAATTAAAAACATTGAAAGAAAATGACCATCTCTAAACATTAAAATTTCAATTATAAATCAGCTATGTAACTATTTGTACTTAAACGATTAATATTATCTCTGATGAGAAACAACAAAAATTTAATTAGGTATGTCATTGTTTCATGATGAGGCATTTTCTTTCTCTACCTTTTCAATTAAACAATAAAATTTTTTACGAATAAACGAATAATAAAATATATTAAGTTTCCATTGTATAAACAATTTCATTGTAATGAAAAAATTGATATTAAAATGTTATTCATTGTATATTAATATATTATATATTTACATATATTACATTAATATATACATATAATAATACATATTAATATAAACGTATATTAATTTTTTTATTAATAATCATAAGAAAATATTAAATTAAGCTTCGTTTCACACTATATTATAAATCATAACTTTTGATTGAAAAAACAAATTTGATGTAAAATTTTTAAATTAATGAAATATAAATGTACAAATAATTATCCATGTATCCAAGTTCTATTACTTATTGTTATTTTAAAATATTTTATATTAAAAAAAGCCAGTAATAGTTAATTTTATTATTGACAATCCTTGTAAAATAATAACATTGGAATTAAATTATTTTTATTTACTTATATTATCAGTGCTGTTTTTACAGACGTTTAAATAAAATATAATTTATAAATAAATACTTGTTCTTACTTAATGTACGAATATATATTATTATTTAAAATTGACAAATAGTAATGACATACATATGTAATATCTAAAATATGTAAGCAAATTTGTATTAGTATGATTCTACAATCGTATTTATTTCTTTTGTTAGTGTTTTGGATTAACGATGTAGAATACGTCATATAAAATAACACTTTTCATTGTATTGAGAAGAGGATATTTTCTTCCACAAATGCCCTTGAAATCATCACTTTCTATACTCCATAACATTGCACCACCGAGGCCAAATTTCTTAACATTTAAAACCTTTTCCTTTAAAGAATTAATGATATATGTTTAGTCGGAATTAAAAAAAAATTAAAAAAAAGAATAAATTAAAAATCTAAAGTAAGATATTAGAGATACGAAACCGTAATGAATAAAAATTTTTTTTTTAACAGTGAAGGCAAGAAATTCAGACATAAACTCAGAATTTATTTTTAATATAAAAATTGATAATTTTATTAAATAAAAACTAAACATTACTCTTTGAATATGTATCAGTTTAGTTTCTCATAAGAAATTTTGTCGAAATAAATTATGTTTAAAAGTTGATTATTTTAATCTTCACTGATTGCAATGCAACGTAAATTTAATATATCATTAATTATTGTCGAAAGTAAAGAATAATAATAAAATTAAAAATTTATATATATTGATCATTAGATCCTTCATTATAGCTAATCCACTGGCTCACGCTACACGCGTAAGATACCTGCTGTTCCTCATTGTAAATAATCTTCCAAGTTTCATTTCTAAATTTCTCGGTAATTTCACGAAAGCTCATAATGTCAACCTCGTGAATGTATGATCGAGCAACGGATGAATGCTGAGCTGGAGCACCAATTCCATTATTATGTTATTCTTTTCATTATTATATGCTTCCATTATTATATTATTCCATTATCTAGATGATCTACGGTTAATCTTCCGCCATACAATGCCATGTCTAATACAAGTTTTTTGACTGGAGCACCTTGATTTCACCAGTCATGAACTGCAGAATCCAATAGAACAAGTAAAAAAGAATAATCCAATATACATTGCATGATTATACGATAAAATATATTATTTAATTAATATTCATTGCCAGTTTGAAAAAGTCGAATTTAAATAGTCTATGTTTAATTACTTACAATTAGGTGATGATAAGGATCTTATCTATACCTTATCAAAATTTTCAAATTTAATATAGTATAAAAATATAAGATTAAAACAAATAAATACAGCTTCTTTTTTCTCTAAATTTATCTTCATTCTAGCATACATAATCATTATTCAAAGAAACTTGAACTTTACTATGCTATGCATACATGATGTTATAGTAGTATTTAATTTATTTAAATTTATAAAATCTATAAAATGTTAAGAAACTTAAAATTACAATACAATAATTTATTTTTATTGTAAAATGAAAATTTTTTACATTTTATGCTTTTCCAATATTGAAAATGTGAAGTAAAAAAATTAAAATTTTAAGCCATATTTACACACTTGCATTAAGATCTTTCTCTTCGCGGTATTTCAATGATCCAAATTATAAAGGTCCATTCATATCAGTATTTTTATAAATAGTGTTATACTACTATAAAAGTTGATGCGGCTATACTAAATAGCAAATTTTCACCTCAAATTCTCAGTTAATAAAATGAAGTTATCCCTACCAAACTCAGTACTATTTGTCTAATTAGGTTATTTCTAGTAAATATCCAATCTATACTTTTTTTTACAAATATAGTTTTCATTTCTTAACTAATATTGCGCAGTTTATTGATCCAATACTTTTATTTCATCTTCTTCGCTAATGCCCAAAAATGCATATATTAAATACATACAGAGTGTGGGGTTAATATTATAAATATTAAATTTATCCATTCATGGTTGACAAAAAGACCAAACCACCGAAGTAACACATAACTTTATTTAAGTTAAAAGAGTATTTATAATAATCTCATTATTCATAGTATTCATAATATCCAAATTATTATATAAAAAAATATTTCAGCCTAATCGTTATAAAAAAAATTGTTTCTTCCATAGTAGAATCTTCCTTTTAATTCTATGAACTATATTTATACAGTCATATATATTTTCTTGAGTTTCGGTAATTAAAATTAAATACTAAATATTTATATAACAAATTTTATTTAATTATTTTATAATTAAGACTATAATATTTTTTATTGTAGTGTAATTATATAACTATATTAGTTTAAAATAGTTTAGTTACTATATTTTAGTAATTGTTTGGAAAAAGTTTACAATATTCATAAATATAATAATAAATACGTTTACAATTAGTTTCAAAAATGAATTTTATATTTTTTCTATAATTTTTATATAAGTCTTTTATAACTTTTAATTTTGTTCAAATATAAAAGATAAAAATTATCTTAAAATTAAAAATTATAACATGATAAAAATTAAAACACACACACACACACACATATATATATATATATATATAGATAGATAGATAGATAGAGAGAGAGAGAGAGAGAGAGAGAGAGAGAGAGAGAGAGAGAGAGGGGGGGAGGGAGAGGAGGCAGAGGCATCTAAAATTTTAATAAGATAATATAATTATATAAGAAAATAAAAATATAAAAATTATATATACATATACATATTAATATAAAAATTCATTATTAAGGAAAAGCTTTTACATTAATAACTTACTTGCTTGTGTAACTACGTTTAAGGTCAAGAGGCCAATAAATAATAAAGTGATTGCATACATCAACAAATAATCAATCCTTTAATTTTTTTTAATATGTTAATTAATCTTGATATAGTTGCTAAATCAAAATACATTTTCATTAATTATAAAATATGACACTAGTTTTCTTAGAAAATTTCGATTGTATTTTTAGAGAATCTTCAATACTCACATAAATAATCTTTAAATTATATTTAATGAACATAGTCCATTAGTAAATATTCATCAATGGCCATATATTTAATAAATACATTGATCCTTTTTTATGTAATTCTACAATATAATAACTTAGCATTAAATTTTTAAATATAGGAAATATTCTAATAAAAAGCGCTTCAATTACATTATACATTTCTCTAAAGTATGATTTTAACTTCTCGAATAGTCCAAAAGGAATTAACTTATATAATAAATATGTAAAAATGTATTATATATTCTATAATTGCGATACAATACTTCAGTTTATTAAAATATTTTTAACAAAATAATTTGCATTAATTCTTTGATTTACATAAAGAAATTAAAAATTTTATTTTATTTTAAATTACTTCATATATAATTTTATACATTTCTCTAGATACTTAAAATCTATTCAAAAATATTTAATTATTACTTTTTTTACTTTCTTAATAAAATTTTTTTAAAAAAATTCTAATAAAATTTATCATTGAAAAATCAAATCTATGAAGCTAAATAATAAATATTTAAATTAATATTCAGAAACATACATATGTATATTTCCCTTTGATATTATTTAATATTCTACTTACAAACTAATTTTGCATTTTGTTGATGATGCACAAGTTATGCGAATTTATCAATATAATTTATGTAAAATAATTTGCTCCATAAAATAATGGCACTTATTAATTTTTATATATAAATTCTGATATTAGCATATATAATATGTAATAGTTAAAAAAACAATTATATAACTTGTTTATTAATAAAAATTCTTTTAAGTGGACCTTTTTCTTAATACACTTAAAATTGATTAACTTCTTGATGGTAAAATTAATTACAATTACAATTTGTTATGTACATCTTTACACGTAATAAAATTTACATACTTTTAAGACTATATAAGACTATACATAGAAAATAATAATAATTTTATAATTGTGATATTTATAGCATGATGTACCTGTGTAGTAAAATGTAATAATTTTTTTTTAATTTTACAAAAAATTATATGCCTTTGTTAATTATGAATATTGTACAATTTCCACAGTATATAAATATATATTAGTTTACAATAATTTAAAATTTTAATACATTTCTACTGACAAATATAATACAAGAACGGTATCAAAACATATCAAACCTTGAGTTTGATAACAGATAGTACAGACCTGCAATATACTAGAATATATTGATTTTTACGCAAGATTCTTATGATAATTTTATTGATAAGCATCAGCTATCAAAATCTCCTGATAATCATTACATTAAATATATTCATTGTCCGGAGTTATAATTATCTTAGATTGTGCATATTCACTTTGCTTATTTTTAATTCAGTTACAGCACAACTTTATACCAAATTTTGATAAAGCAATAAATAGCTAAATTATTAATTTAAATATAAAAGATTAAATATACATACGTACATTCGTATGATAAGATAATTATAAAAAATATATTTTCAAAAATATACCGCTACATTTAATAATATAAATGATAAATAATATATAGTAAGTAAAACAATCTAATTACTACAATGTAGACGGAATATTCCAATATATGTTAATTAATCTATAAAAAATATATTTTTTTGTTTTTCATTACTATACTATAGATGTAAATATCACTCTCGTGATAAATTAAAGCTTTCTTTAAATACTTTAAGTATTTTCTAAATTGAAACTCAAAATAAATGTTTATACACTTATAGCGAAAGACATATTATATAATATAATAAATCATATATTATAATTTTATACTTTTTTTTTAATTTATAAAAATATAGATAAGAAAATATATAATAACGTTATTAGTATTAGAAAATCAATAGAGTGATGTAAATATCACCAAATTTCTAAGTAAGTCAAGGTCATTATTAATATATTTTCTATTAAGTAAATAAGAAAAATCACTGGATAATGTATATATTTTTTTATTTTCTTCAAATTCACGACTTTTTTTTTTATTAAATCATTAAATTTTTTAGTTTTAATACTTATGGAATTTTTTTTTACTGTATTTTTTTTTACTATTAAAATTAATACCAATCAATTCACATCTTTGAAATATCTTCTAGCCATTTTATTTTGAAACAGAGTCGTAGATATTCGGAGATAGACATATTGTTTTAATTATTCATTATTCATTCCTCGTATGTGCAATGGTTGTTGATAAGCTGAGCCAGAAAGTAAAACTATAACTATAGTAAAATAAATATTACTATCAATATCTTCTGTAATATTGTTCTAATAAATCGGAAGGAATAAATCTACCAAACGAAAAAGATATATCATGAACATAAAGTACATAAATAAAATGTATTTGAAAAATTTTAATAGTAAAAATGTTGCATTGTTTATTTATGATATATTATTGTAAATTATTATTCAAAGCGTGAATTTGTTAATACAAGAATCAAACTGTATTAATACTAATATATAAAAGAAAATCATAGATATTTCTTAGTATTAAAATATTAATAAAATATTAAATAATATTTATTAATCTTTAGGTAATGTTTTATAGAATATATTGAAAATTACAATGTTTTACTATCACAATAATAAGTTTTGTAAACCTATAGTGGCATAATATAAAATAATATTTCTTTTGAATATGAATTCCATTAGTAATTTTGAACATATCGAAATAAACATAAATATAAATTTACAATTTTTTATTGATTACTAAATAGCATAATGTCGAACTCTTATTTCTTATTCATAAGAAGAATTCTAATTTGTAAGAATTTATTATGATTATTTTAATATTAAAGATATTAAAATATATATTTCTTAATATTTTATTAGGTAAAGGTATTTGTTTGTACATAATAAAAAAATCGTATAACAAATATTTATAATATGCATTAAATGTTTATTTCTATTTTTAATCAATATGCTATTACTTAAAAATAACTGGTTCAAAGTTCCATAATGATTTATATTAACAAAATAACATAAAAATATTCATAGTAAATATGTCAATTATAAAATATAATATTTTATCTTAAATTACGTATCTAAAAAGATTATTGAAAAATCAAAATCATTTCAATTTGTCAAAAAAATATTACTTATAATAAAATTAATTTTTGGTGCATACTCATCTTACACAATAAAAATATATATTTATTAAATATACGTGTGTTTACCATTCCAAGTAAAATTGATTTAATATAATCCTTTAATTAATTTCTCTTACAAAGATATTGCTGTTGTATAATTAATAAAGCTTTCAGATTTTAGTGATATTTATTAACAATAAATGTATTTCTAATTATATAAATACTTATGGCCACGAAGGCAACGTATTGTATCACATAATAAAGCATTAATGCACAGAAGATAAAGTAGAATTTGTAATATTCATTATTTTCATTCTTTTTATAACTTTAATGAATATAATAAATTATTATTTAAACTCAAATTATTGAAAAAAAAAAAATTATTATAAAGTTGTCCTGTATATAAATTGTAATCTATTTAGCAAATAAGCATTTGGAATAAAAGGGACAAAATGAAAAGAAAAATGGAATTTTAAAAATATACTTAACAATAGGAATCTTAATACATGAAATACTGCAATCTATAAAGTTTTCAAATAACATAACGTAAATTAACACAATTCTACACTACAATGCAGTTTCTTATAGAACACCTCATTCTCGCTAATTCAGTTTGTCTCTGCCAATTTTGTATTAATTGATATTTGAAATACAAGTATCAATAAGTTTCTGTAATTTCAGTGATAAATAGTATAGAATTGTACCATGTGAGTATGAAAATACAATTTGTTATATTTTTGGAAAACAAATTACTACGTTTATTGTGTTATCGAAATTGTATGAATGAACAATTAATAAAATCAGTTTAAAAAAAAAAGTTATTTTTTTATCAATTTTTTAATTTAAATAAATTATTAACATATATTATTCTGGTGATAATTTTATTATTACTTATTTCTATATTAATTTCAGGATGAACATCAAATTTAATACGATAAAATGACATATATTTAATTCAATTATATAAGAAAAAATGTTATTTATAATAAAATGTATATTCAATAAAATATTAATTCAATCTTACTTAATAAAAATCTTTTTAATCAATTCTTTCATTTACATAACATGTATATATATATATATATATATATATATATATATATGTATTGAAAAACTTGATATTATTATTAATAATGGATTAGAATACCAATTTATATAGAAACTTAGATTGTTCATATATAGAAAATATCACCAAATAAAAACTTGAAATCAATATAATTAATTTAGTTATTATAAAATACGTAATTGAAAAAGATTCGAAAAATGCAGAAGTATATGAAGAAATAAGACTTACGAGTATACAATGAGTATACATGAATGAGTATACAAAATAACTACGTTAAATCAGTAATTGTAAAAACGTCGTCCGATTCTTTTACATAATTGAATTCATTAGCATCTTATGCATTATCATACGTTCTTAAATTGATCGTTCCTTTTCTATTGAAAATATTTTATAAAAATACTTGATCATGATTTTATTAAACCATACAAAAAACACTAATTATATGTTATGTTATCATTAATTATCTGAATAATATTTGTTTATCTTAATATATACTTATCTTAAATATTTTTACGAGTATTTAATAAGAATTATCATTAAAAATGTGTAGAAAATATATATGAAAAGTGCCAGTATTTAAACTTGTTAATAAAATATTTTATTTCAAAATCTGAAATAAAAGTATATCCATATATTCAGTATTATGATAATTGCATAATAAATTTATTACAATTTTATAAAATAATTTTTTATAATTATTAATGGATAATAAATGCTACCAGTTGCAGCACAGTACTATGATATTTATCGACTTTCAATGATTTTCTAGACAAGCTTATAATATTAAAAAAAAAATCCGTATTCGTATGACAATATAACATATAATATAACATATTATATACCTAAAATTTTCAACATTTAAACATTTTTCTCCATATTTTATTGTCTAAATGTATATGTAGTTAATTTAACATTTATATATGTAAATTAGCATTAACGAAAAATCATTTTTCTTTAAAATCAGTATTGAAACTGATTTTAGGTTGTTAGCCATCAGTACGTGATGAATTATGTAATGTCTCGTGTTCATAATGAAACCCTAGTTTGCAACTACCTTGAAAAATATTCAATACATTACCTATTGAATCATATTAATAAAAATATTTAATTTTTTATTATAATACATAATAATAATATTTTATAATCGTTACTAACATTTTGTTATTTATACATATTTTTCTTTATATTTAACTAAATAAAAGATAAAATATTTCAATTAAATTAAAAGTATTTTTAAAATAATTCGATTTAAAAAGATGAGAAAATAATGAAAGAAAGTAATTTATTTAACATAAATAAAGTAACAGATTTTCTCTGTAAAAAAAAAACTGCATTTCAATTAATCGTTATCCCTGCACTCATATGCACATATGCATATATATATATATATATATATATATATATATATATATATATAATTGCATGCGATTAGTTTCAATTTAGAGAAATGTATGTTCGTGGTATCAATACTGCCCTCAACCGTGTCATTTTCACGTAACGCACGTGGATTCATGTACGCCGACGCGTCTAAACTCAAGAAACATACACATGCGCAAAGAAGCACAGAATATCTATGTACGCAAAAACGATCTATCAGCTTCAATAACGTCATTGTTACCGATTGAAAGAGAAAAAGAAAACAAATATAAAAAATGAAATAAAACTATAATAAATAAAAAGTACATATTATTTATACATACACACTCGTATGTATAAATAAATTTATATTTACATATATATATATATATATATATATATATATATATATATATATATATATATATTATATATATTATATATATATATGTATAAGAAACATATTTCTACAATTTATTATTGCATATTTACATGTAGAATAAAACATATGATCCACTGGCAAATAAAAAAAGTAAATTTCAAGACCTTGAATAACCTGTACATGTACGTCTTCGTATTTTCACGCCCATTGCAAATTTAAATTAAAACGAGTGAGAAGACAAATGAAAATATAATAATATAAAAGGATAGTTGTTTTGTGGTTGAGTAGTGTGGAATAGTGCAAAACTCTGACAATTTTTAGTGAGCAAACGAAAAATTTTCGGAAAAATAATATGTCAAATCCGGAAATTATTACGTCCAATACGATGCATGGAGTCTGGCCATTTTTACAAAACGTAAGTTTATTTATGTTTATTCAATTAATATCTGAAAATTTTCATATGTACAAAAAAATTAGACCTTGATGTGCCGAACTTTTAGGTTAAGGATTCTGTTATATTACCATTGATATTGATAAAGAAATTTTTTTAACATCAATTTAATGTTATTTAAGGTATTATTTCATTTAGTTATTTTTATGTTTATATTGTGAATGATTTATTTATTTATTTTATTTACTTATTTCAAATTTAATGTTTAAGTGGTATTATTGGATAATAAAATAAAATAAAAATTTTTTTGTAAGCTCAATATGTATTAAACATTTTTTAATTTAAATTATTTAAATGAAAATTTTTATGATTTAGATTTACTAAAATCTATTAATATACAAAAGACAAATATTTATTATTCATTTTCAATACAAATTGTTAATTATATATTGTAAATTTGTAATAATATATTTTTAAAAGAATTATAATTTATGTTTTTCTTTTATAGTCAAATTATCAAAGTAATCTAATTAATATTAATTGAAAAATTTAATAACACTACTTTACTCACAAATGAATCAATGTTTATACTATATATTTAATTGTTAAATAAGAACTTTTTAAAAAGTTTAATACAAATATAAGGTGAAATGTAAATTGATATTTTCAAATGAAATGTAAATTTTTAGAAATTCCATATTTAAAATAAATTATTTACTTAATTTTATTATATAAGAATACAATGCTATAAAATTGTAATATTATTTAATAAAAAATAGATAGTGTATAGGTTTTTATTAGTTATAACATTTTATCATCCTATAGAAAGTTAATTTTATTTATATAAATAGTTCAAAACTATTCTAAATTATAATTATAATATAATACAATTTAAAAATGTAATGTTATATTATATTAACAATTATACAACCTATAATAAATAATAGAAAATTTGAAAAATAAACACAACATTCATAAAATTAATAACTGAAATTTACTTATAGATTGAATGGAGGGATCCATGGCTTGTATTACTTATAACGTTTCATATAGCTGTCACAATGACAGCATTAATGACGAGAAATCATGCAAACTTTCAGATTTTATTATTTCTTGTTCTCTGTAAGTCTTTCCAAATTAATTTTGATACAAATATAAGCAGTTAGAAAATATATTATTATTATTTTTTAATTTATTTTCAGTATTGTTAGTTTATTTTTCTGAAAGTATTAACGAAGTAGCGGCAACACATTGGATGTAAGTCCATAAAACAAAAAGCATTATAATCACTAACTAATAAATTGTTATTAAAAAAAATAATTAAATTGTAGGGTTTTTTCCAAACAACAATATTTTGATTCAAAAGGATTATTTATATCAATTGTATTTTCTGTACCAATTTTAATGAACTGTATGATAATGGTGGTAAGTTTAAATAAACCATATAATTTTGTTTCATACTTTTTTATAATAAAATCATTTTATAATATTATATGTAGTATAACTTTAAATAATACAAATAATTAATCAACTACTCGTACGATGAAACTGTTACAACATAAACAATATATATTTCAATATATTAAATACATCTCATTTGCAGGCAAGTTGGTTATATCAATCAAGTCAATTAATGACAAGCCTAAAAAGAGCACAATTGCGTCAACAGGCAAAACATAGACTGACAAATAATAGAGATACATCAAATGGGACTAATAGCGTCTCTAATTCTGGCGAGAAAAAAAATGATTAAAAATAATCCATTCTAGTCACCCATAGACCCCAGATATCAATATTATTCTTTTATAAGATATATAACAAAGTGATGTAAAATTTGATCTATCGATTCAACATTAATAACACAAAAACTGCTTCGAATTGAAAATTTACAATAAATTCTTAAATTTGAAGTAAGAAGTAAATGCTACAAGGTAGTATTTAATTTGAATACGAAAAAAAAAAAACATTTGGTTATTGTATTTAATAATTTAAATTTACAAATTAAATGTTAACAACAATAAAAATTAAATATGAAATATCATTGATAATTCAGAAGAAGAAATGAAATCAAATTCAGACTAAAAGATTTATAATTAGTAATTGTTTAAATATATGTTCTGTTTGAACAATAAGTTATTCTTTTGAAGGATACATCCAGTACAAGTAACTACAAATTATGGAGTTAGTTATTATTTAATGCATTTGCAATAGTGATAGATTTTGAAAGCTATATAAAAATACCAATTAAAAAATATAATTGAAATATTTTGATAATTAATCACAAAACAACTAGTAAAAATCACTAAATCAAGTTAAGGAGAGATTTCTTATAAAATTTTTAAGTATTTTCAAGAAATCGTTTTTGAATATAAGTGATTGATTCCAGCTTTTATTAAAGATTTTATTACGCTTGAAGGTAAGAATAAAAATAAAAAATTCGACTTCTTAAAATATTTTATATTAATTTTAACGTCATTTTAATTTTCTTTATAATAGAAATATTTTTCAATATCTAATATAAAAAACTATTTAATTATTGTAGCAATGGATACATATAAGAAACTCTTATAAAATGTAATAGATTTTTTTATTTTTGTTAATTAAGTTCTTTTAAAACTATCTGGAATCAAAAAATTTTTATAATAATTTTTAATGTTATATATTTATATAAAATATACTATAGAGTTCCATACATAATGAAGTGTAAATATTATAAAAAATTTTATTTTAAAATATGAAAGCAAAAACAAATATTGGATAACATAATGTATATAAGTAAATCTTAGAAACTTATAACTTAAAGAAGATTCAAACAATAATTTTGTTAAATTTTCTTTACGAACTTCGAACCTATTAAATAGTACAATGTAAACAAAAAATACGACAATTTATAATTTTAGAATGATTTTAATTGTTTATTTAATATTTGTAGCACGTCAAGAAAAACTTCATTGATACGAAAATATAATGTAAATCTTCTTAAATTAATATAATTTAAATATAATATTAATCACAAATTTTTAGAAAACTTTACGCGATTAATTGTCGCATTATAATTTTGTAAATGTTTAACATATAATTGGTATTTTCAAATTTAGTAGATTACATAATTTTTCTATCAGAAATATACTATACAGTTGTAAGTTTTTTAAATTTGCTTGTATTTAATTCCATTATATAATGCTAATCTTAAGTATTGTACACGTTTTCTGCCACTTTTCTTGTTCTAAATCTTATTAAGCACGAATAATACGAATGAAATTAACGTTACAAATAATGTATTTATTGAAATTGGATTAAATCTTATACGTGTTTATTATGCACATTATTTTTTGTTATTATTGTTGTAAATTTGTCTTCGCGTATACACATAAATGCATATAAACATATATATAATGCAATATTCAAGTCTGCGTATGAATAATGAAAAAAATGCAAATGTATATGTTTACAACATACTTTTTTTTTAAAGGAGAGTAAAAATAAATGATTTGAGCATTATTTTGGATATATTTACACAATTAAAATATTCTTATGTAATTTTTATAGTTGATGAGAGCATTTATATATTAAATATTCTTCTATTACATGGAATTGCGTTCATTTGGCCACCTTCATCCTCATCATCATCATCATCATCATCATCATCATCATCATCATTTACATACAAATTAAGATTTCGAAAAAAATGTCAATAAAATTAAAAATAATGAATTTAAAAACCGAATTAAATAGAAGAAAATTAGATAAAAAAAATCTGCAATAAACATCACTGATTTTTAAAAGAATGAAAAGCATTATCAAATAAGAAATATACATATGAATATAAAAATGGAATAGTTTAAAACATAGAAAAGATGCCTTAACTAACATTAAATTGTACATTTAGAAGTTTTTGTTTAAGATAAAAAGATAAATTACGAGTACAATGAAAACCAAACAATGCTTTTTTATATGATTTCCGTTTTAAATAAGTAATAGATACATTTGATTCCATTAAAAATTGATGCAGTAAAATGCAAAAGCATTTCAATAGAGAAATTTTATTAAATTTCAAGAATAACCTCATGAAAAAGGTATAAGTAACTGAATATATATCATTCAAGTAAATTACATATGTTGTATATAAATCTATATAAATCAAAGCTACCTTGAATATGCCAAAGTTAAAAATAAAATAATCGTTCACAAACCATTAAAAAAAAATCGAATACTATTAATATATTTATTAATATATAAAATATTTCAAATGTAGTAAATTCATTTGAATTTTATCGGGATGCACCGAATCAAAAAAAATAAACTAAGACATGTATATATATATATATTTTTTTTTTAATTCAGGAAGTCAACATAATACATCGTTTATTTTGTCAATTTTTTTATTAAATTTTGATTTTAATAAAGAATTCATGCGCCAAAATATAAATTACCAGTCACAAACTATATCAAATTGTTTTCACAGGTACTGCTACAAAAGAAGTATATTTGGTTACAAAATATTTAAATTACTAATATTTTCTTTATAGAATAAGAACTATATTATAAATAAATATTGAATAACATGACTGCATAGCAGTATTAGAAATAATTTTTACTACGTTTATAATATTTGTAATATAATATAAAAATTTGTATAAGATTATTCACCTAAACATTATCAATCCAAATGAAAATTATCATACAAAATGAAACTTTGAATAGAAAATAGTAAAAAAAAAAACATGAGGATTAAGTATAAGATTAACAAAAGTTTATAAGGTTGTATTCAATAATACTACATTTAAATTTTCTATGATGCTAATAGTGTTTATAGATATATTTGATAATATTAATAAATAATAATGTTTATAAAGAATTTGACCAAAATTTTATATTAACTATAAAAATTAAAATAAATTAACATTTAAGAAATTCATATCAATATTTCTCCTTAATATATATTCCATATATTCAATATATAAAATACAGAATATGATACTGGTATATAGTCCAAGAAATTCTTGATAATACGAAATTTAAAATTATATTAAAAACACTGATAATAAATCGATTGAATTTTATGTTATACAAGTTAATTTGACTTATTGATTTCAGACATTTAGTATTCCTGAATAATGACTTAAAGTAAGATGAAAGTTAAAAATTAGTAATTCAATTCGATTTAATTTCAATTTAAAAAACATTAAATGTTCTATTGTATAAAATAAACCTATATGAATCTTGAAATTAATTGACATGAACAATTTAATTTTCTAGTTTTTCCCTTGCATACTGTTCTGCTGATTATATAATTTTATATACTTTCTTTGTTTATATTTGTGTAATCTTATATTTTTTAATCTTTAATATATAATTTATATCTTATAATCTTATATTCTATAATTACAAAAAACAAATTGACATATTTTGTTCTCATAATTTCATAAGTTACAAAATAAACGTATAAATGCAAGTACTAAAATAATTAATAATATAAAGCATTCAAAAGTACTAAAATAAACGAGTTGTAATAATCATGTGTGTGCAATAATAATTAGAATTTCATATCAATAACAATTAGTATCAATAATTTGAAATTCAATTTTTCTAAAATTAAAAAAAATTGAATGAAAATTCATTATAAAAATTGGCAAAAAAAAATGATATTGTCAATAAGAAAAATTGCAAATTGATTTTACAAAACCAAAAATATATTTTAAAGACAGCATAAAAATTTCAAACAATAGTAATAACGAAGAAAAGTGACAGAAAAAATGGTGAAATTAATGATTAGTATATATTTTGAACTAACAATATTAAATGATTTATATACAAAATTTAAAATGCTGTAATTTGTAGTGTACAATAATATTGAAGTTATTAAATATTAAAAATAATGAATTTATGAAATGAAAAAGGTTGGTAAAGATAAAAAAAATAAATTAAAAAGATGTAAAAATCGAAACTTATTATTTCAATGAAGAAATTTTCAAACGGTATCGATCATTTGAATTTAAAACAAAGATCGAAATTTAATATGTAATTAAAATCACAAAATATGAGATGAAAGTAGAAAAATAAAAAATGGAGAAAAAAGTAAGTATAAAGGAATTAAAAACAAGAACAAAATTCACATTATATTTAATTATCATAAATTAATAGATTAAAATGATATAATTATATTTCTTATTATTTTATTAATAATTTTGACTCAATATTGCCATATTTACAATCGTTCAGAAATGAAATATGATGTGAAATTAGCCTTACCTTTATCTACATAAGATCGAAATTGGAAAATTGTAATTAAGATATAAAATAATATCTTGTTTATTTATTATATATATATATATATATATATATATATATATAGAGAGAGAGAGAGAGAGAGAGAGAGAGAGAGAGAGAGAGAGAGGGAGAGAGAGGGAGAGCTATTAGAAACTTCTGTGATGCAATAAGATTTCTACATCACTATGATATAAATATTGTAAACACAAATTTGACTATTCCATATACTATTGCTTTTTTGATTTATTGATTATTTTAAGACAAAATATCTTTGTATATATTTATTAAATATGCAATTATAATGAATTACGTATTTGAAAGAAATTTTAAATTATAATTCTGAAATTATGATGATTGATACGAAAATTAATATGCTAAAAACTTGTTATAATCATTTATCGTTTGCCACCTCGGTATTATAAATATTATATATATATATATATATATATATTTTAATCTATTTATTAATCTATTTATTAATAAGTTTTAAACATTTTCATTAGTACATGAAAATTTCTTTAACTGTAAAAAATTACTGTTTCGGCATTCAAAAAAACGCATAAGAAAAATTGTATTTACCTCATGTATGCAAAATAAATTATGACCTCTAAAAAATAATTGACACATTAATAAAACGAAAGCATATATAACAATGTTTTTATTTTATTTATATTTTTCCTTACAACCCTGTATCAATTTATTTATTGATTAATATTAGAATAAAATGTTATTGAAATATATGTATTATTTCAAAAGTTCAAAATATTTTTAATTTATTTCAATCTAAATTAGACATTTTCTTACTTTATTTCTTTTGATGTAAATTAATAAGTATATAATTAATAAATTATTACAGAATCAATACCACGTTCAAAGTTTATAATTAACTTTTTTCCAGAACTTTTAAAAGTTATTTAAGAAACTTGTTATTGTGATTCACAAGTAGAATTTATTTTAAAATATCGTAAAGCAAAGCAAAATAATATTCTTAACCTAGTACTTAAATAAGTTTTGGAAATTGTACTTATTTAACATATACTTACGTACTTTTTTAAACTGAGAATAAGAAAACAAAACTTTATCTATAAATTAACATTTCAATAAATGTTTCAACATGCTTGTTTACAATTTTTTTTATTACTTAAAAAACAAAATATAAAAATCTAAATATTTAATATTATATTTAAAAATATATCGAATTAATTATTCTTAATTTTTATTTTTATCGATTGTTTTACTTTATAAAATTAATTTACTAATGAAAAAATTTCTGAAAGCATTTGAAACAAAATCGGAGCGAAGGCTTTATGAGTATTAGGAACGATGTCAAAGTGTTCAGTTTATTGTATGTGTATTTATTATCATCATAACCTTCTTTTAATAATAATGGCATTAAAATTAGTTTTCCGTTACTTTTATGTTTCATTGGCTGTTAAATATTTTATTATAATATGATCTCATTATTAAATTAAAATTTTTAAAAAGTATTATCCTAATATTTTTAAATTACACTTGTCGTGTGACTATCATCTTGACACCACTGCAACTTAAATTCACGTTTGTTAGAAATATAAATTCAAATGTACTGGTGATTCAAAAAGTTAAAAAAATTCATAGAATAGGGACAAGAAAACCATTTTAAACTGAAGTAATATAAATTATTTAAATGGCTTAACGAAATTAATAAATTTTAATCTTAAAATGCAAAGATACTTAACCTCTTTGACGTGACAAATAAAAAAATATTGTTTAATTTTAAATATTTAAATTGTACTGAAAATCAACAATATATTTATTAATAAATACAGATCAAATTTATGTATATTAATAGAGTTTCTAATGAAAACATGTAATAACTTAGATAATAAGATCAATTAATTTGTTTAGTAATTGTTTAAGGTGTAACAACAAATAAGTTTATACGAAAATGGAAACAAAAAATTCAGAAAGCGAATATAGTACAGAACATAATGAAAATGTATCTCACTTAGAAGAAAGTGATGATGAAATGACAGCTGAACGAGCATTGCAAGCGCTTGAAAATGCTTGGTTGAACGAAAAATTCTCCCCAGAACTGTTACCCCATCAATTAGAACTTGTTGAATGTATGTTAGAACAAATTTCACATATGGAAGAAAATTTAAAAAAGTTAGTCAATTAATTTTTTATAATCGAACAATTTTTTAAAATTAACTTAATTAATAAATGTTCTAATATTTGTTTATATCACATAATTGATATAAAATAATATTTTTTGTGTGATAAAAGTTTCTTTAACAATTGCATTAATTTTTATAATATTAATACTTAAAATAATAATGCATTTATTATTAGGTTAGAAAAAGGAGATATTCGCTTAAATATTCATACAATGGAAATCAATAGGATACGATTTATAATTTCAAGTTACCTTAGAAAAAGACTAGACAAAATAGAAGAATATGCCATTTATTTTTTATCGGAAGATGCAAATAGGTCTTCCGAAGAAGCTTTTATGACACCTGCTGAAACACATTTTGCAAGGGAATATGTGTCTAGCGTTGAATCTTTATTTACAACTTTAGCCTTACAGCATATGCCACGAAGAATTAAGGACTTTGAACTAAATGCAATGTCTTCTAAACCCAATTTGAATAAACATGTTTTTATAAGAGCAAATAAGGCAACCGATGGAATATTAATTCCAGGTAATATGAACGAGCAAGATTTTAAAGAAGATTCACAACATATTATACAATATGCTGCTATTGCTCATTTAGTAAAAAATGGACATGTCCAATTGATATAGTATACTTTTATCAATAGTTTGTCATCTTTTTAAAAATGATGTGCCTTAAGTTTAATAAATACACAATGAACATATTTCAGCTAATATTTCATAAATAGATCAAAAATAATTTTTAGATAAAATAAATGATCGAGTTCTTACTGAGATTCAATTTTGTAAATTATATCTATGATCATGTTCCTTCTGTAATAGGATATTTAAAAATAATTCTTATTACTGTCTACTATAAGATTAATTTTTATAGATTTGTAAATATTTTGTATTGATTAACTGTATTTATAGAATAATTAATAAAAACTAAATTGCTACTATAGGATATTTTAAGTTTCACACACAATATTAAATTACAATTTAAATGTAGGATTTAAAGAAATCTTAATATTAATACAAACTTTGATAGCATTTTCAAAAAATATAAAAAAAATTAATCAAATAATATTTGTATATTAAAACTTTTGAAATATATCTAATCATAATATTTAATATCATCATTCTATACTTCCTTCTTAGTACACTAATAATAAATAAGATATTTTGTCTTATAAATAATTACAAACTTAATAGAATTTTTATATTATATATCTATAATTAAGGAACAAACTGACCTATTGGTTTAACAATACTCGATACCTAGAGTCTATGGAATATACATGCATAACAATACAAAAATTACATATTTTTAAAACAACACTGCGTAGCATGGATTAAATAAACAATTACGTTTACTTTAAATTAATCTCTACTTGTTGTTAATAAATGTAATATCTATTATTGTTTCACATTTAACATAATATCACAGTAACGATAATAGAATTCATATAATTTATATACATCCATATAATGGATATAAATTAAAGAAATTTTTTAGAATTTTAATCTGTAATATTGAAGATTGAATTTTATTAGTACATTAAATTAAGTTGTTTCCTTAATTATGATTTTTACAATATACATTGAATAATAATATTCCTACTATATAATGCATTGAACTGGTTACTAACAAAATGTTATTTAATGAAAAACCATTTTTATATTACTTTATAAACAATAGTGATTTATAATGGGTAAAAGCACCGAAATAATTTATCTTCAATTCAACTTCTATTGTTAAAAAAATAGATATTTCATAATTTTATTGAATAAGAAGGGCAAAAATATATACAAAACTTTAAATTTCGCTCTCGATAGACGGGAATGAAGATACACAAGCACGAACAAAATTGAATGAGAGAAACCTGCACCTGAAATGAACGAGATTTGAATGACTTAATCTCACGAAAGATGTAATGAATCCGTATCTCTAAATCATTTTTTTTTTTTTTTTGAAAAGTATACTAAATTGTTACGGTATAAAAAAATTTCGATAGTTTAACAAAAAATATAAAAAAAAAATCAACAAAGTATCGCATTAATATTTTCTTTATTAATATTATCCAGTTAATGTTAATATAATATTCATGAAATGCAATGGAATTTTAAATTGAATTATTAGTTCAATTAAAATGAATAAAATCTTACCTTTTTGCTTCATTAAAAAATGTTTATAAGAATAAATTTAAATATACAAAATGATTACGTGAAATAATATTTAATATATATGTAAGAATAAAGTACATAAAAGATTTGTGTGTGTGTGTTTTTTTTTATCTTTATCGTTCATTTTATATGTATTATACATAAATACAATATATTTTACATAATACAAATATATTTTTATATATTTAATAATACAAAATAATACCAAAATATTTTTTTTAAATTATAACAAATACTTTATATTAATTTCTAATAATATATTTGAAAATGATACATTAGCTTCATGACAATTGTATTTGCAATAAAGATATTTTTATTGATCTTTTAAAATAAATTTAAAAAATAATTTATTTTTACTGTGTTAATAGATATTTTAAATAACTTCAATAAATATCTGCTAAATAGTTCTATTTTGTAATTAGGAAGTATTAACTTAATTTTTATTGACATGTTAATGTAAAATATTATTATACTTATATTTTAACAATATTCTATAAATATTATGAAAATATCCAGATTACAAATTATATTTTTAGTTTAATCCAATATTCTAATCTAATATTGAGTAATTATTTTTAAAAAATTAAAATTTAACTAAATTTACGTGTAAAATCGATGATCACATTTGAAGAATTTCTATTGTAAGAAGCTACTGAATTTTATCATTTTTCTGTCTCATTCATTAAAATTTCAATGAAATTATTTTTTCACATTTTCAATTATGTTTAATTTTTCATCGGGAAGATCAATCGTTAGTTCTTCATTATCCAGCCTTGTGTATGTCTGAAAACATTAAAAAAAAATTCATTTAAAAATTTATAATTTAAACAGGAATTGTTTATAGTGTGCAGTACACGGATTATCTCGATACAATAGATCTAATTATTGCACAATAAATTCGTAAAAAATATTAAATTTTTTGCCTTACACTTCTTTCACCTCACGTCAAATGAGTACATTTTATAATATAACCAATCAGTCATTATTTCATTATGTCATTATACGAGCTTTTGTATTAATTGCACTTACCTCTTCAGAGACTTTTTTCAAATACTCTAGCATCTCATTGCCTGCTTGTCTCGCCATCCTTACCAAGTGACCGTCCGTCTTTCGCAACAACTCGTGGGGGTGATCGTATTCCACAATTTCACCATTATCGACAACCATAATCATATCATTGTCTATAACAGACTCGAGCCTGTGTGCCACCGTCAACACAGTGCAGTCTGAGAATTTGCTATGAATCGTTTCGCGAATTAGTGAATCCGTTGCTGGATCTACATTGGCTGTGGCCTCGTCAAGCACGAGTATGCGAGTCCTCTTGACGATTGCTCGAGCAAGGCAGAGCAATTGCCGTTGACCGGCACTAAAAATAAGAATTAAAGATGAGATTATCAAGAATATATCCACACTTACTTGCCTCATAATGATTATCAGTTAAACAAATATCTTACTCCTTAATAGATTTACGATAGATTGCACGAGGTTTTTATATGCGTTTTTTTTCTCATAAATATTAATAAAAGCACAGTTGAGTTATTAATACAAAATCTGAAAATTTTACGTAAAAATAGTGTGTAATCTTATAGTCCCCTTTTACATTATTAAACGACATGATTGATGAGATAAAAATTCACTTTAATCTCAATATTATTAACCTAACATTCAATTAAATTATTACAAAAAAAAAAAAAAAAAAAAATTTAATTAGTTTTTAATGCATTTTCAAACATTATATTATTAAAAATTTAAATAAATACACTTTTAATGAGAATCTTAATAGACATAATCCATTCTCTAAACTTGCTTAGGCTTACGTAAAATTAATTTCTGTATGCAAAAAATAAAAAACACTTAAAGTATATCCCGACCTTAGATTTTTACCACCGTTCCCAATAGGATGATCGAGAGGCACGAAAGCTTTATGTAATTTGATATCCTCGAGGGCCGCCCAAAGACTCGTGTCTTTAAACTCGTGGAAAGGATCAAGATTGTCGCGTAGTGTGGCCGAAAATAACATCGGCTCCTGCGGTATTATTGCAATGTGTTTGCGCAACTTGTATAGACTGACGTTCTTAATATCAATGCCATCGATAAATATGTGACCCTCGGACTGAGCGAACCGAAATAATGCAGAAATCAACGATGACTTGCCCGCTCCTGTACGTCCAACTATTCCGACCTATGAAAAAAAAAAAAAAAAAAAAAAAAAAAAAAAAAAAAATATTGAAATCAACAACTTATTTTATTAATTACATATTACTCGTGAAAGAAAAATTATTTTCTTATCCATTATCAAGATTTTATTTTATTTTTTATATTTGATACAGTCACGACCGGTATACATATTAGATATTATATTAACTAAAAAATATATGATGCATATATGAATGTATAAACAAATCTGTTGTCACATTACATTAATCATACAATAGATACTAATTTACGTTGATATTTGCGCCTATTGTAACGAGGAATAGAATACGATAGCCTTGAAATTCCAAGACAAGGTGGAAAATAATATAACCACCTATCTTGATAATTACGGCAAATTATATTCTCTGACATTTAAAAAATTCATCGTAAACCTTTTCATCGATTTTCAACTATTATTACATTCTGCATAAGGTAAGTATTGATTACGTAATTAAATTATTATGTTCAATCAAGGTATTATAGATTTTTGTAAGTATTTCAGTTAATTTCTATTGCATTAAGATACCATATATTTAAATGTAATTAGGATATAATAGATATTATATCTTTATTAGGTTTTGTATCTATTTATGGTGAATATTGAAAGTGCTTTGCTTTTCTTACCTTCGAGCCGGGTTTAATGACAAGATTTACATTTTTAAGGACGGGCTCCAGATCCTCAGCATAGCGCAAATAAAATTGTTTAAATTCAATTTTCCCTTCTTTTGGCCAATCACTTGGCAGTTTATCTTTAACGCTCAACACCTCATTATTGCCCTCCTCTTCCAATCGAGTAAATTGTAATATTCGCTCAACACTCGTCATCTGTGTCATCGTTTCGGCTGTTTGTCTAATACCTCGTTGCAGCATCCCACACAGCATCAAAGTCTTTAAAAAATATATTGAATTACATAAGACGTATTATAACATTTGGGTATAATTTTCACATAATCTTAATTATTAGCAAAAATAAATAATAAGTTTTATTTCACATAGGACATTAGATTAAAAACATTTGTCAATTTTTTAATTTTACTGAAGCTCTCGATTGCTTAATATACTCGAAATTAAAATATCTAATCGAGTAAAACTTTTGTATCATTCATTATGCTATAATTTTCTTTAAAATTTTATTATTTTCTTTTATTACAAATAATTCCTATCTTTCTTTTAAAAGGGTAGCAGAAATAAAAAATGTGACTTTTAAATTTAAAGAAGTAAAAAGAATCTGCAAAGATAAATCGCATGAAAAGTAAATCGCATGTAGTAAAATTTCAATTCTTATTACTAATTAAGATTAATACACTCGTAGTAGACTCGTTCAACAATAATTTATAAATTACAAAATAAAATAATTATAAAACTTTATATTAATTCATATCGGAGCAAACGGTAAAAACTTATTGTTTTATATTAAAAATTTTCACTTAAGCTCTTACGAATTTCTTATACACGAAGAAATGAACTAGTACTGTACTAGTATAGAAAACATCCACAAAGTTAAAATAATATTAGAGATGTGTACCTGAGTAATGGCCAGTCCAACGTTACCGGCGAAAGTATTCGATTCATCAGTAAGTAAACATCCAAATGTGATAAAGCCAACGAGAAAAACTGAGATGATATCGAGCCAAAGTCCAAAGGCCGAGGCCACGGCAATTCCAAGGAAGTGAGCTCGTGTATGCGCATCTTGATGGGCATCAAAGCGCCGACAGACAATTGACTGACTACGACCTGAGCGAATTGTCACCAGACCATCCAAGGAAGCAGTAACGTATGATAAAACTGGGCTTTTCGCTGTTATTTATTGTCATTATATTATTAAAAATGATCCACCTCCCTCATCATCAATTTGCCTTAAAATTGATTAATACTCTCTTGAAATTGTCTTTAAAATTCATTTTTTTCCTGACAAATGTAAATTACATTTTTTGCTAACAATAAACGTTCTTTAACAAAGGATATATAAAAGATTCGTAAAAAATATTGCAATCGATTTTTAAATATATTTTCTAGATAATAAACGAAATATCCTTTTAATATTCAATTTCAAACCAAAGACCATTCAAATTCACTGCAAAACTATTTTATTTCATTTTTTATTATCTTTAAAATATTTGTTTACATTAACAAAAACAAAGATATTGTTTATGGTAGGAAATTTTAACAAATAGTTTAAAACTCTTTCCTAAATAATACCCATCAATAATATATTATAAAAAATCTGTAATTACTTGTTAAATTATTTCAATTAAAAAAACATATCATCTTAAAATATCTCGATAGTATAATTCTTTTTTATTCTATTTCAAATACTATTTTAAATTAAACATCTATTCAAATACTTTTTTAAAAATAATATTACAGTTTTAAATAGATAATTAAATGTTAATGTCTATTAAAAGTACTATTTTACCTGCACCCTCCAATCGTTTGATGCTGCATGCAGTGAATACGTACAAATTTCTAATTTTCCAATATAAGAAACCAGTTATAATAATTGACAGAAGAAACCACCAATTAATAATAGTGACTTGTACTATAATTCCCATGATGATAGAAAATATTTCAATTGATTCATACATCGTGATAGGTAAAATTTCGTCCATTGCACCAGTATCTTTCGAGAAACGATTAAGAATTTGTCCTGTAACAAAGCTAAGCACATATATACTAAAACACACTTAATGCTAGTAGTCTCAACAGTTATTATTGAAAGCGAAAAAAAAATCTATTTCTTATAAATATCTATTTTTTATGAAATTGAAAAAAATTATAATTGTCAACGTGCGCCTCTCTCTCTCTCTCTCTCTCTCTCTCTCTCTCTCTCTCTCTCTCTGTGCGTACGTGCGCGCGCGAGATAATATAAAAAAAGAAAAACTACTATTTCTCAAAAGTATTTTCTCAACTTTTATTTTGAATTATATTCTGCGTATAAATTTTATTTTGTTCTATAATATTAATTTTATTATCTTATTTAAAAAGAATCTTAGATCAGTTATCTTACCAGAAGTTTGCTTATTGAAGAATTGCATAGATGTTCGTAGAATGCAAGAAAACATTTTATTATGAATATTAGTACTAGCATTCATGCAACTTTTGTAGAATAATAAGCATTTAATTATTACTGTAACAACACATCCTAAAAGTATGCAACCGTATATTGTTAAAGCAATGTTCACATCTGAATAACTTGGAGCTTCTATGTTTTCAGTACTAAATAATGATGAATTTGACGATTGATCTAATATTATATTTGAAATTGTATTTTCTGTTGTATTAGAGGAAAAAATATCCATTAAACTTTGTGTTGAATTTAATATTAAATCATGTGATCCATTTATTAATAAACTGTCTGTAGGACTCGATATATAATGTCTACTTATTTCTGATAATATACTTTCAGTTTTATCTGATGATATATCTTCAGTTGCACTCAATAACGAAGTTTGTTTATTTACCGATGAACTTGCCATTGCATTTGGTAACAATGTTTCAGTTACATTTAATAATATATCTGGCACTTTATGTGATAACAAATCAGAAGAATTTAACAATGCGTTTCTCTTTACTCTTGATAACGTATTTTGTGTTGTAGTTGAAAATAAACTTGACATCGTACTGAATAAAACAGTTTTGTTTAGATTTGTCGATGTAGTAGTTGAATTTGTCAAAGAATTTTCGGTAGAATTTATTGTTACGTTAGACGTTAGTTTTAATTTTTCCTGTTTTATAGAATTTAAGCGAAATTCTTCTCTGCTTGTCCTAATTTTAAAGAATATTGTTTCTTTTTTATTTAAATAAATTAATGTTTCTTTAATATTTTCACGATATTCATAAAAGTAAAAATATTTATTATTTTATAAATAAGAATAATTTTATATAATTATAATAATGACGTAGTTTTAATATTTGTATTTAAAATTTGTATTGTAAAGATAATATTGAAAAAATTTAAAAAAAAAAAAGTATCATATTTAAATAAAAACAAAAAAATATAAATATATCCTTTTAACTTTTATTTCGTTAAAAATATTCATATGAATCTAACAATTATACAATCTCTTTAAAACATATGTTGCTCTAAAATATTAATAAGTATAAGTAAAATAAATCTTACCAATATGCTAACCAATAATCTGAACAACTTCTAATGACCTGTGCTAAAATAAAAAATAAAATTGTTGTCACGAGAAGGAAACTAGAGTTTGCAGATCGAAAATATCTTAATAGTATAGACGTTTTCATTTTTCCCTTTGCAATGAGTTCTTCTGTCTCTTGAGGCTCTTTATCTGTTGGCTCATAATTTCCAATTGATTTTAATAAGATACCGTCATGGTAATTTTTTTTCTTAATTTCTTTCATTTCTATTGGTACATTAATTTCATTTTCAACAGGAACATTTAAAAAATATAATTGTTTTTTAGATAAATCTGCAAATTTTCCTTGAAACTCTAGTTTTCCCTATAAAATGATGAATTTATAATGAAAAGTATTTTGATATATAAATACAAAAAATTTTAGCTGTGTATGTTTGACTATATGCGAAAGAAATCTATCCTATCATCTGGCCATTTTAGTTAATAAGATAAAAACATTTTATAGGCAGTATAAATGTATGTATCTGACTGAAATAACATGATTTTTTAAAAATCATAAAAATGTTTCGGACAAAAAATTGAGAAATGAAATGTATATAACATTGTATGTACAACAGCACTTTCAATATAACGTATAAAGACTTACATTGTTTAATAAAAAAATTGTATCAGTCTCCTTTAAAAGCTGAATTCGATGTGTCACGAATATTCTAGTTTTATCTTTCAGATATCCGTTAATACAGTCATTCAATAGATATTTACAAACATTAGTATCTACCGAGGAAAACGGATCATCGAGTATATAAATGTCGGCATCTCTGTAAACAGCTCTGTAAGAAACACAAAATGACAATTACAACATTGAGTAATAATTATTTCTTATTTCACTCTATACGTATCTTAATATGTGTATACATAATTTTACATATATATTCTTAATTATTGTATTAAAATAATGTTTAAACTTTACTGTTAATTTCATTTATCGGCCATCGGCCAATAGTGAAAATGCGTAAATCAGCCTATTTTCGGACGGATTTTGGTATCGATTATAACACTAATTATAATAAGATTTTTCTACATTTTAAATCTAAATTTATTAACTTATTGTCGTACAAATATTATTAAATTTATAGAGTTTTAAAGAAACCACATTTATACTAATTTAAAAGGATAATGAGAAATATCATTTGTAAATCTATATAATATTTTGAAAAGTATCGAATAAATTTAGATTTAAAAAAGAACGTTCCGTTCGATAAATCATTGTCATATAATGAATATTATGTTGGGGAAAATAAAAATTTTTAAAATGTTTATAATTCTTAAATTAAAAATTGCGTATATTCATGCTATGTATTTGTATAAAATAATTAATAAATTAATACACAATAGCATAAGTCAGACAATAATTCTTAAAATATTTAAAAGCATAAAAATTTAAAAGCACCTATAATGCAATTTCAAATTTTATTTGTCAATTAATAATCAAATACACAAAAGCAAATTATAAGATAAAAAAAAAAAAAAAAAACAAACAAAGAATTTATAAAATAATTATCTACCTAGCCAAATTAATTCTCGCGCATTGTCCACCGCTGAGGTTCGTACCTCTTTCTCCAACTTGCGTATAATCGCTATGAGCCAGCCGTTCAAAATCTCTCTCAAGCAGACAAACGTGGACGACCTCTTGGTAACGCGTCTCGTTATATGATTGATCAAAGAGTATATTGTCGCGTATCGTACCAGGAAACAGCCAAGAACGCTGCGAGGCATAAGATATCGTACCATTAATTTTTAGTTCTCCAAACGATGGTTGCAGCTCTCCCAGTATTAATTGTAAAAGTGAGCTCTGCAACATAAAATATATTCATTGATCAGCTATTAGGAAATATTGAATATTACTGTTTCTTAAATTTCAGAGATGATGAGAAAAAATATCAGAAATATCAAAGTGTGCACTTAAGGAATCAATACAAAATATTAACTATTTGCAGCATTGATATTATTATATACCGATATTGACGACAGCGATATTATCAATACTTGACTAATATAATCATTTCTACGGTTTGATATTCAATGTTCATTAAAAATAACAACTGTTAATGCTAATATAACATTTATTCAATTTTAATGATTTAAAAAATATAATGTAATAATATATTGTAATTTTAAAAATGAATGTATTATACAAATATGATATTGTATTGTTATTTTATTACACTGTATGATTATGTTATATGGTTGAATCTTTTAAAACAAAAACATTTCGTTTTCTCTTAGCTCTCTATTGTTATCATAAATCTTAGAACTTTTATATTTCACTATTATAATATCACAGGGTTTTTGCTTGAAATAGGTATAAATAAATAATTTATTGGATAACTAAGGTGTAAATAATTACGTTTAGGATAATTGAGCAAACTTCGATATTATAGATGTAAAAAAAAACTTTCAGTAACAAAAAAATGTATCTGAAATTTATTTTACACGAGTATTATACAACTGTTTTAAAAAACATTATATCTAAAAAATTTAGATTCATACGTTATTATCATGGATGAGGGCGAATCGGTAAATTTAATATATTTTGATAAGTGCAGTAAACATTGTATGATTTAAATGATTTTTCATTTATTTCTCTCAAAACTCGACAAATACTGTAGCATTTATAATTTATATTTGCTACAACGCTGAACTACAGCCAATTATTAAAATCTTGTATGTTATATTAATAAATATTTAAAACTTATATTAAAATATGTATATAAAAACATTTAAAACATAACTTATAGTTAAAATTAGGAGTTTTGTATTACTATAATAAGATTTTAAGCCTATAAAATAATTGTTAAGTATTCGAATAATATACATATATATATACTGTATCATACCTTTCCAGAGCCAACGCAACCAATGATAGCATGCAATTTTTTTGGTGCTATATGCATTGTAATTTCATGAAGAGTATTCACAATTGAATTGTCTGTCCAGGAAGCCGTAATATTTTTTAATGTTATGCCAGCATTGTCTTCGATCGATAATAAAGGTGCTTTTATTTTAATCTCTTCGAATTTTAAAAATTTCTACAATTATAATCGAAATGTATTATTAAATTATTTATAAAAATTAAAGAAAATTGTTTAAAAATATTAAATTTCTTACAATTTCAATTAATTTATCAAATAAAATGTATTATATTTTCAAATTTTATATATTCAACCAAATACTTTTTAATAATTAAATTTATAAAAATATTATAACACATTTAGTAAATGCATTAAATTATTGTATATATAAATATTGAATACTTTATTGATTATTATTTTATCAAGCCTATAAAAAAATAATTAACAACAAAATTAACCTCAATGCGTTTGATAGAAACTCTAGCTTCTGCAGCATTAAAAATGGCTCGTGGATAATTGTAAGCCAGAAGATTTTGCAAAATTGTGAAGTATTGGACCATTGAGAAAACTCTATGAGCTGATATAACGTTGCCCATAAGAACATAAGTCATCAATGTGACATACAAACACGTACGATCGATGAAAGCATTAGAGGCAATATTTATGCCTCTTAGATAGGACATGTAAGTAATCATATTGATCTCGTTCCTATATTAGGTAATTCATCAAAATTTTTGTTATAGCTTTTTAAACATAGATACAAAAATATTATAGTTTAAATGCTTGTATACAGTTAAAAATATATTATAATCACAAATAAAAATTATATTTTGAAGAGTCAGCAGCTTTTTCGTTAAAGGATTCGATAATTATAGTGAATAATAAAAAATGGATAATTTCAATTCCTTGTTCTATTAATATTTTTAATTCTATCTTAAAAACTATCAATATATACGTATAATATATTGTGTAATATAAACATTTATTATGAATAATTTAAGCAAAAATAATAAATGCATCAAAAACAAGTTTGTTAGATAAAATGATTGATCTTACACTCTAATAGATATTTGTATATTTAAAAAATTATTAACTCATTAATTAGAGTTACATCAAATTTTACAAACATAATACTAAAATTAAGTGCAATATTTTTACGAGAATATATTTTTATTTATTGTAATTAAATCATTTTTGTGTCTATGAATAAAAAAAAAAAAAAAAAAAAAAAAAAAAAAAAAAATTATATAAATAATAATTTGACGAAATTAAAAATTATAAACATAAAATTATTAAATGAAAAAAGAAATCTTAGATAATAATAAACGTACGCTATAATATATTGAAGTACAATAATAATAAATATTGAAATTAATATTTACATAAATTTTAATTCTATATTATACAATTACCTGATACAAAATACAATAATTACGTATATGATACAAAGTTGCAAGTGCAGTTATATAATAGACGTCTGAAGGACAATTATAAAAGAAATAATAACAAAATATACAATTACATATGAGCTTCAGAAAAATCACGCATTCGCTTTATAGTATTTATCTTACCTTCTAGCGAGAGATATAAGACGTTCAAAAGGTTTTTCCCAAGTGTACATTTTAATAACATGAATTCCAGTAATTATTTCGCTCATTAGTTGAACTCTTTCATCGGTCCTCGCTGCAATTTTTCCTCGTAATCTTGATGTTATCTTACCAATGTAAACTAAAAAAATGTCCACTTATACTTTTAAGAGAAAATGTTTAAATTCAAGTGATACATTTCATTCTGCGACTTTAATTAGCAATGAGTATGAATGCTTCTATTCATATTGAACTTCAAAATTACAAAGGCTAACTAGTTAATAATTAAATTGATAACTTAATTAAATTGACATATTAATAATAGTGTTGATTGACTGAAAAAATCTAAAAGAAAAAAAAAAATCTAAAAAAAAAAATAAAGGTGGAGCACCTTGAACTGGAATAGTCTCTATGGTCATGAGTAGTACACCAGTGAGAGAAGAGAGTTGAACGTTACGCCAAATAAGATAAGCGATTAAGGCTCCTTGAAAGGGTGTGATCCAAATGTAGTGTAAGTACATAAATAATGGATCAAATCGAACGACATCGTTCGATAACAAATTTATTATTTGACCGCCCTGAGTCTCAGCCATCGATGCATTTGATAGCCGCACAATCTATACAGATAATTAATTAGCTTACACACACACACACACACACACATATATATATATATATATATATATATATATATATATATATATATATACTAACTTTTTATGTTAAAATAATAAACATATTAAATTTACCGAATTAATGAGAATAATAAATTTAATGACTAAATCCTAAAATATGATTGATTATGATTCTTAATGATAAATTGATGTAATATGAGTAGATTTTTATTAACGTATATTATTTATAACGTTGCAATTGATTTGAGTAACTATCTAAAATAATAAATAACTCAATCCTTGTACGGCAAAAGCAATTGTATTTTATTTTTAATTAGATATTTGATAAATAAGAAAAATAGGTACTTAGTTAAAATAATTAAAGTTAAATTAGTATCAAAAATAAAATAATGCAATAACTAAACGATAATTTTATAACACCGTTAATAGAATACGGTACTAAAGGAATTGAATTTAAAAAATATTTACCAACGTATACACAAGCTCCGTAAATATGCAAATTATACTTACCTTTCGATAAATAAGAGAGGAACAAGCAATTCTGAGACGCATACCGATCTCAAGAACACCCAAGTCAATGTGATGTTTCAATATACAATGTAATAGAATCAGTAGCACTAAACTGCAGGCAAACACATACGCTTCATCTCTCGTTGTCTGAGAACCAATCTCAAAATATTCGACCAACAGACCCAACATTAATGGTTGTAATACCCTAAAATTTATATATCCGTACATAGTTTAGCAATTCCACTATATTTGCTAATAGAGTTTCCTCAATATAAATATCATCTTTATTTCTCGTAATTTTATTTTATATAACTTTATATACAACACTCAATTTATATTGTTGAAAGTAAACGTTACAAAGAAGATTTATTAATGCAGCTCAAAAGCCATGGTTATAATATTTGGAATAAAACAAGATTATTAATATTAAATTATATTAAAACTAATTTTTTAGATAATCTCACCTTAAACAATTCAAGACGAACATGTGACTAGCGTAATAAAAATATGACCAGCCGAAGCTTTTCCTAATGGCATTAACCAGTTTTGGTTTTCTGTCGTTTTGACGCGCATTTTCCACTTCATTTTTCCAATTTCTATAATCATTGAAAAAAAAAAAAAAAAAAAAGTCATATTAATAATAATTTTAATAATAATAATAATTATGTCATCTTTTACTCGTTATTCGACAAATAATTATTATTTAATTGAAAGATTCTCACTTTTCCAGGCGACCACCAAGCTGATCACTGATATCGAACGGAAGTGTATCATGAAGATCGTCGTTTTTGAGATCGCGAGACTTTCCATGATAAAAAATAGGTTTCAGCCACCTAAATACAATAGTACGAGCTTCGTTAAATTGCATGGTTGTAGAAAATTCTATTATTTAAACGAATAAAATTCAAATATTCATAATTTTGTTTTATCAAACCTTTTATCTGTTATATCAATTTCTTTTATTAATTTTTTATTTTATTAGGCTTTTATTTAATTCAATGAATATCATAAAACAAGCACATTAATAATTAAGTAATAAAAGGTAAGAAAAACTTCGAAATAAGAAAAAAAATAAAATACAGACAAATTTATATTGTATATCGAATCTATTTTTTGGTTGTAATACTTATATATAAAGGAATATATTTCCGTATAAATAAAATTTACTTTTAATTTTGAAAATTGTTATATAGCCTATCATTACATTATTCAGGGATCAATGTATAAGTTTTCTTTTCTAAATATTTAATCAAATAATTTAATTGTAATTTCTTTAGTCAATCTTATATTTTATATTATATTATTAAAATGTTCATAACTTCATTTTCGAAAGTAATTTCAACATTTTATGCACAATAAAATAATTGCATTTTGGTCAAGATTTAAATATATTAATATACATTAAAATATTAAATTTTATGTTTCATTGATTAATGTATTAGAGTGCAAATTACATTTTTCATTGATCTATCCATTAATAATATGATTATCATATTTATATTTATAATATAGTATTAAATTAAATTTGTTTTTTAATTCATATGCGATTCTGTATAATCATAAATATAAAAGGCAAATAAATTGAAAAAATAACTTGAAAATAAAAGTACAATCCAATACTTAATAGTTTTTGAGTATTAAAAAAATTATAAAATGAAATCTTTTTATTTGCTTTTGGTTTACCGATTTTTTACAACTTAGCCGTACCTGTTCAATTATATAATTAAACATACATGCTACCATTTATTAAATATTATTAAATAGATTTAAACTTAATCATAAATTAATTGATTGCCCGCTGTTTAGTATTAAAAACAGTCAAAACACAAAATGTTATTAGAAAAAATGTAATTTTATAAAAGTGCTATGAAACAATCTTTTGGATATTTGCTAATATGATTTTACTTACAAATTGTTTCACTGAACATTTAATAAGTCAAAAATAATTGTTATTTTGTATTTACTTAATTTCAATGTTATCGTTCGTAGAAAAATTGTTTCATAAACTTTCTGTTTTTAAAACTGTATGATTATTCAATTATATATAGTAAAATATAAGTGGATATATATGAATATTTTTAAGTAAAAAATTACAATGAAAATCATAAACAGAACAACTTTTTAAAAACCCTAAGTTTTATATTATAGTTATAAATTTTCTTGTAACTATTTTTGAATCATTAATTTATTCAATGAAAGAGAATATTTGTTTTATAAAAACATTTACATATTGCATTATATAATTTGAGCTTATATTCTTAAAAAATGGACCAATTTAAATTCAGTTTATTGTCAAGTAAGTAAATGAATTAAATTTTTTTATAATTTTTTCCATGTTGAATATTTCTATAAAAGCAATATTTGAACAAATAATATAATGTATACTTATGTAAAAATATATATGTGTAAGCTATTATGAAAACAACAATTAATTAAAAACCCCTTTATTATGTAACTGGAAATTAAATATACATTAAATAAAATATATATTAAAATTAAGTAAAAATTAATTTGCTCTTTATAGTATTATAAAATTTCATTTAGAATAACTCAGCTCAACATCTTATAGTTAATTCTTAATTTTATCTCATAAATCTAATTGTATTGAAAATAATTTATATCAATTTTAGATAGATATTATAAATGTATATTGATAAATTTTTGTAAATAAATATCTATTTCAGTCACATTTTATTTTACATGATATCAAATTGCGTATATTTATTAATAACTAAACGTGTCTATACAAAAAGTATGTACCTTATTCGTATATTTATAATGCAATAGTAAACATGTGTATATTTCATTGAAATCTGAAATAGAATACTTTAGAGAGTAATTGATTCGGTAATTTAAAAATATAATTAAATAATAAAATATCTTTACGCTTTATTTTTTAACATAATCACTATGAAAAATTGTTGACTTAGTTTTATAATTTTTCTTATTTTCATCTTGTTGCTGAGTTGTAAGTTTTGAACATAAATTAGGATTTTAAAGATAGTTTAGTTATTTGAGAAATACAAAATTCCTTAGCTTTTATTTTTATTAAATAATATTTTTAGTTTTAAAAATTAAGTCACTTAAAATTATATTTTAAAAATAAATAAAAAATGAGATAAATTAAAAATTACTTTTTTCAATCACATAGCTAATATGTGGAACAGTGCATTATCTTATCAAAAAATACTGCGACAATCTCAATAATTTTATATCACTTCTACGAAGAAACTCGATATAATTTTTTACTTAATTTAAAATTTTTAATTATTATTCCATTTTATAAAGCAATTGTTACCTGCTTGAGCATATTTAAAAAATTCAACGACATTTGAAATGCTTCTAATAACCCTTGATTTTAGTAACTAATATATATCTTATTCAAATTAAAAAATTTATAATTGACTAATATAATCTATTTTTGGAAAATGTAAACTTTAATATTAATTTCAGTTTCTAAAAATGAAAAAAGAGAATTATTCCTTCCGAATTTCTAAGAAAATTGCTATTGTGTACCTTTATTTAAAATCCATTTATTTCAAATACATATGATTTTATATATTCATTCGTGGAAATTCTTTGAATTTCTATAATATTAAAAAATGTAACTAAATAATTAGCAGATTATATATTATATTGTAATATATAGAAATAAGAAAAATAAGAAAATCTGTTTCAAATTAATTGTTGAATATTGTTTAACTAGTAGAAAATTTTGATTCAATCATGTTCATGTCAAATAAGTTAAAATACATAAGTTTGTGTAGTAGTATTAAAAAATATATTAAAATTACGTATGTATTTATTCACTGTTTATAAGATATCGTAGCGTACAACGAAACAAATTAAAATTTTAACAAAGTTGAAAAAAAAAATTTCGTTTGATTTTAATATTTTTCATTTTTAATATTTACTTAAATTATAAAATTTCAATAAAAGTGCAATAGAAATGTATATATATTTATTTAATAACATAGCAGAAAATATATAAAACTGAGGAACTAAAGTCATAAAAAATTATATAATAGCGTTATCTCTTACATTTACTATATCAATAACAGAAAATGAAAATTCATCGATAAAAGTGAAAGATAATTTTATTTTTATTCGTGTACAGAGTTAAGTATATTAAATTGAAATATAATACTTAGTCTAAATTTCAGATAAGAGATGATCTTATTTATGATTTATATAAAAATTCGAAATATTGCACTATTAAAACATGAAGTTATCAATCACTGTTTTTGGAAAATGAAAGTAACATTTATGTTTCATTATACGAGTTAATTCATTAGCTTTCGTCTAAGATATAAAATCACTGAATTGTCGAAAAAATTAAGGAATTATAGATGAATTAACGTAAGATTAAACAATGAAAGCTTAATTAATTTTGCTTTTGTACATAATTTTTTAATTACAATAATCAAATATATATAACCTAAGCGAAAAGTTATGCTTAATTATGTATGCTTAATTTTTATTAATAACTAATAAGGTGAAAATAAGAGAATGTAATTTAAAAACAAAATTCATAACTTTTTTAAAAAAATATGGTTTTTTAACATATTCTGAATTATTTATTGATATTTAATTATTGTGAATTTTTATAAATATTGAAAGAAAATTAATTTCTTTTCTACTTCTTTCCTTAGAAAAATTCAAATAAACTAAATAGAATAAATTTATGTTAATTTGTGTAAATTATTTTAAAAATAAAACTTTTTGACAAAATTGATGCTATTATTATTAACTCAATTATCACACACCAAATTATATGTTTTTAAATTAAAACTTACTCTGACATATCTTTGATTTTTATATTAAAATTTCAATACAATTTTTCATAGGAAATTTCTAATGGAGAAAGTCAATAATTAATGTAGCAATGAGTTAATAGCCTAAAATTGTTTCAATTGTAATACGTGAGATAATAAATTCTAATTGAATTATAACGTAATTGCTCGTAATGAAATGACTTTAAACATTTAAAATACTTTTAAAGCTATTTATAATGCTAGAATAATTATTTTGTCAAATGTTTATTTTAATATACAAAAGTTTACGTACTTATAAAATAATAAAATAATAAAATAAAATTTAAACATGCTAATTGGACAAATTGTTATAAAAATATTCCAAAAAGGTTTATACATTTTTTAATCAATATACAAAAAAATCACAATAATTATAGCAATAAATTATATAATTGTGTCATTAATTATCTACTACCTATCATACCTAAATCTTATATATCAATAATTATATATGCAGCCAGAATTTAGAATTCTTAAAATGTTTACTTTTATCAACTTTGACATACCATTGTTTGATACCTCCATAAAATATTTATTAATTATAGTACATAGACAGTAATTTATCTTTGATATAGTATAGAGAAAAAAGTAGGATACATTACAACCACTGATGTACTGGAGTACGTTGGAAATATTCAAACTGCAATGGATGCAGATTCTTGAGTGGTCAAACAGGATATAAACATAAAACGTGTTGAAAAATAGCTCTTACAAGTATTTTGATGTGATTATAATGAACATCGGCAGTTGTGTAATTTGTGTAAAACTATCTTCTGGCTTTATTGAGTGTACCGCCTACAGTAAGAGCCTTAATAATTATGATGCAGAAGCAATATTTGTACAACAAAGTTTTTAATCAATATTTTACAAAAATCTGGTTAGTTGACAGCAAAATTATATTTCGCTTAAGGATATGTTGATTTTAATCTGCTTAATAATTCAAGTACTACCCACGCGTTATATTTTGTAACTTTCTTTTATTCGCTGTACGTATTTATAAATAATTATTTTTATGAATTCTATAATTACATTCTATGAATAAACTACGTAATTTGATAAAAATTTACTTTGATCATTTTTGGCTTATAGACTAGACTCACGTCCACGTTTATAACCTACGGTTAATACCTTACATTATGTTAAGAAGACAATATATAATTGAAATGAAATTTGTACATCCGTTTTGTTAGGAAAATGCTAAATAAAAACACTATATTAACATTAACGCGCTTGCAAATGTATACGCATGTACATTTGTTTTTTCTTGCCTAGGACAATCACTATTATTCTATTATTTTTTTAATTTCATTGCTTCGTCATTGACTCATGAATTTCATTATTGTATATCATTCCGATTAAATTTATGTTAAATTTTTCTAACAATCTTAAAAGTATTTTATGCGTATATATGATGTCCAAATAATTTTCATAAAGAAATTAAATAAACCAATATAAGAAATTAAAATTTCTATAATATGAAGAAGAAATCAAGATAAAATATTTGACAAGCTTACTATCTTGAGATATCCTTATAGACACAACGATAAGCAAGCAAAGGAATATTTAGATATTTTCTAAAATATGTTTCTATAATCATTTGTAATTATTCTAAAAGTTTTATTTGACGAAACAAAGGTTAAAATAATAAATTCAGAGCTTTGCCAAAGTGAGTCAGAAAAATAATGGAAAAATATCTTACCAAAAAAATAATTTGCTAAAGAGATTTGCCGTGAGTCTAGGACTCGGATTATCACGCACATATTGACCCATTTTTCATTAAAAAAAAAAAAATGGGGGGAGGGGGGAAATAACGATACACTAACTATACACGCACGTAGCGTTCAACAAGGCACTGTGTTATATTTTCCTGAATTTTTCTCTCTTCGGATACCTTTAATAACTATACAAATATATCGTAATTATGCGTAAACGTCTGTATAAACACTCTGAAAATCGTGTAAACAAACTCGATTGATGACAATCAAACCCAAACTTGGCGCAGTCATCGCTTAAGCATACGAATTGAAAATCAGATAAATATCAAATACGATCAACTCTCACAGGCGGTGCCAGCGGCACTAAAATTTCGTCTCTACCGTTCAGTGCTCAAACCTCAAAGTTAAGGCGTCGCGAGCCGTCGAGATTCTAAGTCAGGCAAATACAAATCGCAGAGGAAACGATACGAGCAACGCATGACTTAACTATTACGGAGAGAAAGAATAGCAGAGGGACAAGGAAAAAATATGGAGGGGAGACAGATAATACGCGAAGAAGACAAGAAGAATGACAAAACTTGCACGTCGATTTATATTTTATGCAAAAGCATAAATTTCAATGGAATTTAATCATTCATACCTTATTATAAATAACTCAAAGTGACTTGTACAAAATACCTGCAAAATTCGATGAATGCTACAAAAATCTGACGAAAAATGTTATTGTTATTGATAAAACATTAATTATACATGGCGTAAAACTTTAGTAAACAATTGTTTCGTTTCGCTACTATTAACACATATTATACTAATTCCTAAATATTAAATAAATCATTTTTGTTTTTACATGATTTCTTTTTTCTATTATTTATCATAGAATAAAAATGTCTTTTTTACTATTGTAATTGATTACATGATTTCAATATTGAGGGAGTTATTATCTCTATATGCGGTAAATATTAATTTAAATATATGTATTATTAAAACGATAAATACATGTAAATATTAATTTTTCAGTACACGCATAATACAAAGATCATATCAATGATTTACAATTTAATAATTAAAATAAAAAAACAAGTGTCTCTTATATTAAATACTTTAAGTAAATTATGTTATGGAGTTTAATAGATTGAAATAGTAGTAATTGTTTTTCTTATGAAATCACAGATACTGAATAAAATAAAAAAAAAGGATTAAATATTGTAATTAATAATTGTTAAAACATTTTTAATTTTTAAAACACAATAATTATTCGTTTACATTTAAGCATTAAGCTAATATCAGAATAATATTAAATGAATACACTCAGTCAATTAATATATATTAAAATTCTACTAATTTATCTATTTTTTAAACAGTGTTTATGTTTATATTATAATATTATAAAAAAATTATTTTTTAATTTAATATAGTAGCAATATACTTATGCATTTATATGAATATATAAATTAATAAATGATATTATAAAATGAAATAATATCACTAGAATATATAATTATAATTAATATCCAATATTTTTGTCAATTAATTAATATAATTGTTAATAAATTCTGTATATACCGAATATATTATAATACTATTAATTTTTTAAATGAAGTATTTCTTATTCAACCTTTTTTTAACTATATCTTATGATTTCAATTTTTCAATATTTCTCATGTATATTATAAAAGATTTCTTAATTTTATAGAAAAAATAATATTTTAAACGTTTAAACAGTTCTAAATTTGTAAAATATTTTAATTAGTTTTTCTTTTTCTGATTAAATTATTAGCTATTGATATTTGAGATTTGTATACTTTTTAATTAGTCATATTCTATAAATTAAACGAAGATTAGGCTAACTTATAATAATTATAACTTTAAATATAACTTTTAAAATACAAAAACTTATACTATCAGTGTATTTTTTTGAGTAACAATACAAATATATAATTTATCAAAAAGAAATTAATTTAATAATACATTAAATATCATTATTTGTTCAATCGCTTTTCTTTATTAAGTTCATTGAAATATAAATGTATTTAAAAATTCATATAGAATTTCTCATTTGAATTTACATGTATTTATTTAATATGTGACTGGTAATTTTCCTAATATTTCCTAACTACTAATAATAATTTATGCTTTTGTAATCGAATCTACAACAGATTGAAAACTCCCAGAGTAAAATGAATTTTGTAAATTTATTAATTTCTCATTTCTTTAACTATTTTTCAAAGTTTCCCGTATAATATAATAACTTAAGAAATTGCTTACAATTGTACAAATGTAAACGCAATTTTTAGTAAAGTAATTGTAATTGTATGAATATTAATTACATATTCTTCATTTGTTTGAAACAATAATATTTAAAATGTCAATAAAAATACTTGAAATTTCCATTGACAATATAACATTTAAAAGATCTCTTTTTATATTAGTATAATTTTTACATCATAATTGCTGAATAGTCCATTAATAAATAAATAAAATAAATTAATAAATATGAATAAAAATAAAATTAATAAATAGATATACTATTAACTTATAAAATTATTAACGTATCATGAAAGTTCGGCATTTTATTGTAATAAATATTTCATAAATTTATAGAATTTGTATAGATTCGTTTATTATTGATTTCTTTAAATTCTTATAAAATTGTAGATGTTAAATGCAATTTCTTGTATGTACATTATTTATATTATAGAAAATTCAAAGTAATGAAAACATATATTGATAAATTAATGGAAAGTTTGTATATCGACAACATTTTTATTATATTAACATTATTAATGATTTTTTTTTCTTCATTCATATAGTAAATAATTATACTAGCTTTTCACATAAATAGTAATAGATAATTGATTATTAATTTGTTCATGTTTTTATTAATATAAAATTAATAAAGTGATACAAACATAACGGACTTTTTATTAAAACAATGTAGAGCAAATTAAATTAAATATTTACAACAGGAGTTTTGTCTTTTACCAGTACGAAGTTGTTCAATTAATTTCTGTATGTAAGCGTCATAAAATTTAATCTTTATTTATTTTATTAATTTAATAGCGAAATAAAATACGGTTGATTAATCATATTACTTGAAGCTAAATAATAAATTTATTTTATTAAATAACGTATTAAATCTACAAGCTTATCAACCAAAGCAATATATTATTTATGCTTTCATACACAATTTTTTACTCATTATAAAAATAATTGTTAAACATTATGTGTTACTGCATTATCAATACTTTATTAATTAAGCTCGAACAGTAATTGTTATTAGTTAGCAATTTTCATGGCTAAATAATATTTGTAGGATGTAAAATTTTTTCAATATTTTGATTTAAAAATCAGAAGACTTACTATCTTAATATTAAGTGAATATTGTATTCTAGAAATGTCAGTATATAAAAGTCCAATTATATAAATGTCAATCAGAAGCTTAATAAAGTTTAATAAAGCTTCTAATATACAATTCAAATAATAATAGGTTTAAAGTTCTAAAACTTCTAAACTTCTAAAACTTTAACATTATTTGTATTACACCATCATAGCTAGATAAGCTATTGTGCATTCCTAATACAACTGTAATTAAAAACATGATTTGTCTTTAAATTATCAAATGAACATTGTTTTTCACAACATATTTGACGACGTTTCTCCTACTTTAATTCTCTTTTCGCGTGTGTTTCATTCGTTCGCGCGTCACTGCGCAGCTACGGAGTTTAAAGTAATGTATGGAGAGATTCGTTGCTGCCTTTTTCAACTTACAATCGGTCTGATTTTATCCATCTTTTAATCTAAGAAGCTCGCGGATAAGAACACTTATTTTTCAATTTACCTAAAAGGACGAATCTACTTGCATTGTCATTGTCATGGCGGCAAATTTACCAAATTCTTCCTTAAAGTACTCATCTTAATTTAGCAGCACAGCGGCAGGCGGCGGCAAACAAACGTATGCGCATGCACGCATACGAAGCTATGAAAGTACCCAGGGAAAAATGGCCGCATTTTAGTCTACACGCGAAGGGAAGCGCTCTCTCTCTCTCCGCAATATTCTTTTTCTTTACTGTTTGCCAATCGCCGTTCTGAGTAGAATTCGCGCATAAGGGGCCCTACATTACAATTAACGTACGAACAAGACTTGTCGCAACACCTTAGCCGTCCGATATTCAAAAACTTGTCCGTGTCTTCGTTTCTGTCGTCGTCGTCGTCGTCGTCGTCGTCGTCGTCGTCGTCGTCGTCGTCGTCGTCGTCGTCGTCGTCGTCGTCGTCGTCGTCGTCGTCGTCGCCGTCGTCGTCGTCGTCGCCGTCGTCGCCGTCATCGCTGCCGCTGCCGTTGCCGTTGCCGTTGCCGTTGTCGTCGTCGTCGCCGCTGCCGCTGCCGTTGTCGTCGTCGTCATCGTCGACGTCGTCGTCGCCGGCCCCGCCGTTGTCTCGCTCTTTCATTTTCCTCTATCTCTCTCGCTGCTATTTAACTGCCGGAGAGACGACACTAAGAAACACGTTTGTTTAAAATTCGTCAAGTTCCTCGAGGAGAGGAGCGAGAGAGACTTTCTTAAGGTAAGTCAAAGAATATACCAATTATCCTTTATTTAATAAATCGTTTCTTTTTTATTGTTCTGCATTCTTTTCTAGCTGTCTGATATCCTTGTACCTGCATTTTAATGCTAAAGACATAGTTTTTAAGGTTAATATTCCATTTCTCAAATGGAAATTCTTATGAAAATATTGCATGCTTTTAAACGCCTACCGGCTTGTTCAGAAGAACATTATATTGACGCACAACGATATTCGAGAAACGTCATGTTGAACTTGTACATATGCGTTTTATCGGAGTAGTAGTAAAAGGAAGGGGCAAGGAGGAACGGTTTTTATCTCTTGTAGCCGCTTCCCTTTTTGATCATTTCGTCACCCGCAATCGTCTCCTCTTTCCCATAACTCAGCCCGTCAGTTTTAATTACCTTACCCAAAAAATTTATGATTAAATGATTTAAAATTATACTAATAAAGTTTCTTCATTAATAAAATTGAATGCATCTTGAAATTTACAATTACAAACAAATATTAAAGTTTCATAATAAATAATATACTAACTGTTTTTATTGAAATCTGGAAAATGAAAAAATATACTAATTATAATAATTGATACTTTTAATGCGGCTGTACCAATTCATGAATTAAGATTATAGTATATATATATGTTTGAATGCATGTGTGTATGTATTTATAACAAATATAAAAGATACATTATTTTAAAACTTAACATTGTGGAATAGGTTATAACAACAAATTTTTAATTTATGATGTATTAGTTTAATTTCATTCGAATTGAAAGATTTAGTTTAGATTTAGATTTCAGTTCAATAAACTGAAATTTTTACATAACTTTTACTAAAACGTAATAGTATATTAAAATTATATTTTTAATGAAAATACAAGTAATGAATCATTATTCGTTCTAAACAAAATTTAGTTTTATTATATTCAATATAATTTCGATTTGTTTATCTTGTCATTTTACCAACTAAAAGTTCAAAAAATTCAACTTCAAATTAATATTTTCCATATCTATATATATATATATATATATATGTATATATTTTTTTAAATAATCATTTATTGATTTATTTATTAAGTAACAATTTATTTATTAAGAATCATAATGATTTTACGTTTATATCTAATTTAAATATTTAATGGCCTATGTAAATGTATATTATAGTTTCCTCGTTCAATTCTATCCTATAAAACTTCATTATTAATTTGTATATTAAATTTGTAGAATACTAAAAATGATACTTATAAGCGTATTTATTCTAATAGGTAATGCGTCCCATGCAACAGGCTCCAATGGCCCCGACACATCAGCCTGTGCAACATCATACCCATCATCAATTGTTATCAATGGCACCACATCAACAACAACATATGCATCATATGCAGCATCCAGCCATGACCAATCAACGAATTTTGATGGGTATGAGCACTCAGAATTCTAACGGTAAGTCCTTACTTATTGCATTAATTTTTGCTCTCTCTCGTATTATTTGCTTTATGTATAAAAATTAAGCTAAGATCCCTGATGCATGAGTTTGTCCATTTTTAAATTTTTAGCTAATAGTTATTGCTGATTTTATGCATTTAATTGCTTTCATAGTTTTTACAAACTAAATTCAATGAGTTTGAGAAAGACAAAAAAGAAACTGGGAATGTCTTATCAAAATATAATTAAAATACAAGGACATAGACTATTCTAGTTTTCTTTTCAATTTTGCAAAAATTTAGCTTATTAAATAAATATTGATATTTAGAATTTTTAATATTAGTGAGTGTGTGTTATAAAAATTGTAATAAATAAATTCATTTAAAAATCTAGTATTAAGCAGTTTCTAATATTTTTCAAGAACAGTTTGTATTTCTAAGAATAATAATTAACAATTAAGACATGTTGAATATTGGTAATATTATACAAACTGCATATTTAAAATATAATAAAATTTGTAATATACGGCATACAAGTATTTGTAAATAAAAGAATTATGTCTAAAGCTTGAAGCGAAAGAGAATTTTTATAAATCTGAAATAATCTTGGCAAACATATAATTTTAATATTACTATCAAAGTTATCGATGATTGAAATTATATTAAATAAATGTAATCACCATTGTTTATTTGTATTTGTCAATTAATTAAATTATTATAATTGTTAGATATTATGTTATGATTACAGTTTCAGAACAGAAAAAGAAACTGAATTTTAATTTTTATAGAGTCTGAAAGATCTGTAATATGTAATAAAAAAAGATAATCTGTAATATTTCCTTGGTACACATTATTGTTTTAAGTTATAATAATACCTTGCGTTGTTAATGTAACTAGATCTTTATTATTTATTGATTTTATTTTTTTAGTGTAGAAGTAATATGTAGTATTTCCAGTATCATTAGAAATGCACATTATGAGTGTATCGATTACTTACATTCTTAATAGTAAATGAATAAAATGAAAATTGTAAATGAATACAAGTAAACATTAGAAAATCATGTAATTTTAATGGTCTAAGAAAAATATTTATCAATGAATTTTTTTAATTAATTGAAATAATTCAATTTTCTAAGTTTTTTTTAATACATTTAAATAAATATTTTTAAATTTTAGAGAATAAAATTTCAATTGACCTGATAGATTAATTAATTTGTTATGCATCAATTTATAAACACAATAACGTTCTTGATTAGTGTTTATTGGTATTGTTCAATTCTTTGCGCTTTACATTCAAAATGGTTTACGATACTTTGAAACTGTGTGAATAAATTCTAGAATGCTTTGGCCGCGAATTAAAACGTAACATGGCTTTTGATATTTTTTAAGACCGAACCTTAAATCCGTATAAAACAATTTTTATCCATTTTAAAATATACAGAAAATCGTGAAATATAACAAATGTAATTTATCGAAATACAATAAATTAAGCATATGCGTTTTTAAGATTAAAAAATAAATGTATTTTTCTTGAATGAAAAATTCTAATTTTGACATTATAGTTTTGATAAGTATATATATGAATTAATTTTTGTTATTGCCTATATTTAACTTTTATGTTATACCATTATTGCTAAAAATACTCTATGTCCTTAATTTAATAAGGTGATGGTGACGATAGAATTTTCTTTTTATTTAGTAAACACGTTAGTTAATTTAAATGTGTGATAGATTGCTACACATATAACACCTTTTTTTTCGCACCAACATCCCAGATTGTTTTTAGATTTAGCAAACATCATCAAATATCATAACATCAACTTTCTCCTACTCCATTACTTTGTTTTAATGAGCAGAATATTAGCTAAAAGACGTTAACACCGGAGTTAAACATTAAAACAATTAAAATAAATTATCAATACTTTATAATTATGTCCACCATTTTGTTTACATTATTTTAAGGTATTTTTATTAGTGGTATAAATATATTTTTTTCTTTTTTTTTTTAATAAAAAGTATTTTGATAATATCTGAACTAATGAATCTAGTTATTAACTGTCGAAAAAGTGAATTATACTTACATTAATTGTATCGAAAATTAATTCTTTATCTTAAATAAATATTTACAACATTTTAAATGCTATTTTTTAATTTATTACGAAAGTCTTTAAATGATTTTATTGTTAATGGCTTTTATTCTGTTTATTGATTAAAAGGTTTCAAATTTAAAGTCGTCGAAAGGACAAACCGTGTAGTTAGAAAATCACATTCATCATTGTTTTGTTTATTTTTTGTTAGTGCATCGCTACGTTTTACTGGTAATACTGGTATACGCCATATCCTGTGCAGATGCAATAAAACATCAATCACCAAACTAGATAATCTTGAAAACTTGGAATTTTTATTTGGACCAAGTGGGTGCATTGAAGGTCTGTTTTTGTTTCGAGGATTTTAAGATAAATAACGATGGTATTTTGTTTGATCGATTTGATACTTTTATCCGAATTCTGTAATATGGAATTTCATTCTTCAAGTCGAAAATACATTCTACTTTAAGTTTTTGTCCCTTCTTTTATTTTATTTCCAAGATAATAATTAGTTTTAATTTTATTAACATTCGTTACTAGCTTATATTAAAAATGTACATTAAAGATATTTGTATATAAAAGCATATATTTTATATAAATTTTTCTGTCCAAGTTTTGTAATTTTTGATTTCGTAAATTAAATACACCATAATTTTAATTAATTGGCGTTTTTCAGTTAAAATTTTTTATTGTGTTTTATTAATTTTATATTATACATAATGTTTATTGCACGTAAAATATATCATGTATCGCTGAATTTAATTTGGATTGAAACAGAAAAGGCTAGAATTGATCTTTGGTATTTTGTAATGTTGCCCCTAAGATTGGTAATAGTACTAACAGCTCGTTGAGATTATGCTTGTTTCATGCTAATTCCTGTAGTAATTTTTTATTTAAAAAAATACATTTAATTTAATTAGATTATTGTTGTTAAAGTCTTCGATGAAATATTGTAATTTGTCATCTTTTATGTTAGAAATTGAGAAATTTAACATATAATGACAATTACAGGCACGATCGCGTTGGTGAACGTTGGATTAAAAGATCAGGCAAATGCTATTCCTTTGACGCTCCAGAATCATCCTTCAATTCAACAACAGCAACAATCTATTCAAAAAAATATTGAACAAAAGAAGATTCCAAATGATGATTCTGGTAAGTTTTTTATTTTGTTTCTACTTAAGAAAATTTTAATAACCAGAATTTCAAAGTATATCTTTGGATATATTATTCAAAATATAATGAGTTTGTATATTTAATAGAGTTTATCAAATTAATTACATATTTATTTAAAACGATTTTTAACTTCGTTATATTCATATTATATAAAATAATTCGTATTAATAATCTTATTATTAAAGTAGGTTTGAAATAAAGTAATATATAAAAGATCAGAACGTCACTTTATAGGACGTGAAATTTGTTTTACTCGAGAAAGAAAGAAAAGAATGTGCATTTTGACAAAGAATTGCAAATTTTTAGAGAAATAAAAAGTAACGCAATAAGAAAAAATATTTAAATTTGTATTTCCAAGGCAAGATCACTATATTTCAAAATAATAAAATATGTTAAGAGATCATTTCTTCAAAAATCTATAACAAAAACAATCACACGAATACAAACTTAAAAATTTAAGTACTTTATAAATAATAATGCTTCATAGATTCTTCATGGGTAATAATAATGTATGTATGTTTGTATTTTAGTTATGAATTAGTTATATCGAATTACCTCAAGGTTACATTTGTGAACACGAACTTTTCATTATTATTATTACAGAAGAATTAACTGTAGATTTGAAATTGTTATGAAAAAAAGTTTATAATTTTTAATGAATGATTCAGGTGAGTCAAAGGATGACGGCTCAGGGAGCCAGCAGCAGTGCCAATCTAACGCGACCAACGCCAATTTGGCAAACACGCGAGAAAAGACACCTATGTGCCTGGTGAACGAACTCGCCAGGTTCAATAAGATCCAGCACCAATACAGGTTAACGAACGAGCAAGGGCCCGCGCACAAAAAACGCTTCACCGTAACGTTGATGCTCGGCGAAGAGGAATACGTCGCCGATGGGCCAAGCATAAAAAAGGCACAACACAGTGCAGCCAGCCATGCTCTGACGAAGACCTGGTACAGAAAACCACCACCCAAGCCCACCAGAGCCATCAGGATGCCCGGAAAGTGCCCAACCGGTTCTGGTAAATCACTCGTTTATCAACCAATGGAATTGCGTTTCCCATAACGAAACTAACGCATAAAGGCAAAGTTACAGCCTCCAAAATCCAATAAAATTTATAAACTTACAGTTTCGTGGACGTATTATTGAAGTAAGGACAGTTATATATCTGGCATTGTTCCAGATAAGCTAAGGGAATCCATAAAAGCCTTTATTATAAAATTATTAAATCATAATTTTAAATTGCATGATATACATAGACATCGATGAGTTTATAAATTTACAGCTTACATTGTTTTATTAAACGAACGATAAATTTAATTCAGAATTTGTTTCCTCAGGAGGACATTTACCGCCGACAGTAGAACTAAATGCTCTGGCGATGAAGAGGGGGGAACCGACAATTTATACATTTAGACATGCACCCCCGGCAACAACTCCAGCACCACAGCAATTCATCGCACACGGCTTTACGTTTCCACGGATATTTACACCGCGATATTCAACTTATAATCGTGGCTTTCATCCAGAACCTCAAGGAATTTATCTTGTCACATTAAAGGTAAAATCTAATCATCGCAAAATACTTTCAATTTCAAATCTTATTAAAATTTTATGTTTATATTTTGTCCAGCTAAATAGATAATCTTATCCACTGATAAAAATTATTGGTTAGCTTGAATTACTAAATACTAGACTCTTCTTTCTGCTGCCTAATCATATTTAGTAATAAACATTCATTTTCACTCAATCAATATCTAGTTGCAATAATATAAGTTTGAAAATAAGTTAAATATTGAATTAAATATTTGACAAAGTCAACGAAGGGTATTTAATGTTCTTTTATCCTTATGATAATTTCTTATCCGTACAATTGTTCATAAACTTACTAAATTCATAATCACGTATGTTAAAAACTTCATAAATAATATAAAAATGTTTTGTTTATTTTTCATCGCTTCAAAAATTCGAAAAAAATCTAAAACTTGGATTTATTTTCCATAATTTTCTCATTTGTTATTGTTTAAAGACATAAACAAACAGAGAATGAAATTTGAGTACCAAATGTTTATTAGGTTGGTGAGAGAGAATTCATAGGTCGGGGTACAACGGGACAAGCAGCACGACACGATGCGGCAAGCCGTGCACTCGAGCAGCTTCGACAACTGCCTTTACCCGAGGAGATGGTGAATTCCACGGTGGCGGTGGGCGAGGGCGTCGGAAACGATGCCGGATCTAGTGGTATCGACGATCCCAACGCAGAACTCAAAAGTTCCGTATCACTAGTGCACGAAACGGCCCTTAAACGTGGCCTCTCTGTTAGTTTTGACGTTGTCTCAGAAACTGGCAAACCACACATCAGAACCTTCATGACTAGATGCACAGTCGGCGAGAAAGTCACTTTAGGCGAGGGATCCTCGAAAAAGGTATTCTTTCAGTCCTGTTTTCTTGAAAATAAATCGTAATCTTAATTTTTTTTATTTCTACTTTAAATATACTCCGCAATATTATATAAAATAGCTTGTGAATATTATTTTATGCTTCTTCAAACATATTTTTTTTTTTTTTTTTTTTTTTTTGCTTTTTTCTCCATTATTAATAAAAAAGAGAAGAAGAAATAAAGAAAGAAAGAAAATAATTAATTGGCTGGCAAATATAATTGCAAAATCTATTATCATTTTATACTATCTATTTGTAAATGCACAAGTTTTACAAGTCATTAAAAGGACGAGAGTAGACAGAGGTAGAGTAAACAGAAGACGCCAATTTTAACAAACTTATCTTTATCCCTTAGGTATCTAAAAAGCGTGCTGCTGAACTGATGCTGGAAGAACTGAAGCGTCTACCACCAGTTGCTGTAAATATTCGGAATCTGCGCTTGAAACGTAAGCCCTCAGCGACAAGAAAGAAGTCACGCAATCTGATCAAGGTGTACCAGGAGCCACGTACTGAATCGGACAGCTCCGACGAGGTGAACCCTATTTCTCGCCTTGTCCAAATACAGCAAGCCAAGCGCGAACGCGAACCGATGTATAATATCGTGGAAGAAAAGGGTGCGCCTCGGAGGCGTGAATTCATCATGAAAGTTTCGGTCGGACAATACTCAGCCCAAGGAATAGGACCGAATAAAAAATTAGGTAATATAGGAATAATCATTAGGCGTGCATTTAAAGTATATTTGAAATAAATTGTTTAGATATTTATAAAATCTTGAGAAACAGTCGAGAGCTAAAATTGCATTTTCAATTAAATGATTAATGAATTGTGCGATTAAAATTTTTTAATAAATTTTAAAGATTTTAATTTAAGCATTAAAATCGGAACGCCTGCTTTGTGTCAATTATTCTAAATAACTACATTTCTTTTGTAGAAAGGAAAATGTAAGACTATATTGTGTGCAGTTTTAACACAGGCGTTTTTATAATACCGCCTTTTCTTTATAATTGACGACACCTCAAATAAACAGTGTTCGGCAATTCATTTCAAGTTCGCTGCGTGGAAGAGGCATTAGAGGGTAATAAAGTACCCACTGAACTCTCCAATACGCATTTCCTGACACTTACCAACAAATGCCGTTTTATTTTTCTTCAGAATATTTTTTTAATTATTTCAAAAATTTTTATGTATCTTATTTAATTTTTATCCAAATATTTTTGCAAAAAATATTATGATAAATTACATCTAAACATATCTTCGCATTATAAATTGCTATTTATTATTTTCTATAATTATTTTCTATTTAAGTTGTTGAATTTACATGGAGATGCTACAAAGATATTTTATATTATACACCTTTTACTTTTGCAATTGCTAACTATTTTTACACATGACAAAATCGTAGACAGTAGTGTAGAGTTGTTAACATGTGAAATAATTATATTTTTTTTTTTATCTCATTTAGCAAAAAAGGCTGCAGCCGAGGCACTTCTTAAGACTATGGGATACAGTAAACCACAGCCACAACCAACAAAGCCGTCCATCAAAAATAGTAACAGTGTTGGGGTGGGAAGTAATGGAACGGAAAACAAAGAAAATGAAGGCAAGCGAAAGGTCACTTTTGTAGAAGTTGATACAAACAACGATACAACGCACAATCATTCTCAAGGAGGTAATTCTTTTTTTATTTTCATTTTTTTATTGTACTTCAACTGCAAATAAAATACATTATTAAAATATTATTTATCATTTGATTCAATAAGGTACTATCGGACGTCAATTAGTTCCTGGACTTCTTCTGGTAGATAATGGTGCAGATTCTAAAGTTATCAGCGGACCAAGCGTTCAAATTGTTGCTGAGGAGCTGCGCGGGCAGCAGCAGCCCCAGTCGAATATTGTCTCACCAAAGGAGCAACTCAAATATCTTGCTCAACTGCTTGATTTTGAAGTACAGTTTAGTGATTTTCCAAAGGTATTTTACATTATAAGTATTCATAAGCTCGTTGAAATAAATTTCATGACAGTTTCATCTTGTAATATTCAAAATTATTTACCTTTTTGTAATCATGACGTAAAAAAACTGTTAAAGTAAAACTGAGAAAATATTAGAATTAATGAATTATATTAATTATATTAAAACTAATAATTTAATAAACCTTATTATTACTAATTATTATGTATTATACTATTATGTACTAGGTATTACTAGTTAATATGTTATTAAAAATAAAAAAAAAAAATATATATATATATATATATATATATATATATATATATATATATATATATATATTATATCTAACAATACTATTTGTTTAATTTGGTATTTGGAGTATACTAAACAATATACCATTATACTAAAATATAAAACAATATTAACTTTATAATAAAACTCATCTTGAGAAATATGTGAATTAAAAATAGTTTTTGTTACAAGTAAATATTCAAAAGATTCTTTAAATTTATACAAGTACAATTAAAATTAAATGAATTATATTTTGTTGCTCGTAATATTTGTTTTACATCAATAATTTATGAACAAATTATTTATTTATAAAAGTCTTATGTCATATTTATATAATATTTAAGAATGGGTATTTAATAATCATGAATATACTATCATCTAGTACAATAATTTTAAAAACAAACAAATTGCATTGATTAATTTTACAATTTTTTTAATAATGCTTTTATTGTATGATGTACGATAAATGAAACTAAAAATGACTAAAAATTAATTTATTGTATATACATTGTATTTTAAATCAATTATTTAAAACTAATTATATGATTATAAAATGCATTTTGTTTTAGGGCACCTATAAGGAATTCCTATCGCTTGTTTCGCTGAGCACGGATCCACCGCAAGTCTGTCATGGCCATGGACCCACCAAAAGCGCTAGTCGTGACCAAGCAGCACTTACTGCATTGCGGACCCTAAGTAAATTAGGTCTGGATAGTGTTACTAATTCCAACAAAAAAGACAAATCCAACACCACATCTAATAGTGACGGAAATGGACTTCACACCTACAACACGCAGATTCAGAGTAACAGCGTCATTAATGGTGCAATGGATAAGTGAAAAAGAAAGAGAATTTTTCCTTTTTTGTTTTTTTTTCTTTTTATTCACATTGCTCACTAAAGTTTTTCCTTCATTAATGCTTTACTTCAGACACGTTCCGTGATAAACAGTATGTATTGACAATATTTTATTAACTTTTCATTGTGCGAGTGTAAAGTTACACGGAAAAGGTTACTAATGTAAGAAAATATTTTGTGAAAAGAATAAAAATATGTTTATCTATTGCTTGATGGAAAGATTGAAATTAACGAGTAAATGTTACTTTTGTTAAATTGGAATTATGAATTCATGATTATGAGTTAAGTAACTGCTTGTGTGTGAAATATTTGTTGAACTAGCTTTTTAATCCTTTTTAAAAATTTATGGGATCACGAGTATGTATTGTCAATTACTTTCTATAAATATTAATAAATATTTTTAATAAATACTTGTATAACTGATCTTTTGTTTTATTTAGATAAAAACAGGCTTTAATATTATATATTAAATTTATCAGCCAGATTTAATTTTTTGAATAAAACAGTAAACGATTTTGTATATATAATTATTAAACATAAGTTTAGACATGCAAAAGTTTCATTTACTTGTTCAATTGATCTTGCCATTATTGGTCCTCAGCAAAAGAACAAAATTTTTATTTAATTAATTCAATATTTACTTTAATTTCTAAAAAGAGAAAAAGAAAATATGAAAAATAATTGAAATAATATTTTTGCAAAATTTGTGAACATTATTGAAACGCACTTTACTTTATGATATTGAAAAAATATGTACACAAAGTATAATTTTAATATTGATAAAAAAAAGTGATATATTTTTAATTTATTTGGAACAAGTTATCGTTTTAAAATAATCAATTTGTAAAATTTATGATTTAACAGTGGCACTTGTCAGACTGAATGAATTATTGTACGGAGTTTACTTTGAATGTTGCTTAATGTTGAAGATAGATAACGAAAATAATTTCAAATGATAAGGTATTTTTAACATTAAAAACACTCAACCAGTGGAATACTTATTTCATTTTTTATTTTCTCTTGTTTTAATTATTATTAAGAAAAAAGAAGATATTCATTGTGCACGTATTATCGCTGTATTTATCATCATCAATTTCGTTAGACGATTAAGTTTGATCGGCATGTAAATTCATTTCGCAGGTTTTCTGGCTTGATGCGAGAAAACAAAGATAAACTTCTGTGTATTTTTGTGTAAATGATAAAGAAACAAAGAGAACGAAGACGTGATTTGACTAAACTGCGAAGTGAATCTGCAAGCAAAAATTTGTGTGACGACGATGGTAGCTCATTACAATTTTTTCTCTTAGCTTGTGATTACATAGCGTACTTTTTATATTTTCGAATCGAAAAAAAGTATAAATCGCAATCGATGAAATGCGGCCATATCTCGACTTCATAAAAAAAATATCTGATACCTTGATCTTTGTCATTGTCATGAATGTAACTTATGCTGTATCGAAATTACCTAATTACCAAAACTTAAAATTTGTAGTGATTATTAATTTTCTTTTTACTTTCTCTTAAATGTTTACTTTGATGCTCATTGCGTAACTAAATAAAATACAATTCAGCAACAAAGTTGTGCGTAAAAAGAGAAAAAGAAAAGAAAGAAGCAAACTTACAAAAAAAAAAAAAAAAAAAAAAAAAAAAAAAAAAAAAAAGCGAAAAATCATAAAAATGAACGAAAAAAACGACTAGGTAATTTCATGTACGTTTTTAAGTCCCAATATGCTTTTTTCGGGGCCTAGAAGCATTCTGGGATTATATTCATGTAAATGTCATGAAAGGTATTTGAATATAAAATGAAAAAAAAGTAAACGAACACGTAAAACAACAAGCCATTTGAAATTTTCTCGAGCCACTTACGTGAAATTTTATTGAAAAAAGTTGGTGGCTTGTTCGGTCAGAAAATTTCAAAGAAAACGGTTTTTTATTAGAATTATAATAATAAACTGATAATGGGCTAATATCTCGAAATTCTTCCCCGTTGTATTAGGATTTAGTGCGACACTGCGAACACTTATAAAATTATATTATAAAGTCGCTAAATAATTCTGAAACAACGCCAAGCGAATTTTGGTCTATTGCCCAGCAGCGAGCGAAGAAGAGAAACAAAGAAAAAAATCCTTTAAGTATGTACAATAATGAATGTAGGGAATATCGATTGTCGGTATATATACTTTCATTATCTTTTGATTATATGTTTGATTTTTTCAAACTATTTAAATATAACGAGTGAAATTTTTCTTTAGATAATAATTGTTGAATCAATTTAAATGAAAATAATATTTCAAGTACCAATATGTTCTATTTATAATCTGTATAAAATTTCAACTATCGTGCATATAATTTAAATTCAAAATTAGACTAAAACAATAAATAATGAATAAAATAGTAATATGAAATTAATAGGAAATACAAAATTTGTTATTAATCGAAAGGAATAGAATTTAATAATTCAGCTATTTTCAAAGATAAAGGATTTTTTATAAATATTCTTTAGATAATCAAATATGAGTTATTTTAATTTTTAATACAAGATAAACTCACTGAACACACTGAAAACTTTTTGACTATGAACAATACATTTCCTTGAGATAACAACCAATATAGAAATTATAAAACAATTATTAAATTATTGTTATAAAAATGTGTTGATAGTAATTTGAAGTATTTACATAATTGTTAATATTTTGTTAATATTTACAATGTTGCAAAGTAATGAAAGTACCGACAAATCGATTTAATAATACTATCTTATATTCATTATTCTTATTGCATATATATATATATATATATATATATGTATAAATATATACATGCATATGTATATGTATATATTTATATATAATACACATATATAACCAATTTAATTCAATTCAATCCATTGAAATATATCTTATTAAGAGAGTTTGCAATTTATGCAGTTTTGCAATCTCCATTTTATTTCATAGATCTTTCTACTTTTTTTTCTAGCTAAGGTAGAGCTTAATACTTAAATATCTACATTTTAGTCGCTTTCGCATGAATTGTATTTATTAGTTAATCTTTATCAAGTTTTTAGAAAACAATTGAGAATATGATAAAGAGCATTTCTAACGTGGACTAAAAATTAGTTTATATAATTTTCAATTGCTTATTTGATTTTTACTTTCTCTGCATTTTAAAATTATTTACACTGTCTGCATAAATGTTTCATGATCAAGAATCAAAATTACTACATTAAAAAGGTTTATTAAAAAAATTCATACGTAACGAAAACATTTATTTGTTTTACAAAATTATGTTAAATGTTTAAAGATTGACTAATAGACAATTCTTAAATCTTACGGTATAAGCCTACCTTAAATACGAAAATATTGTAATTAACAGTGCTGTATTTGCCATGCACTAAAAAAAGAAAACATTTGTTATATGCCTCTTCATAATAATTACTGTTTTCTAAGTAGTTTTCTTGTCTCTGATAAGCTTCATACAGGTTTTGCTATAATTTTTTTCTTTCTTTATCTTCACAAGATTTTTTTATATATACTTTTTATGTTTTAGTGTGATAAGCCCTTCGATGAATATTTCATTTCTAAATATCACATCATTAATTATACGTATTTCTTATAGAATGCGGGAATCTATATTACCTTCCATCACTAAGCGTTTATAAAAAATTCAAATCTATAAACATTAAATTAAACACATACTTTCTGATCATGATTTTTAATTCTATTACGAATTATACTTTTCACATTTGAAATTCTTTTTAAATTCATCCTAAATATATACTTAAATATAATAAATTCTTATTATATTAATTTATTTAGTTTAAAAAGTATTTATATATTTTTATAATATTGATAAATATTATTTTAAACGAGATAGAAAATAATTTCGATAAATATTCTTTATTAAATAGTTAAAATATGAATAAACTATTCTAATTTCTCAAACAATATAGAAAATGAAATTAGAATAAAATTTTTTATTTTATATTGTCATATGAAAAGTAATAATTTATGTACCACGAGTGACTACATTTTAAAATATTATAATAATCCAATAAAGTAACCAATATTTAAAATTTATAAATTACTTTATTAATTTTACGATTTTTTATAAAATGGAGTAAATAAGTTTCATTATACATACATGTTTCTGTATGCTTATGCTCTACATTTTTTCATAATAGTAAATGATAAAAATGAAAATTAATAACGACAAAAGATTTAGTTCGACTTTATATATATATATTTTTATTTGATTAAGTTATAATATTTTTCATTTCATATTTATTTACAAACAACATTCTTTTAGATTAATTTTGCTTTTTGATAATTTGAAGAAAAAAAATTATGATCATTAAGAATTTTTTTGACATAAAGAAATTAACTATTTGGGTAAAATAAAATTATTAATCTTTTTAAAAGCACGAACCTGCGTGTACATAAAATTAAAAAAGGTGCTAAATACGAATTCATATAAAATATACAAGATATTTAGAAAATAATAATATTCATTCGAGGCAATGCGAGGTAGCGTATTCCACAAAAAATGTTGAAACATATTTTGTTGCCTCGTAAAAAAAATGAAAAAAGCGAACGAACATGTCAGTTTGTATTTCAAACAATAAACAGTTTAACAAAATGTTTTTGTTTTTTATTCAATCCTTTAACTAAATGATCTTTGACTATTGTTAATAATATACACGGTATACATTATATACATTTATAACTATTAGTGTTTTTATAAATTTATAGAGGTATTTAAATGAATTAAATTAAAAAGAAATTTTATGTATAAGTAGTTTATAATAATAAATAAAAATTTTGCTTAAGTCAACTAAAACTTATTACATTTATTTCTGCAATGCCTTCAATCTGTACAAATAAATTACTGTAAAGCATATTCAACTTTAACAACATTTAAAATCACTCGTTCTTGTAAAAAATTTTATAAGCAATTATAATCTGGTAAGTGTGATAATAAATTTGAATAAGTTAATAAATTACTATCCGCTTTTAATGTTAGGCATTACAAATTAACATGCATACAATTAAAATAAATAAATTATCTACGTAACTTAAAATATGTATTTACATTTTTACAACTATTTGCTAATGACTAATTTTAGATTGAACTTCCATAAAAATTTAGATTTTAATATTTATTGATATGAAAATGTTAAAATTTTAAAAATTGTAAAAAAAAATTCTTAGAGTCTTCTGTAATTATCTCTTTGTTGCTGTGCTGGTGTAGTGAATGACAATGCTAATCCAATTGTTGAATACATAAATGGAAAAATGGATGCTAATGCTAATACTAGACCAATAATTGGCCTATACCAGACCCAAGCAAATCCAATGACTAGAAGACTTGTTGACATTGATACTGACATTGTAAGGTATTCAATGTTTATTATTTCAGATAAAAAATTGGAGTTCTGAATGATGATCTTTAAAATGCTTGCTAAGCAAGTTGCAGATAAAAACATTACCAACCATCCCAATCCTCTAAAAAAAGAAATCATTGCTTTAGATTACTGTAATGTAGATACAAAATCAAATACATATTATAAAAATTTGTGCAAAATGCAATTCAACATTTATATCAATAACTAGCAATCTTACATCTGAAATTACATGCTATTAAAAATAAAATATTGTTAATACTTAAAAACTGATTAATGCATTTTGAGCCATTTATAAATTAAATTTATGCATTTAAGCTGGTTAATTTTAATTTTATTAATTAAATTTGAATAATTTACCTCATAGTCCAAGTACGCCAATAATTATCAACATGCTCAAGATGAAACATTTGATCAATAGAAACTGTATACTTTCTTTGCAGTAATATCTCTTCTCCTTGCATAGTTTTATATGGTTCGATAACTCCATTAACCAACTTTCCAATCACGGTATATGTATCGCCAGCTTTTCCAGCATAAGATAACTGCACTCTAACATCTCCTACTTTCGGATCCCATAAATCAGAACTATGATAATATAATCCAGAATGCATTTTAATATCTGGACGTTCTGGCCTTTCATCGCTTGTAATTTCAATAAAATCGTTAAATTTTTTCTTTAATTCCATTCCCAATGCAAAAATACCAATTTTAACTTCTTCGGATATTTGAATTACACTCTGTATAGATATTTCTGTAGGATTTTCATGGCCAAATGTTATATAAAAATTATCGGAATCAATTAATTTGTCTTTCCATTCAGTTGTGTAGTAATAATGTTTCTCTGGTTCTGTTGAGCCAACATAACTGATAAAATAGAAATAGAAAATTTTATGTTTACAAGAAATGTATGCAAATATGAAAAAATTTATATTTCAATTGTTTCATACTGAATTTCCAAATATTAAAAGTAATATATCAAATAAGTCCTGCATATTTTTATATATACCATCATTATTTTGGTTATTTAAATATATTATAAGTTCAAAACGCTAATATACCTTCGCTCTTCCTCTATTTCTATCCATTGATATATTTGTACTCTTCTTTTTAATTTTATACAACTAACCATGACTCCATAATCAGGCTCTGTCAATGGTTCTGCTACATTTAAAGTTCCAGATAAATACACTAAACGACCTTCCAACTCTGGTACAGACTTGAAAGTATTTTGAATCTCAGCAACATTATTTAACGCCTCTTGTAAAGAATATGCAATTTTAACAGCCTTACCCTATAAAGTGATAAATAATTTAATAAGAAAATATCTAAAATTGTACAAAAATTGAAAAATAATATCAACGTAGGTTGATAAAATTTAATGTTACAATCAGTGACATTTCAAAACTATATTTTAAAAGTTTCGACAAAATCTTTATGTGATTTTACCTCGTTCCACACAAACAGACATATTCCTACAATAAGTAATATTAGTCCAATAATTGTAGTCAACCAAGTTCTTTTAAACTGGTCTATTATTATTCTGCTAACAGAGTGAGTTTCCTGTCTTTGTCGATAATAACGATATTGATGGTTAGCATTAGAATTAAACATTGCTGGATCAGTATTATTTCTATGTCCATTATATTGCTATTGAATTCGAATATAGAGATAACTTTTAATAAATATAAATAGCTCATAAAAATAGCTCATGAGCCAAATTGTACACTTACGTTTGATCTATGCATCTTGTAAATACTATGTGAAAAATATAACCTATCAAAGACGTATCATTAGCTCCGTATTTACCAAATCATTATCTTCTTAATTACTATCATTATGTTGCTTTCTACAATTGTTAATCACGTCAATTACATTTTGTATTACATCTTATTTTAGTGAATCTTTCACAGTCGACAATGACATTGACAACCATTTTTATCCTCGAATACGAAAATTCTTACTACCTATGAGAAATCAAAGTGCAGTGTTAAATTTTTGAAAGTTGCCACTCTGATGTTCGCTAATGCTCGTGCATCTCTTATGCACCGCATCACTTCGGCAATCTCAATTTTGAATCTCCCAGCTGATTCATTCGCATTAATCTTACAGCTAAGAGCCGAATAATATTAACAGATGACTACAATAAGTAAATTTTCACCACCTAATTTTTTACATAAGTCGCTGGATTTTCTTGCAGCTTTTTCATATCGAACCTCTATCTTTAAAACTGAAAGAACTGAATAATAAATGCTAATAACTAACAATCTCTACAGCTATATCGTACTCTAATACTTTATTAACGCACTTCACGCATTCAGCTTAAATATTGCCAAGTTTAATAAAACATTGGACCCCCAAAGAAATTTTATGAAGTTATGTTAAGTCATTGATGTATGCTTTAACAAATTATTACACTTTAAGTTATTCTGATAATCAGTAACTTATTCTTATATGATAATCTTTTTCAAGAATTTTAATAAAAATTTCAAATTACTTTACTCTATGCAAGTATATTGTAATAGATACAATGACAAAACAAACAATGTTTATCTCCTTACTTTGTTTGTTTGTTTGTTTTTTTTTTTTTTTTTTTAGTATACAATTCTTCTCCTTGATCATTCAATTTTATAAGAACGATTTATATAAATTATTCAACTGTAAACATTTAATAGCAATAAACATTTACTGGATTGCATTGAATCGTATTTAGTTAATCATAGAAAAAGTCCATAATTAATTTATTTTATGTTTCGATGAAATCAATTCTTCTAATATTGTGTATAAAACTATGAACCAATGTAAATATTAAAATCTCCTAATTGTCTTTTAATTATAGTCTATGTAATAACACTCACAGTCCTAATTTAATTTTAATGTTTATTTTAAATATACAGTTAAAATTCGGGGAAAAAAAATACCAAATGTTCAACTCTACGTTTTGAAATGTAATATTGGAAAGTTTTTTCACTTACATTATATTTTCATAATTTTTGACATTAATATATTTTAAATACTGATTTCTATCAGCATTAAAATTACGAAACTTATATCATTATTTTGTGTAAACATATGAACACTTGCTAACAAATCATTTAGAATTGTTCTCATATTTTCAATTTTCTTACACTAGAAATATATCTCAAGTAAAATGAGAAATATAATATTTCTTTAAATTTTTTCATTCTTATCATATTTATAAACTATTATTTAGAAACTGAATTTGTCGACCATTTTTTCAAAAGTCTTCAGAGTTTTGTTAAATTTCTTAGTTAAATTTTTTAGTTAAATTTACTTAAATTTTAACAATATTTTAAAAATAATATTATCACTTTTTAGTCGATCTTTGTAATAAATTATTAATTTATAAAGTTAGATATTACACTAAAATTCCAATGTTCGCTATTTTACAAAACATTAATATTTTTAGATTTTATTTAAAACGCGATAAGTATTTCCATGTAGATAAAAAAAAACTTTATTTTAATTTAAAATATTTAATTATGAAAAATCTATCGATTATATTTACAAAAAACAATGTAGTGTCCTTGTAATAAAAAAAGTTTTAATAAAAATTAATGGTACCAATGGAACCTCTTCAATAGAGAATTGAAGTTTCGGACATTAGAATCTAATAATTTGAATGATATCTTTCAACTATATCTTAAAAAATTTAAAGATAAAGTATATTTCTCATTTTTCTTGAGATATATTTCTAGTGTAAGAAAATTAAGAATATAAAAGCAATTCTTATTATAATTAACGCTAAGTTTTGTAATTATAAAAAATTATAGACGAAAAATAATTTTATTGCTGTATTTGTAATTTTTTGTATTTGTTATTAATATTTCGACTAATAATAGAATATTATATATGAATATTCATTAGCAACAAAATATTCAATAGCTCAAATTTCTAAGAAAAATACTAAAACACATTAAATATTAAAACACATTTTACTTTTTTTTATGAGGACTTAAATTTTCGTATAAAAATATACTTCGTTTTGAACAAAAATATTTACATCGGAAAAATATATCATTAACAAATTTATATAAATAGTTAACAATTTGAACTTTTTTTCATTATAAATTTATAAATGTTCCATATAAACAAATTTTTTCCATAAAATGTTAGAAATGCAACAATGTACGAGTAAACATTCTATCTTGAGTTTAGTGGGTAATCAAATATTGTCGAAAAACCTAAAAAATAAAGATTATGATATTAAAAATTGAAAAAAAATTACCCATATTTTTCTTATTATTTTTAAATATTTATTTGTCTTTTATAATATGTAAGTGTAAATTCTAAATTTCAAAAATATACAAATATTAAAGTATTATTTTATTTTTAATACAAGAAATATTAAATAATTTTAATTTTAATACTTTAATACTTTTTCAAATATTAAATGTTATTGAAAATGAATTAAAAAAGAGGTGAAGGGGAATTTAAATGGGGGAAGTAGGAGTAGAAACTAGTAAATAACGTAAACTTACATAAATACGGACGTATATCAATCATTGTTAATGTTCTAAAATTGCTCCCTCCAGTCAATAAGATCTGGCATACAGGGTTCCTTATACCACGGATCATCCAATTCCCAGAGATCTGGATGTATACATTCTCTACCAGGTGGTGGACCCGTTGGTCGTGATGGCGATGGGCTCACTGGCGGTGGAGGGTAATTTTCCAAGTCAAAAAACTTCTCCAATTGATCGATATCTAATGGATTGTAGTTATAAACTTCTGCTCGACTAGAACATATTCATTAAAAAATATTTCATTATATATATTTAAAATAAACATCTAAATTCAAAAATTACTTTTATAAAATGATTGTAAGTTAAGATCAGATTTGCTAAAATAATCAAGTTGCTTATATAATGCAAATCCAAAGACGTTGTACGGATGAAAGTACTTGTTGTACGTACAAATAATGATTATATTTATTACGATCGCATAATCATTTATACCAGGTAGGTCAATTATTTAAAAATTTGAATATTATTAATGCTGACGAATACATCTAAGTTTATTAAATACGTAGTCAATAATTTCATTATTGTTTATTTATTAGCAAAAGGGACTAAACAAAATTCTTTGAAATTGAAAATCTTTTATTATAAACTTTTATTATAATCTTTTCTTTTCTAAATTAACAAAATATATTAATTTTATTCCGTTATGTCACAATTATTAGACCTTTTAAAGACTGAATTTTATTATAAAATTATATTTACATAATTTATTCTATGTATTATAATTTACTGTCACTTATTAATAGAACAAATATATTACCAGCACGTAATCACTCCAGGAAAGAAATTGATTATTAAAGAAATTATTAAAGAAATTGATAATTAAATTAAAATATAAAACTATTTGCTTCTGCCTGTATTAATTAAGTATCACTGGTAGAACATATGAACGAGTGCAAACTGTATATCATTGAATTTTTATTTTTTTTTTTTTTCATCAATTAATAACAATGTTTATCCAGTTGCATTAATTTAATTGAAAATCATTGATTTATCAGCACACGCGTACAATTTAATTTTGCTTACTTCGGCATTGCAGTGTATTGACCCGATGCTGTATAAAAATCGTTGTCGTCATCGTTTACTGTGGATATCATATTACACCCTTTTAAATAATCCGCTTCAATATCCTCTATAACTGGTTGACGTGAAACCGGCCTGAAATTTTCGTCGATCGTGCTTTCAGCTTTACGGCTCCTCATGTACTCACGAGCTGCTTCTACGACAGGATGATTTCGTTCATATTTAATCCGCAAGTATGGATCCTCAAGAGATGGACATTGAATGAGTCGCGGACTCGATGGATCCGATGTTTTTAATCGCGGTGGCGTAATTTCAGATATCCGTTCATTTGAAAAGTCATCCTATAAATAGTAACATTAAATGAGATAATATAAATTAATCTACCAACTAATAATATAACGATATAAGCAAATTAAGTAATTAAGGACAAATGGAATACAATTATATGTCCGTTTAATTTTGCACGGATTAAATTTTAGCCAGTCGCCAAAAAATAATTTATCAATTAATAATGCTCGTTAGATAAGACATACCTCTAAATTGATAGCATTTCCACTCACGTTCGCTACTGCCAAGACAAAATCACGTCTCGCTTGTTGAAGATCTTGTAGTTTCGAGTTAACGACTTCTGATTCTACAGCATCCTAGTTGAATTCGTGCGAGTAAACGATATATTCATTAATAAAATAATTTAGTTAAATATTTTATACGAATGCTGTGTTCACAGTCATATTATAAATATATTAAATTAATCATACGAGTGTTCAAAATTGTAATTGTAAGATATTAAAAAAATATAAAAAAAAAGATATTATAAATAAATCTTATAAAGTATTTTTAACAGAGCTTTGGAGAAAATAATTAGGTAATATTGTATACGCGATCACATTAAATAATATCGATATTATTTACTAATATGTAAATTATTAATTAAAAATTCGATGTCAGTTGCATAAAATCCCATATAAAATACTACTTAATTATCATTCTGCAATTTTTAACTATATTTTATTAGCTTAAAAATTGTCCGATTCATTATACTTGTTGATCTAGTGAATTATTAAGTGCTTGAACGCTCTTGATGGGCGTTTGACTGGATTGGCGCTGTGCTGGAGTCGATGGGACGAAGGAGGCGGAACCTTCTGGCTGTAGTATATTGACAATTGTCGTTCTATCGGCATTGATGGTTCCGGGTGGTATGATAAGATTGTCGACGGGACCATGCTGAAGTGGTTCTGCCTGGACGATATCTGCATTCATGGATTTAGCAAGATTACGAGTGCGTGGTGGTATTGATGGAGGATTTTTTGGTCCACGCGAAGCACAAGAGGATTGGTACAAGTGCTTTCGTGACGGAGTTGGCGTTGGAGCACACGAGAGTGCACAGGTACTCGAAGATACCATTGTCGGTTCAGAAACGTTAGTTATACACGATGATAATGCTTTACTTCTACCAAGACGAGATTGTCCTCGATTCTACGTAAGTAAACAAGTTTTTATGTACTAATTACTATGCTTAAAATTTTACTTCTTTACATACATAAAATAATCACTCCTTGTATGTTATAAAAATCGTATTTTATGGTATTTTATGATATGATATGAATGAGGTTGTGTTTTCTAAAAATGTCTTATAGAAAAAATAATGAAAATTCGAATTAATGAATTATTTTGTCAAAAGATCTAATTTATCTGTAAAAATATTTAACAAAGTAATAAATATGTATTTAAAAGAATATTGTTTTAATTATTAATTTAAACAAAGAGCCAAAAAATCCTATCTAGCCAAATAAAGATCATAAACTAAATATTCTTACGGAAGCTCTGTAAACGAAGTAAAAACATTATGACTATTACTTTTCCGATAAACGCGAGTGGTTACTTTGACCTCTCTGATAAATAGATCGATATCTATTGTATGTATATGATCATATCAGTGGTAGTTGACGCTACCTCGGCTGTGTTGGCTCGGTGTTCCCTGCCCGTGCAAGGATTGCCGCAAGTGGGTGTCATTATCCGTCGAGATTTACGCATAGTTGGAAGAATTGTCCGTTCCTGCTCTTTCCGTTCCAATTCGTCTTGAATCCTCTGTGTGTGCTTGAGCCGCTGGATCATTGCCTTCGTCATCTGTGGCTTCTTATAGTCAATTTTTTTGGGTAGAGCCGGGGGTGGTCCGCGTTTCGGAATTGTCGACTTCACCATGGACTTTAACGAGCGACCTACGGCTAGGAATAATCCGTGGTGTGTGTTGTAAGAAATAAGGCGAGACATTACGTATTGTTACTTCAAATTCATAATCAAACGGATAGTAAAAATAATGTAAAACATCAGTTTTAGGGCTACCTTCCGCGAAATGACGTGCATATTGTAAATTATTTCTTTAACAAAATTTTTCTAAACTTTCACAAAATTTCTTGTTTATATTGTTAGAAAATCACAACTACATTCGTGCATTTGAATTCGGAAATGACAAAAATTATTTGAATGCTAAAAATAGCACAACAAATTATTTACAGGTTTTTTTTTTATATATATACTCGAAGACTCGTAAATATAAATCTACATAATTGATAATTCAAAAATAATTAAAAATTGAAATATATAATTTTATTATAAATTTAAACATAAATTTTTCTATATAATAATTTAAAAATTTGCTAGTTGAATACACACGACTGTATCTTACACAATTAAATTAACAAAATTATTCGTATTAGAAGATGATAATAATGCTTTACGGCAAAACTTTATAACTACAAATTACATTTAAAGTAAAAATCATTTTAAGAAATTTAAAGAATTAATGTATGGTCATAATAATTATTATAATTTAATATGAAATAGAAATAAATCATGAAATATAGAAAAATAAATAATTTATTAATAATTTATAAATATATTGTTGGTATAAAATAATTTGAAGAGTAGGAAAATAATTTAAAATATATTTAAATATTAAAATTACATTGCCAATAACTATTATCAATAATTATATTTTTATATATATATCTACATTTACAAATGCAAATTTTTTAATGTTATAAAATATACAATCTAAAACACTCTTTTATATTAATTATTTAGTTTCAAAATAAAAATTATTAATTACATAATGGATAATTTTCAATAGCATAAGAGTGAATGTTAGGCTAATGATTATAACACTAGCGATTTCAAATTACTCGATTCTTAATCATTTTCAAAATGTTTAAATATTATTTCAAATGAATATATATCTTTAATATCTTGTCTTATTAATGGAAAGCGAAATCCTAAATTATTGTTTCTTTGCATTTCTAAGCAAAACATACAATGATTAGGCTGTTCAAATCCACTGTCGCACCCAAAATCTGACTGCATTGAATGAAACGTCATTCTCCCTTGCCGACATGATGTCATTGACCTTGGGTTACAACTCATCTCCGACTATATTTTCAAGATGATTTCCTTCGTATTTCTATTTTTCTTTGCGATTTGCAAGCTATTTCTTTTATTTGTAATGTATTTGTGCTCTCGTCAACTTCATTGCCGCGAGAAATACGCACTCCAACTCTGCAAATTATTTTTTATTTTTTTGCTTTGTGTATCTATCAATAAACTCTTGGTTCAGTAATTGTAAAGCATTTTTCTAATGCACTATGGTTTCGATTCCGCATAATTTTTACATTATTAATAATATTGTTATTGCCTCGTCATTTTATTATATTAACCAATTACTATCTTAAATTATTCAAAAAAAGCTTAGTAAATCAAAAATACGAGAATATAAAATTATAACTCAATATTTATTTTATTAATAAATTTTACAAAAAATATTTTTAAATTTTTATTTAAATTTAAATTGTAAGTTAAATATTTTATTCTATTTTTTTTTTTTTTTTTTTTTTTTTTTTTTTTTTTTTTTTGTAAACGATACCATAAGCAATCAAGATTAATTAAAGTTTATAAATTATATGAAAAAAGTATATAAAATGATGTTTATATTTCATCTATTAAAAGTTTTAACGAAGTTAACTGTATATTACAGAGAAACTTCTTCAATTGAAACCAAAAAGGTTTTGCAGAAAAGGAGGGGTTAAAGTAGTAAATATTCTTAAATAGTAAATTAAATATATTCATTTCATAATTAAATTTTATTTAATAAATTTATAATACAAAAGAGTTAGACGATCGATTAAACAAATTTAAATAAAAAAAAAAATAACTATTGTTAACTGCTTTCTTAAAAATGAAATTTTCTATTCAGCCTATATTTTTATGTTATATATTACTCGTATATAACTCAAACACGTATATAAAAATTCTGACAACGTTCACTTTATTAATTGAGGAGTGCTAAATAGGCAAATTTTATAATTTTTTTTTTTTCTAATACAATGGGAATAATTATTTAAATGAAAATATATTTAATGAAATTATAGTTTATAACGAAGCCATGATTATATTAGTTTTCCAATATATCCGTACATTAAGACATTGAAGAAATATTGAAAATAAATAGAAAATATAAACATTTAAATAAGAAAATATTATTTATATACTATTAGAACATTGTACATTAATTTTACAGAATTATTATAATCTATATAATAATCAATTTTACACGATTAAATTAACATATAATATAATAAACTTTTAATTAATTTTTCATAATTCTTATAATTATGCGCACATAATTACTCATTTATAATATATTAATATTGACTTTATATTATTATCAAAGGTAAGTGCTCGAATTTGTTACTTATTTATATACAATTTGTTTGAAAATGTTGCTTATTTATAAATATAATATTGAAGCTATTATACTTATTAAATTGTTTAATATTTTTCATCCCCATATAGAGTTTAAGAAATTATTTGTCAAATTGAATAATATTTTATTGTAATAGGTGTACAATTGTATTGACTATTCTATTTTAAACATTTCAATTACCTACAAAGTTAATCCCAATTAAAATCATTAAAAATAAATAAATTGCGTATTTCAACAAAATCAATTTTTTACTTGTATTTATTTTATATAAGAAATCTATGGATTTATATTAGTAGACATTGGGTATATAACATTGTTTACAAATATGAAAGCATTGTATGAAGTGTTTGTACAGTAAACAATGATGCTAACATAGGATAATATATCCAATTATATTTGGAATTGTATATTACAAATTTTAAAAGAAAACTGAAATATTTAAAGTTCATTTTATTACAATAAATAAGAAAGAAGTAAAAATTACATTTATTGATTTCGTATGAGTAGTATTTCGAAATAACATTTACTAACAAAGTACTTACAAGAATTTAGAATTTGTTGAATATTACAAGAATTTTGTATAGAATGGCCAAGGTTGGGATCGGGTGACAGTTTACATGTTGTTACATCGTTTGTTTTTATGATAAATTTCAAGTTAGATGACATTTTACTTTATTCCATTCATTTTTCATTATTAACTACGCATTTTATAAAAGAACATAAATAATTGTATTTTAGTCAATTCGCCCATTATATTATGAATATTTTTATAGATAATTTATTATTAAAAAATAAACTAGCATATTTAGAGGATAAAAAATAATTTACTTTATGTTCATGAAATTTTATAATTTTAATATATTTTAACAGGTATTGATTATTTTAAATCAAATTGACATTTAATTTAAATACGAAGTTTTCATTTACTATTTAATACTGCGTTATAAATAAGAAAATTTATTAATAATAATAATAATACTAAGAATAAATATATTAATTAGGATATGCTTTAAGACAATAATTATAATACAAGTATATTAGCTCATGAATTGTGATTATTTGCATTTAATTGTACCGATTAATACGGTAATAACACAATCTAAGCCGATGAATACAGCACTTTAAGTTTTTAATTTTTTTTTTTTTTTTTTTTTGCCATAAGTATTTCTCTTTTACGATGAGTATTTAAAATGTTAATGTTATAACATTGAAAGGCATTATTAATTTCGCATAAATGTTTTAGCATAACCTCGGGTCATTGGGCATTTAAAGGAAAATTGACATAAACGATTGTAAAATAACACAAACTTTCTCTAAATTGTCAATTTCACTGCCTATATTAAAAGCAAAAATGTATCATAGTAGGAGCGTTCATTCCGATTATTTTTAAATATCATTGAAATATTTGAGCAAATTTCTAAATATCAATCAATTCAAAGCAATTAATAAATAACGCCGAGTATTATTCAAATATTTAACAAAGATGAACATTGTGCATAGAATGATATAGACATTTAAAAGAAGGCCATTTTTGTTTAACATTTCACAATGGGAACTCGCCATTTTAGTTCCACTCCACTTTATTCTTCTAACAATCTTTCACTCCACAGCCTCTAGCATATAACCTCAATTTTTGTGTTTTTTCTTGAATGGCCACTCGTCCAAGGCTTAACGCACACATAGCCAAACCATGAATAACATTTAGCTGCATATATTTAAACAGGTATGCGTGCACTACTAGCCAAGAGTGGACGACGTGACTATAGCAGTGGCGATCATGGCTGGTAAGTGAACGTAACAAGCCTATATTCTTCCAAAATTTATTGTATTTCTTTATTAAAATACCATTTTCATTGGGTCGAGCCGATGCTCGCGAGTTTATTGGCATCTTAGACATGAATTTACATGGAACTTGATTTAGATTTCTGTGAACTATCGTATGAAAAATGCATTTGAAAATTCGCTTTTCGAAACTATGTTCCATTACAATTGTCCACGTTAGAGCTAACAGTGGCATAAAAAATTGCAGTTGTTTTCGGAGATATGATAGTGTTAAATATAATAAATAACTTAGTATCATGATAATGCAATTGCATTTTTGGTGTTTTAAAAAACGAAAAAAAGTATCGGTAATTTAGCGGTTTTTTCTTAATCCGTATGGTATTAAGTTGCAAGTTTATCCAAGTTTACAAATTAGTACTCTCCCTATTTAATCCAAACTTTTAATAACGATGAACACGACTTTTCGTCCGATTATAATTTACTATTTAATTTATTATATATACCTTTAATCTTAATATGCATCGCTTAACATCTAACCAATAATTTAAGGCTTTTAAATTAAGAATTTTAATTATTGTAAAAAGAAGCTGAGTCTGCAATTTTTGTCAATCGTATTATATTTGTCAAATATATTGTTTTAAGTGAAAAATTATACAATGTACATACTTATTATAAACGTATTTTTCAAGATTGAAATAATTGCTTTTATTTTTAGCAGAAAATCCTTTTAAGCATTTACTACAGTCGATAGAAGTAGGAGGAAAGGAGAAACAATTTTTCAACGTTGCTTCTTTTGGTGAAAAATATGGTAGGCATTTAAGATTTTAATTTATTTACGTAATACAATCTTATTTAATTATATCGATAAGTGCAATTTTACAATAAAAATTTTTATTTACATATTTGTAGATAGGTTACCATTTTCAATACGAGTGCTTCTTGAAAGTGCCGTTAGAAATTGTGATGAATTTCAAATAAAAACAAGTGACGTTGAAAAAATTTTGGACTGGAAAAAAAATCAAGCCCTACAGGATGGTGTGGAAGTATCGTTCAAGCCTGCCAGAGTGATCCTTCAGGTAATATACTTGAATTAAGTTATTATATTTTATTTTCTATTCATAGGACTATATCAAATTTTTGATATTTTTTATCTATTTTATATAGGATTTTACAGGTGTGCCCGCTGTTGTTGATTTTGCTGCGATGAGAGATGCTGTCAAAAGACTTAATGGAAATCCTGATAAAATCAATCCTGTTTGTCCTTCCGATTTAGTTATTGATCATTCCGTACAAGTAGATTTTACAAGAAGGTGCATTGATTAAAATATCCATAAGCTAATATAAAATAAACAATTAAACATGTATCACAAACTAATATAATTTTCAACTTACAATACATCAAATATATTACTTCTATTTATGTAAACATTCTCAATATACTAAATTGCATAATGTTAATTATATTTGCAGTGAAGATGCTAGCAAAAAGAATGAAGAATTAGAATTTGAGAGAAACAAGGAACGATTTATGTTTTTAAAATGGGGTGCCAATGCTTTTAAAAATATGTTGATTGTACCACCTGGAAGTGGAATAGTTCATCAAGTTAATTTGGAATATTTAGCTAGAGTTGTTTTTGACATGAACGATTATTTATTTCCTGACAGTGTAGTGGGAACTGATTCACATACCACTATGATAAATGGTTTAGGTGTTCTTGGTTGGGGAGTAGGGGGAATCGAAGCTGAAGCAGTTATGCTAAGTCAAGCTATATCTATGCTTCTTCCTAAAGTAGTTGGCTATAAATTAGTTGGAGAATTAAATCAATATGTCACATCCACAGATCTTGTATTAACAATCACCAAGGTAAATAAAAAAGAAATTTTTCATTACACCACATTTTCTTATAAATATGATATTTTAATATTAAGTATATATTTTTACATAATCTGAAATTAAATGTTAAAATGTATATTATATAACTACATATCATTTTACCGAGTAGATGATAATAGTTTTTTAAATTCAAGGCTTTTATAAAAATTACATTTATAAATTTAAACTTGAAAATTTTTACTTTAAATTTTCATTTAAAGTATCTAAAAATCATTAATCATATTATTCATAATAAAATATTTTCAAAAGTAATAATTACAGTTAATTCATACAATTTAATTATCCATATTTTTATAAAAATATATATATAATTTATATATTTTTAAAACTAAAGTAATATTTCATGTGTTAAATTAAGAATATTTTTATTTTCATTTTAATCCAAAAATTAAAAACATTTTTAATGGTTGAATATATTAAATATAATATTTCAAGTAATTTTTCAATAATTTTTTTTTTTATTTAGAATCTACGACAACTTGGTGTTGTTGGAAAATTTGTCGAATTTTTTGGTCCCGGTGTATCCCAGCTAAGTATTGCAGATCGAGCTACTATTTCAAATATGTGTCCCGAATATGGTGCAACTGTTGGTTTCTTTCCCGTTGACCAACAAAGTTTAATTTACCTTCGCCAAACAAGTTAGTTTATAATATGTAACATATAATCCAAATTAGTAAAAGCATCTGTATTACTATCAAATAAATATGATTTAAAATATAATTGTAATAATGTGGTACGAGACTGTGTCAAACATTTTAACTTTTATTGCGTAGATCGATCTGAAGAACACATTGAAAGAATCGAAAAGTATCTTAAAGCTGTCAGGATGATTCGGAATTATGATGATCCAAATCAAGACCCTGTTTTTTCGGAAGTCGTGACTTTGAACCTTGAAACGGTCGTTTCCAGTGTCAGTGGACCAAAGAGGCCTCACGATAGAGTATCTGTTGTTGACATGAAGAAGGACTTCAACTCCTGCTTGACAAATAAAGTAAGCGAACTAACTTTATTAGTTACATCTATTTTAACTTTCGTGAAAGAAAATAAACATGAACAAATATAATGTGAAATTAATTCAATTTTATAAGTTTTCTTTGAATATTAAATTTATAAATGTGTTCGACACGTAATGAAATAGTTGATAAAATTGTTTTAAGTATTAAAATTAAATGCTTTTAAGATATTATATAGACAATTAAATATATTATTTTAAAATACATTATCGGGTAAAATATTATTTTTATGACATTGCTCAAACAAATATAAAAGAAAATCTTAACGAAATATTTTATGTACGCAAGATTGTACACATTAACAAAACATAATACATGTAGATGTGAATCGATAAAATTTTTCAAATTAACATTTTATATAATACACTGAGTATAATCCAATATCATTGAATCATTATAAAAATAAATTAATATAAAGTCCGTGTTTAAGTAAAGAATAAAGAGGGATATTTCTTTTCGTAAAATTAATATTTTTATATTTTTACGATTTAATTAAGTTACTTTTAAAAGAAAATCATTCTAAATCACCATATATCAAACTAAGATCAAATATCGATAAAAAAAATTCCAATTTTCGAGCAATGTTTGGTTTTCGCATTAAACTATGAAAAAAGAGAATTTGTGTCTTGCGAATCAATACCAATACGCTTACTTTCACAAATTTATAGTATCATTTATTATTATAGTAAATATTAAAATACTACCTGTTTTTCATATTGAAAACGACGATTATTATGTTGCTGAAAAAGTACTTGTATGGGACAAACATAACCCAGTGACGTATCACATGTATCGTCAGACAGGATCACGTTTATCTCACGTAGTACTTGGGAGCCTACGACGACGGTTCTTATATGTAATTTTTTTTACTGATATATGATTTACTAATTGTTGATTTTGGACAGTAGAATCCTAGGTAACTACTGCTGTGATATGAGAATTTAATAATACACATCACGGCAGGAGTTCCTTTAAATTCTGCCATCACAACAAATAATATTTTTTTATCCACTTCATAGCTTATATAAAAATATATCTTAGCTTTAATAAATACAAATTTTTTATTGATTTTATTAGTTAGCACGTCATTTAAACATAATGTCCTATCGATTTTCGAATTGTAAAATAATTATCTTTCAAAACGTTCATAATTTTGAATATATTATATTAAATTTATTACTATTGAAAGAAGAAATGTTCCTTGATGATATGTCCACATACATTATGCCTTGCTGATCTAGCTTTATGATCTTTTAATTCACCATACAGTTAGATCACCAAAGAAAAATATACGGGACCCAGTGTTTGTATATTTAACAGGATCAACATTGACATTCCAGGCTTGTATCTTCCGTGTTGTTTAAGTTTCTTCAAGCCAGGGACGAGTATTTCGATCTAGTCACGAATTCGTGCATCAACGTGTCACTAGACCGATACTTCGCCCCTAACGCAAAGATCGCAAATAAAGTTAGCTATTTTATTTTTAAAGTAATTAATATAAAATTGATGGTTCACAGTGATGTAAAGAGGCAAATATTGGATGAATCCTACCCGGTGAGGTTTTTATATCATCCTTACCAGGAAGGATTCCACCCGACAGCAGCCTATTTTGTATTTCTCACTAAAATTTTAGAATCAAATTATTATTTATAAAACAAAAACTTGCACAATTTTTAATCAAAAATTCTAATTAACATTTATGTTATATGCCGTAAGTATAGATTAAATGGAATTAATATTGATTTGAAAATTTTCTTACTTTATTAGTAATTTATAAAATAATAACAATATTAATGTCCATTGGGCGTATTTTATCCATAATAGATATTGAGAACTGTGAAATTAAATCGATTTGATTAAAAGTTTCCTTTATTTTCTTCATAATACATTTTATACAATACGGATACTGCACCAAAGTATCTTTAATCTAGTTTAATAAAATACTTGGTAATTCTGCTAAATATTTCATTCGCAAGTTTCACTACTATTTAGAAAAAATCTTTTTATTCAATAGAATATTGAATATTAGATATATAAAGTATATACCGTGTATACATGTAAAAATTTTTATTGGTAAATTTCAATGATTTATAATGATGAATGTCCAAAACAAAAAAAAAAAAAAAAAAAAAAAAAAAAAAAAAAAAATATGGCTTAATTATATTAAATGAATATATACGTAACCTTGATAGTAATCTTCGAAAATATAAAATAAATAAATTCTGGTCCAATTTCACATACAAACACTTCACCGATTCTAATAAGTAACGTCATTTTATTCCATGGAAATCGAAAAGCTTTAAAATTCACACGTGTGTCATTCTAAGTGTATTTTCTAAGTACAAACAATTATGCTGAATATGCTTACAAAATTGCGAATTTAAAAAATCTCGTTGTGCCTACTCTTGATTGGTTAATTATCCATCCTAACGTTCATTTATTCAAATTACGCCACAATTGGATAACATTTAAGGTAACAAGCCAATCTTGTTGAAACCGAGCTATTTCAAAAACACCGATCTTCTGAATTTCAATTCTGCTAACGATGAAAATTCACACACTGACAGTGGAAACGACTGCCGAGTCGTGCAACGTTTCAGACCCATTTATACCTGCGCTTGACAGGCTATCGCGTCACCTCCCACTCCAGCACCGATATGGGACCAGTGCACCCTTACCCAGACTTTTCCTCACACCTCATTGGCGAAGCCGAATATCGCTTTGAACTTCCCCATTACGAGCAAGACATTTTCGCGCCTAAATGTACGGTTTTCCCGGAAGGAATTTAAGAAACAGAGACCGCGTTACCGTTTTTGACTTTTCACTTCCAGGACTTTCTCGTTCCGATGATACAAGGAAAAAGGCTCGCTTAAATGTCCATATATAATTAACCTTGAGTGCAGATATTTTTTCTAATATATGAAATTGCCTTTTAATTATTTGAGGAATTAGAGAATTAATAAATTTCGCCTGGATTACAGGAAAAATAACCGAGTATTAGAATGAAAATATTTACTTATTTTAGTAGTGAAATATAAATAACTCAATTAAAATTGTTACATATTTAGAAATTAGAGCTTTGAAATTCGATAAAATTAAGAAAGTTAATACACCATTATCATTGAACAATTATTTGCTAACAATTATTCACGAAGAGTCGTTTTATTCATTTACATCATTTTAAATATTGTTTACATGAATTATATTTATATTTATTTATTTTACATATAAATAACATTTGATAAAAGTATATTGTTTTTAATGTTACACAAAAAATTTTCATTCCACATCAATTATCTATTCTTCTTACTTATCAAGAGATAATTACATGTAAACATTACGTTTCTTTTGATAATTCTATAATGGAAATATATTAACATTGTTTTCACGGACATTAGGATGCGAAAATATTCTTATTGTAATATAAAGGCTGTTTTTATTGTACAATTTTAATTTTAAATAATATACTATGTAAAACCTTATTTTTTAATTTCATTTTAAAAATAACTATTTCACATTGATAGAAAGGTAATTAATTAAAAATATACGTTAATGTATTAGTATTATAACGGCATATTTGTATGCTTTCATTATTTATTTTAAAAAAAACAAACAAACAAACAAACAAAAGAATTTATTCAATTTGGACAAATAAAATGAAAATTGCCACTATATAACCATTGGGATTAAATGATAATTCAATTTATTCATGATAATTAAAATTATTAATCGTAAATTCGTCGATATTTAAATATTGTGAAATAAATTGGAATAAATTTCATTAAGAAAGAGTATCGATAAATTTGTTCACTTTGCGCCAAGTTGCTACAAGTGCTTTCATACAAAAGACAAAATTCAATTTGAAAAATAATAAATTGATAAGTGAATCGCAAATTATAAAATTGCTCCCTAAATGTTATTAAAAGTATATGTGAAATCGAAATTGACCCAGGCTAAAAGCGTTTGTTCAAAATGGAGAAAAATAAAGTAAAAGCGAACAATGCATACAGTTGATTCCGATCGATTTTCAGCGTTCGCGCTTTGACAACACTTAAACATCGCTATCGTGTTTCCCGCGTGGATGAATCCGTAAGCTTTGAAAAATAATTAGATCGCGATTTACGTATTCCCACTTTGACTTCCGCTGGTATGAGTTAGATTGTCATGTAATTTCTTTGTGGATGAAACGAGAGAAGGTAAACGCGGAAAGTTATACACTCTCGGAATGATTAGATATGTGTAAACCAAATGATAAATAATGATAAATTAATTTATAATTTTATAATTTTATAATGATAATTACAGCTCTTCTATATCAATGTATTTATTCAATATTTATAGCTTAGTTTGTATAAACATAAATGTTTTGTGAACTATATCGAAAGGGTTACAATTTATTAATTTTTACTATCTTTAAAATTTTATGCATTGTATGTACAATTACTTTGACTTTATTTTGACGATAAACTATAATATACAAAATAAGCTTTCGCTCTTTAGATATAATATTCATTACATTATAATATAATATTACTTTTATTTTGAAACTATATATATTATTCTTCTTGTTTTTCGCGCGTATTGTATATATATATATATATATATATATATATATATATATATATATATATATATATATAAAGTAGTTATTACATTTATTCTTATAACAAATTGAATAAAAATACAAAATATTTAAAAAGATGATTATCAGTTACGTTTCTTTAACCTTTTTTTTTTTTTTTTTAATACAATTATATGGTTAATACATTTTATAAAATTTGATCGCAGAATTTGAAATGATAATTTTAAACACTGGATGCACATTATTATTTCCCGACATATTATAAGTGCCCTTCTCTTTCCTAATTAAAAAAAAAAAAAAAAAAAAAAAAAAAACCAACAAAAACAAAAACAAAAAAAAACAACAACAAAAACAAAAACGTAAAATCCAAAATAGAATTGGATGAATGATTTTATGTGAATATAACATCGTCGTTTATGATAAATAGAAATCAATTTTGTGCTTTTAGTGACCTTTTCCTTTACATATGACGATTTACCTAGTGCGCTGGCAAACGTAAGGTCATCTATAAATGATGACATCCGAAGATGGATACGTACCGTGTAATTTTGACCTTAGTGCGTACATTGCATTCTGTTGTAAGTTGTCATTAACGCTGTTATAAACACGATACCCAAAGTTTCCTTTGGGTCAACAGAGATGATTTTCTGGTGAAAGTTTCGGCTTTAATGCCTCGCCTGCGTGAAATGCTTAACGAAGGATTCCAATATCTGCGTGTATTATCTGCTCATAAAATTGAATTACTGGCTCGGTTTCGAAAAGCCCTTCGTGCTTTTTGGAGCAATGTCATCTTGGAGTCACGGAGTGCGATTTATGGATCGTCTTCGCCTTTTCATAATTCTGTTAGTCGATTATAAAAAAATTAAATGAATATATTACTACAAGGATAATTAATTATTCATAAGTTTAACTCGTCTATTCGTGCACGCTTTCACTCGTTTTTCTCTTTCCTCAAATTTCTCTGTATTTTCTTTCCTTTACCTTACTTAATTATGTTTACGTTTATATTTTATTGCACTTATGCGTTGAAATTTTTTGTATTATTTGGTATAAATTTTTATTACTCCTTATGATCATTTATGATTTTATATCTGTTCGAGGGATAATTTTAACAAAATCCCCCTCCTACATACTTCATCGTCCTAATCTTCTATGCTCTTTTCATAATTTTATTGCTCAGCAATTTTTCCACGATATACACTTTAAATATTAAATTATTTATATTTTTATATTGCTAATAAATATATATATGATTAACTTAAAATAAATATTGTTTATTATTAGAAAGAGTCTGATATTGCATTATTTATTTTAATGAAATTTTACGTCTAACAATAAGAAATTTTTCATTTTTTCCTAAATGCATTAAATTAAATAAAAATTATAACAAACTTTTTATTTTAATCAAACTGTTCATAGAATTTGAAATAAGTTATAATTGAATTAATAAGCATATATTTCAACTTAAATACATTACGTACCATAGTTACGTGAAATATAAGTAACGAAAGAGAAATTCAATTGTTTGTAAAACGGCATAACAAGAATTAACTTCTAAATCGGAAAGTGAGAAAATATATTAAGTCATTTTGAATCGTGAATAAATTTGTTAACATTTCTTTAACTACAGAATTTGGAATTTAATTTATTACGATATAGCTGAAAATAAAAACCTTCGTTTAAGTTGGACAGTTGATTGGTAAATTAAAATTATAATAATACGGGTATGTAATAAATTATCAGAAATGGGTTGACATACGATATTAGCCATTAAACCGCGCCAAGTGCATATAATAGTAGATCCGGGATATAAAAGAACTTACATATGTGCGACCTCGAAGGAGGACGCGTGCGCGAGCGTTTTCATGAAAATCGCTGATGCGCGGGCCGCGAAATATCTTTTTTCATTTTGCGCAGCCCATCACATTTCGCGCGACGAACTATATGTGCATTCGATATCATCTGGGAAACGTGGCTTGTGCAATTTTGTCGCGATATACAAATATTCGGCACTGAAATGAATTTTAGTATGCCCGGCCGTTGGCTTTCGACGTACCAACTATTTTAACGTTTTTCGCTTTCTATTACGGAAGAGAACTTGTAATTATTGTGACGAGATAGTCGATTTGATTTCGTTTTGATTTTTCAATTTGTAGTAAGAAAAAAGCGTTATTATATAAATAATGATGTAAATAAATTTTTATTTTTACTCTATTTGATTCCGTGCTTTTTCTTTATGTAATTGAGTGTTAAAATGATAGTCTTAATTTGCATTCAAACACCTTTATCAATTGAAAGCTTCATCAACGTTAACTCAATAATAAAACTTTCTTTTAAATAATATAAATAATTACGAATTAGCTGACTTGTTAAATTTGTAGGAAACTTTCTTTTCTTTTTGACCAAATTTCATTACACGGTATTAATTATATTAATCATCATACATAAAAAAATGTTTTTTTTTTGTTTTTTTTTTTTGTTTACTATTAGAATCTAATATAATCTAATAATATGTTTATATTGCATCATTAGTGTAAAATTATTGTTACTTCATATTCAAGATGTATATTTAATTATGATAAATTTATATATAATTATAATCAATTTATGATTATAAAATTTTTCATTATGTTCACATTATGTTAATCTTTTTTTAACAATTATCTTTCGATGCTCAATAACGTTTTAATGTATATTTAATTTTGTTCGGTCGAAACATTACAAAATTTATCTAACTTTTTTTTTTTTTTTATTTACGTATACTTATAGATTGATGTATTCATAATTTTTCATTTGAAAATAATGCAAACATTAGTTAAAAATATTTTAAATTATATATTGTTAAAGTGTAGTTCCCAAACATACGATAGTATAAGTTTATACATAAAAAAAAAAAATTATACGTTTAATAAAATTTGAGTAGTATTCATCAAGATCTCATATAATGTAATATGAACCTATGATTTTGAAATGCTTACAGGAACATTAACAATTACAAAGGATTATAAAAATAAAATAGACTTTTTTTAATATTCGAATGAAATCACGTGCTTGGCAAGGTTAAAATGATAGCATGATAATAATAATTATAAAGTATTATCTTATTAATCTGTTGGAATAATATTATAAACATTTATTTCCTCGTGTTTGAATTGTTCTTGGAATTGAAAATCTAGAATGGATTATTGAAGAATAAGTAGATGTTAACCGTCGTAATTCTATAAATTAAACATTGGATTTCGTTCCAAAATTATAATTAGATGTTCTAGCTTTATTTACAGGTAAATAATTTTACGAAAATATAAGGTCTTTTCTCTGAATTGTCAAATGCTTTATGGACACTTATATTCTTGGAATGAATAATAAAAGTCATGATCGATTATGTACAATTTTTGAATAAAGTATCTTCTATTTTTATATCTATCGTTTGAATTTTTGTCAAATAAAATCTTGGCGTAAAAGGTTATTTAAATTGATTTATAAAAAATATTTATAAAAAAAAAGTAACAATTTAAAGCAGAACGAAAATGTATAAAATTATTATATAAAAGTATTATGTAATAATCAATGGAGTACATAAGATTAATTCAATGTTAAAATATCATTAGTTTATAAAGTAGAAAAATCATACTTTCAATATTAAATATGTTTTATAAAAAATTATTATTTTTCTTTCCAATTGAGTAAAGCGTATTAACGTTCGCAATTTAGCAAACTCAGCTGAAAATCTTTCGTCAATGTACTCATGCTATGTTACAAATTAACAGCTTGATATGCAACTAATAAAGCAACGTTTCTTTGAGGGTCGTTGCACTTTAGCGTCAGCGAATCTCTGAAAATAGTCGAGCCCCGAATCATTTGGAAACTCGAGATATTCGTTGTCATCGTCAAAAGATTGATAGACGCTCAAATCAGTTAAGATGTTTATTGTTAAATCAAGACAACTTTTTCCTTTTCTCTTAAGTGCCATTATAGCTCTAAATTAATTCTTATTACATTGTTGCACAACCACATAACCCATAACCATCCAGAGTATTCATCTCTGTATAATTTGCACTGAAAATGATTTCATTAATTGGCGGAACAATCTTATGCGTATTAGAATTTTAATTATATCTAATAATGATTTACAAAATTTCTGTTATTAATACATTTGATTTTAGATACGAATGCGATATTTTAATTATACAAAAATCTATAAATACTGTGTAAAATTTGCATACGCTAATGCAATTCAAATTGTTTTTTTTTCTTCTTCTTTATAATAAATGCTATTTATTTATTAGTAAATGATTAAATTTAAATATACTAGATATTCGTTATCAAATTTTGAATAAATCGTGTCAACTTCATTTCTTCGTTTATCCTCATTATAGTATTTATTATTCTTATTCAGCAATGCAAACACGAAACAAATTATATATGATGCATTGACAGAGATTCGAAAGACGAGACGACTGACTAAGAATAATATGATACCTAACTCAAACGAGTTTAGACTTAGGTCCGGTCCACTCGATCTTCCACAACAGTGAAAAACAATTCTCGAGTTGTCGGAACCGATGAATCGCGAAAATTGATTTACAATATCGCACGACAAGCAACCGTTATCCTTGTATACTTTTCTTATGCAGGTAGGATTCAAAGGTTACGGGCTAAACCCAGAGAAGGTCAAGGCCGAGGGAACTTTCAATTTCGAAGGAAAATATTATAAACTACGGCACGGATCTGTGGTCATTGCTGCTATCACCAGCTGCACCAACACTAGCAACCCCAGTGTGATGCTTGGCGCAGGTACATTTCTCAGCCTTACTTACTATTTTTCCCTGCCAATTTTACAATGTCTCAGAATTTCCTTTTGCACTCCAAAACTTAAGCCGGACTTTTATTAATAACAAGTTTTCGATATCCTTTTTACCCGAGGGACTCGAATTTTTCTTATACTAAATTATTCTCAAAATAATATATTTAATAATTTTACCAAAAAAACGTCAATACGTTTGTCAATGTTGTTTTTTTTTTAGTAAAATTTTACTTTTTTTTTTTAGTACTTATATTTGAACGAATATCCTACTGACTTTGACCTTTTCATTCGTTGTCGTGAATTATTAACAAATTTAATAAAATAAAAATTTCGCTCTTATGATTGTGACAGATTTATAGATTTCGATATTCTAACATAAATCAATTCGTATTAATAAGTATATGTTGTTTAATTTAGAAAATATCGGAGACTTCTTTTTCATATGTATAAATAAGTAAATATTCATCAGTGCTTCAATAATAAGTATAAATAATAGGTCTATAATATGTTATAATTAAAATGTTTCACAACTTTAATTTGTAATAATTATAATTACTTTAATAATTAATTGTATTTTGTAACTTAATACTTAATGCTTTATTTGCTGTTTAGTTGGACAGAAATTATTTTTGTTTTTAATTTTTTTTTTCTTCACGATTGTTTTTAGATACTAAGTCATAAAAAATATCATTATAAAAAATAATTTCTTAAATTATTCAAGCGTAAAGCAAATACTTCTTTTTTTTTATTATTAAATTTTAATTTCAATAATATGAGTGTAGAGAATTGTATCAGATTTTAATAAATTAAAAGTAATTATTCCGAAAGTTATTAACAATATTTATCATTAACATTAAAGTTCCTTTAAATTAACACTTTTAATAATACTAATACTAGTGTATATAATTCTTTCCATTGACTCTCTAATTTTTGTAAATATAATTTAAGTACTATATTACAAATATAAATTTATTTATATACTATCAATGATTTTAATAATAATAATATCTCAAGTAATACTTACAAATACCGTCGGTTATTTGTACAAAAAAAAAAAAAAAATAATAATAATAAAATCGATAATCTTTCTTTACGATAGATTTTTTCGGAATTAGAGCTCCGTTGACATTGGATATGCTGACAATTAATTTGTATGTCTTTTTTTTCAGGATTGCTTGCTAAAAAGGCAGTAGATGCTGGTCTTACGGTCGCACCGTATATCAAAACATCCCTATCTCCAGGATCAGGAGTTGTCACGTATTATCTGAAGGAGAGTGGTGTTTGTTTAGCTCTCACTCAACTTGGTTTTGATAACGTCGGTTATGGTTGCATGACTTGTATCGGTAACAGTGGACCGCTTTCCGACTCTATGGTCGAGGTCATCGAAAAGGTATATTTTTTACTTACTGATATTAGTAATTAGCAGTAACAGCATTGTTTTTACACTTTAAAGTATTGTACAAACATACCACTATTATCAGGTGTTAAAGTTAATTCGTTCTATAAATTTGAAAATTTGGTTATTAGAATTTAATTACAGATCTTGTGTAAAAGAACCCGTATTATCTTTCTATAATTTTATTTACGTAATATTTATTTAAAGTATAATTAAATTTATTATTCGCGATTAATTGATGTTATTAAATAATTCTTGTTAAACAGATTTAATATATATATATTAAATAATTGTAAATATCTTAAATAGTTTATTCAATGATAAAAATCTTTTTTTATTATTAAGATCGTTTTAATACGTTAAAATCTATAAAGTATTTTTTGTGATTATTTGTTATATTGTATATGTTACAGTTTAAGAAATTCTTTTAAAATGTAGCATCAAATTTCCATCTATTAACTGAAATATGATAATTTGTTAAAAATATAAATGCATTTAAAGAATAATAGGTATAATTAAAATCAAATTTGGAACGTTAAAAATCATACTATGGCTTAAATAATATAATAGATAAATCAATAGTTTTTTGCACATAAGTAATGATAAGCATATCGAATGTTTAATAAAAACTACTGTAATTTGGATATAATATGCCTAGATCCAATGTATACGCTACTTTAATTATTAACAATATAAGTATAATTTGATTCATTAACGATTTTTCAGAATGAATTAATTTGCTGCGGTGTATTATCTGGAAATCGAAATTTTGAAGGCAGGATTCATCCTAATACTAGAGCTAATTATTTGGCTTCCCCTCTTTTAGTTATTGCTTACGCAATTGCTGGGACTGTTGACATTGACTTTGAAACCGAACCTTTAGGTAATATTTAATAATTTATATATTTTAAAAAGTTACATAATGGTATCAGGTATGATATCAAATAGAATATTAAATAATAGATATTTTTCTTTGATATGACTATGTTTAGCAGGATATGATAAGAATTTTTTTCATAAAATAAAATGCCATTAGCTATTTAATATTAATTGAATCGTATATTTTTTAAAGGGCAATACCATTTTTTTTTGTATTTATCTTTTTATTTGTAAACATTTTAAAACTATAAGTACTTAGAATTAAAATTTGGAAGACTATATATATTAAAAAATAAAAGTTGCGATTTACTAATATCACGCGTAATAAAATCATTAAAATATATTTTAATATAAAAGTTATAAATTCTATATAAAATCACATAAATTATTGTATACTTGTAAGTGAAGTATTGATTCAAATTGGATATATATAAATATATAACAAAGAAGTTAATAAAAAATAATTAATTTAATTTTATTTTATTATTTTAATTAGGCTTTAAAGCAGATGGCAGCGAAATTTATTTGCGTGACATTTGGCCAACTCGTTCGGAAATTCAAGCTGTCGAACAGAAATATGTAATACCAGCCATGTTTAAGGAGGTGTACGAAAAAATTGAGCGCGGAAGCAATAATTGGGCAAGTCTTGTTGCACCAAATGGCAAACTCTATCCATGGGATGAACAATCGACTTACATTAAACGTCCTCCGTATTTCGAAGCTCTAGAAAAGGTAAAACCTAGAATGATAAATTAAAGAATCTTAAAAAAATTACAATATTTTTAAGCAAAATTATTAAATTTAAAGTTTAATAAATATCTAATTTCTGTTAACTTGAATAATTCAATCATAAAAGATTTGTAAGCTGAAACTCGGGAAAGGAAATTTTTTACATACATTGTGGTTAATCGTAAGCAGTTAAAATATAAAAATAAAATTTCAGACGTTTGAAATTTTATTTATATTTATTAAATATCAGTCTACTTTACGGTTATCGCCAGGTTAAAAAATTTTTTTTTTAATACTTTCTTACATCATTACATAAATTTTTATATTGATTTTTAATTTATTGAATAAAAAAGAATTGCTTAGTATAAAAATGATATATCATTATTTAAAAATCGTGTAATTCTACACTATATATAATTCATTCTGTACCAAATTTGTGAAATTATTCATTTGTAATTTATATACGACATTAGTTTATTCATATAAATTAATATGTTAAAAAAAAAAAAAATGTATTGGAATTATTAGATAAATAATTAATTAAAAAGTCATTACGAATTCCATTGTCGATATGAACGCTAATTTATTATTAATTATTTAAGATTATAAATATTGAGAGTTAATATTTGTTAAATTGCAATTACTCATTTAATTTAAAAAAGCATTAATTTTTATATATGCGTCATGTTTTATGTTTAATACAAAGTATTGTAATGAGAATTTACATTTACAGGAACTAGTTCCTATTAAACCAATTAAAAATGCTCGGGTACTACTTAATCTTGGAGATTCTGTAACAACAGATCATATAAGCCCTGCTGGAAGCATAGCACGTAATTCTGCTGCTGCGAGATATCTATCTAAGAGAGGGTAATTTAAGAAATTAGTTATATTAAACGATAAAGATTTTAATATTGTTTAAATAATAAATAAACAATTCTTTATTATTAAATCACATCTTAATATGCTTTAAAATTTTCATTGAAATTTTATACAAATCTAATCCATTTATTTATTTATACTAATGAATCATCTTCTTTTCTTTTTTTTAATGTTAAAATACATGCGTATAATATTTTACGATAATACTTTAAGTCATACAAAAAACGTTAATATCATTTATAATAATGTCTCGTTCTAGCTTTATTAACATTTATTTACAAATTACAGATTGAATCCAAAAGATTTTAATTCATATGGATCTCGACGAGGAAATGATGCAGTTATGGCTCGTGGCACTTTCGCCAATATTCGATTAGTAAATAAATTCATTGGCAAAGCTGGGCCTCGAACAATATACATTCCTACAAATGAAGAAGTTAGTTTTCATTTGCAAATTATTATAATTATTTAGCTGTTTATGTACACACACATTCTTATTATAAAGGCTACGTTTCAATTTCGTACAAACTAATTCAAAAGATATAAGAAATGAAGTTTGAAGTAAATGGCGACTTAAAAATTGTAATTAATATTACATTTTAAAAGAAGGAAAAATCACGAACAAATTTAATTAAGAAATGTTTTTTATATTTTCAAATAATTGTCAACGATTAAATAATATTTAAATATTTTAAAATTTACAAAACTAAATTTTCACCAATACGAGTACGAAAATTTAAGCAATTTGTCGAGAATAACGTAATTAACAAATAAAATTAATGGTTGACAGATGGACGTGTATGATGCAGCAGAAAAATATGCAAATGACAATATGACGCTGATTGCACTTGTGGGGAAAGAATATGGTTCGGGTTCTTCACGAGACTGGGCCGCAAAAGGTCCCTTTCTTCTAGGTATTAGGGCGGTCATCGCCGAATCCTACGAACGCATTCATCGCTCGAATTTGGTCGGTATGGGTATTATACCATTGCAGTATTTGCCAGGTGATACGGCTGACAGTTTGGGGCTTACTGGTTACGAAATCTTTGATATCGATATACCACAAAACTGTCAGCCCGGGCAGAGAATATGCGTAAAGACGAACAAAGGTCACAGTTTTGATGTCATTATTAGATTTGACACCGAGGTAGATCTTACATATTACAAAAATGGAGGCATCTTGCAATACATGATACGCAAAATGATTTGAGAACACATGAACTATCTATGTTACGTTCAAGGAACAATTGCATGCTACTGAACCTTCTGTCACTCTCGTGTTATGTAAATTGAAGGGTAGGGGGTGTACAATGATTGAATACCAATGCTGAAGTACCTGTTGGAGTTTTCTACTTTAAATGGTTTTGGGTGAACAGTAGATTAGTCACTATCAATTTATATATTTGTTTATTTATAAAAATAAAGCATCTTAGTCCTTTATAAAGAAATTTTATATATTTTATACTTAAATGTTAGTGAAAAGAAGTCTCTAAACATGAATGGTGGACTATATTATGTTTTATTGAAATCATTTTATTATAGATATATTTAATTTTTTTTTTTTTTTTTAAATATCCTTTTAATATATTATTGATTATTTATTTAACGAAAAAAAAAATTTATCTTAAAACTTTTTTATGAAAGCATTTTTATGGATATTATAAAGTACCTATAATTTATTGTTCATAAAAACGTTGTTTTCACAAGTAATAATTGGATTGATGTTGCTTTTATCAGTCTAGTGTGCCTTAATTTGTATTACTTTAAATTATCAAAACAACTGTTGCTTGCTATTCATTATTTATACAACAATAATTGAGCACTGATTCAATAAAAATTGCTGCTAAAATATGATTTGTAAATGATAATTATAATATCACTTTTTATTTTATTTCCTATATAAAATTAAAAAATTATATTCAATCATTGTATATCAAAGTTGTTTAAAGAAAAAGAATAAAAAATAAAAATAAAAATATAGAAAGTATAAATATATAAACAAATTTTACCACATAAAGAAAATACAATGAATTTATGTAAGTACATTTATGCCATAATATGAATATTATTCAATTTGTATTTGACAACAATGTATTCGTTAATATTCATGAATTTATTCAACTATTGTGTCAGATATACTTTCTATAAGCATGTATAGTTTCGTGTAATTATTTATGGTTCGAGTAGATTTTCTTTGTATTTAGTGCATCAAACGTAAATTATTAAAGCATAAAAATCTTAGGATGACCTGTGGATTTAGATTTGCTGAACTGAGAGAGGTACTAGAATTATATAATAGGTATACGTTTTCATACATGAAATTAATAATTGAAACATTATATAAGTTTTGAAGACTGTTAAAAGCAAGATTATTATTGTACTTTGGTTAATTATTATGTGTTAGGAAATCAATGTCATCAATGTTTATGGATTCGTATTTTTATATATTATCACAAAAAAAATTTTATATAAATAAAAGTATATCACGATTACTTCTCTTTGCATATGTATTTCAATATACTGTACACAATAAACTGTTAAACAAAATTTTTTCAAATATACATCTCTCATTTCTTACTTTTCCATTTGTACATATCTATCACCTGAGTTTATTATTGAATATTTCACGTAAGCAATTTTTATTTATGAAAAAATGAAAAAAATTAAATATAATTTTTTTTGTTTTCTTCATTTTGATTCTATCACAATAACTACAGAATAAAAGTTGAAAATAGAAAAAATAAATATTAACAAGGAGTTTACGAAGGTTAGAGTTTAAAAACTAGTGTTATTAACCGTGAATATTCATTGCTTATTTGAAATATCAAAAATACTCAAATTAATTCCCCTGGAGAATACTTATTTTTCAATATGAATAATTCTATTCTTACAATATTTAAAACATTGAATGTTTATGTTATGAAAACTCACTAAGAGAATATTCAAAATTCATATTCATAATCAATGAAAACTAATAGCTTAGTCAGTAGTAAATAAATTACTATAACGAGATTTTTAAATTCATTAAATTTTGTTTCAATAGTTTCATTAATTTCATCTATCGAATGATAAATTTTCATATTTCATAATTTCACGATAATTCTTCTTAATATCTGGTTTTCCCGAAAATTTCACCTCCATCACGGTCTGATCAGTAGCTCCATAAAGATGACTACTATCGAATGATACACTATAAATCGGGCTGGACATGCGTCGAAGATTCATGAAATATAGCTGGAACATTTTATGAAAACCTTTAACACTTTTATTTACAATACGAGCAATGGATATTATAATCGCAAATTATGGTTTATCTTTATGGTTAAAAATTTTTTACAATTGAACCATTAACAGAATTATTATGATTTTTTCTCTAGAATTTTTATAATAACTAATGTATTTTAAATACATAAATAAATATATATCAAAATATATGCTTAACTAGTTATATGTTTCTAAAATGAAAATATGAGTCAAATGGTGTAAGAGCCGCTTTCACAATTACCTGAACGTATTGTGGCTTACGTTGATCCCACAAAACAGCTTTGCAATTGAACTGGGTACCCGTTACCATGGTATAATTGTAATCTGACGATATACAGTAAATAGTTGCATCAGTGGGATCGGACCAATGACTAACACATTTTCCTATTCTACAATAATAGAATTTAATTGAAAATATTGACAATAATATTTAGGAAACAGTAATGGACTTTTTATTTATAATACTACCGTAAATCCCATTTTCGAATACATGTGTCATAGCCGCAAGTGAGCAAAGTTTGAGGATTGTCCCATACCATGTCTAAAATACCAGCACCTTGTCTCCATGGATGATTAATTACATGAGAATGATTAAAACTAAAAATAATAATTTGTTATATACATACACGGCAATCTTTATTAATTATCAAGCAATTAAACATTTAAAATAACAGTAATTTATAATTTAAAACAAATTATAACGATTCTTTACTAATACAATAGAAAATTATAAGAATTTATGAGAATTTTTTTATAAATCATTGTATATAATGAGGTATATATTTAATTAATTTATGACTTTAATGTTTATTTTAATATTGAAGTTATTTTTTTCTATATAATAGACAGGCGCTTGATAATATACACCAAATATTAAATCTATTTATAGTACAGACTATAAGTTAAATAGTAAATTGAAAATTTCAATTCAATCTGAGAAAGCGTATTTAGTACAAGTATAATCAATACTTCCTGCTTGATTATCCTTATTTGATTTTATAAATGAAATTTTTGGAAATAGGCCAAATAATCACAGTACCATGCTAATTTGTAAATTGATAATTTAAGTACTAACTTGATAGTATCACAAATATAAAGTGCAGGACCAGTAGTTCCAGAGGAACCTATAGCTAGTTTACTGCCCGTTGGATCAGCAGCAAGTGACCAAATACGATCACTGATTCTTATAGTAGCTAATGGTAGATCGGAGAAATTATTTTCATTCTTAGGAGAGGACCATGCTTTTACAATACCATCAGCCGACCCTGATATAACTAAATTTCCAGTTTCATCTACCGCATCTACATCTCTAGAATGTGCATCTTCGATACCAGTGTAGTAATGATTAACACCATATACTATATTTTTTAACCAAAACTTAAGGCTTCCATCTCTATTGAAATACAAAATTAAGTTGCACACTTTTAATACCTAAATATTAATAATAATAATAATAGTTAGGACTACAAGAAAACAGAATATACCTATGACCACTGATGATATAATTATCTCGAACAATAAATTTACAAATATCGCTGTGGGTGTATTGATCAAAAATTTTATTGGATATTTTAAATGGATCGCTTCTCCAATATCCACACAATTGATTACCACCACTCCACCACAAAACTTCATCCGTGAGCTGAATCCATGGCATCAATTTTATATTTTGTGAAAATAGTAGGCTTTTTTGGTATCGTCCATACTCCCAATTGTGTGTCACTTGCCATTTTTTACGTTGACAAAGAACTGGATTGCATCTGTGGAAAATTATATAATACATAAATAATGTTATATAAAATTTTCAAATTAGATCTTAAATTTTAAATAAAATATAATAAAAGTGCCAAAATTTTTCCAGCTTAGTTATATTTTTCAATTATTATTTAAATAATGACATTGACTAAACCAAAAATTACAATAATTTAATAATTATTTATATTAAATACTTAGGCTCAATTATTATGGATTATATTGATAAATGCGATAATCATTGTATTACTAAGTTTGAAACAAACGCTTGTAAATTATTAGATTCTATAAGATAATCGCGACAATGTATAATAAATGAATAGCAAATGCAATTTTACGAAAAGCCGCTTACAAGCTCTATTACAATTAACTTGCTTCGGTTAGTTCTCTGTGTCTTTTATATTCGACAGCTTTTCTCCACAAACTCGCAATATTTAAGCATTAATCGCCAATCGATGGCAGTCGTTACGACCTTGAAAATGCTTTTAAAGGATAAAAGCATTTTCTTATTCATGAATTTGCAATCTATCATTCTCAAATCACGAGCGAATAACACAAGCCATCAAACAGCTGTTTCTCAAAATAAAAAACACATTGACATTACTTTACCGACATCTTCGGTCCTTGTCTATACGTACACGTGATCACCGATATATACACGCATTGACAACCAGAAATCCGCGTCTATTTTTTCTTTTTTTTTTTTATCTAATTGCATAAAAACAATATCCATTTCATAATAAGCATCGTTGAAGGTCATACGTAAGTGTAAACAAAACATTATTTAAAAATTGATAAATCTATGTATAACGCAAAGAAAAAAATAATTATGGACGACGTGCTGGTTTTATTTCATAAAGCACGAATCTTTCGTTAAGAATTCATATTGCAAACATATGGGTATCTCCTACGTGCAAAAGCAACCTTCACCTTAAATATCATAATCCTTAACATTAAAAGGATGGTGGGTGGAGAGAGATAAAGAGAAAAAGAGGGAAGAGGAGGGGGTGAGAGAGAGAGAGAGAGAGAGAGAAGGAGGGGGGGGGAGAGATTAAAGAAAGTTTCGAGCGATTTGCGTTGTGTTGTACCTCGAGCGGAATCGTTTGGAAACTTGGTTGGTCGCGATGGAATGCTTGGTGCGTCTATACCAGAGCACCTCGTCATTAACGACTTTGTAGAAGCGGGTGCATACAGCACTGAGTCGCACTAGGTCAACAGCATGGCAATACTCGAAGATGAGCAAGAGTATCTCAAGAGGCAATTCGTCGAGATGAGGAGAGTCCTCTGAGCCTTCGGAGCTCTGTTCGCTGGCGTTCGTCATTCTGATCGCGGTGATATGCCGGACGTCGATGATTCCCCTTGTCCCTCCATATATTAAACGGCTTTAAACACTATCGATGAGCACCAACGTCCCGCACCGCGAAATGGTTAATGAATGGTTAGATCGTGAAAGGTGGTGAGGGAGGTTTTATTGTGTGCCTCTAGCACAACAAATATCGACGGCTAACGTCGCACACAACTATCGTATCTTGGTTTCTTAAGCCCAAGGAGCGGCGCGTACATTTTCACGGCACTCCTCGGCAACTACTGGCGATAGAGGGAGGTGGGGGAATTATTGGTATGTTTATGTTGCTGTCGTCTAATGTGTGGCGCAGCGGAACATCATGACTGATGACGCGGTTAGGTGGGGGGAGTGGGCAGGGGAAGGGATACGTCAAAGGCATTGCGCGAATTTAATGCGACACGGATTCAAATCAGTTTTTTTCCTCAAAATGCCATTTATTTATAAAGTAAAAGATTTTCTTGTTTCCCTAATAAAATTTTTATAACTTTTATATCTATATCTATATATATATATATATATATATATATATATATATATATATATATATATATATACACAGTAAATTTGCAACTTCGCCACTTCATTATTATGTTATTAAGTTTTTTTAATCATAATAATTAGATATCTGACATGTGCATATATATATATATATATATATATATATACACATACATTAACATTTAAATTTATATTTTAATGACAATGAAATCAAAATATTAAAGGGAAAGATATCCGAACATCATTTTTATAATACTAAATTTTTTATATTTTCTCAATAATAGATAGCGTTTAAAAATTGTAACAATTTTTTAATATTTAACGTTACAAACATTCTATTTAAAAGTAAATGAAACCTCTTCGTTTCATTTTTAAATACGCGATAGATACATAACCTGAACAATGTTCTTGTTCGTTTTTAATGTGAAGTGCGAAATATATGCAAAATAATATGCTGTAAGCTTTTCACTAAATCATCAATGACTCACCAGATCATTAATAATTTGTTTAATAAATTTTGGAAAGCCTATTATCGTTTGCCGATTTACATATTTACATACTATTAACTTCTTAGAAATTATAAATGTACAGTATTTTGAAATGGTTTCGAAATTAGGTATCTTAATTTTTAAATGATTAATAACATGATATTATATAATTAAGAGAAATATCGACTAGAAAATTAATTAAATAATTGTAACTAGTTTTTTCATCTTTTTTTATTGAATAATAATTTCATTATTATTGTAAACCTAGTTAAATACAAAATAATTTATAAAATATTTATACTTTCTACATGCACATGTATGCGCATTCATAAATAAAATTTATGGAACAAATAAATAATTAATTATTCTATTTCTATTAATGGAAAATGTCATAAATATAAACAAAGTCTAACGCCAAGTATTTAAATAACTTTAAATAAAAACTTTAAATATTTTTATCTTAAATAACATGTAAAATAAAATTGTAATTTTATAATGACTATCCAGTAAATTTTCTATTAATTGAAATAACAGTAAATAGTTTTATATGTTGATTCTATGAAAACTATTATTATTCAATAGTAAAAATTCTATAAATTATTCCTTATATAAAAAGAAATATAAAAAAAAAAAATATAAAAAGAAATTACTTCAAACTATTATTTCAAAATTTAACTATTGAGCTACTCTGGCAATCGGCAATTCAGCACAGAACTCCGTTAAACTCTCTTGAAACAACACATTCATCTCGGAGATATATTCACTTATATTTAGAATTTAAAATAATATTAGTAATTTTCGTGTACACTTTCCTGTTTATTCAATAACATTTATAATTAATTAATTTACTTTAACTCGCATCCTGCGAAAAATACTGTTTTTATTCTAAGGTACACATGCAGTAACAAGAAAAAATGGATATGAACATATTCAGTTTCCGGGATATATTGATTTTACATTATTTTCAATTATTATGAATAAATTTAAATAACAATTATTTATTCAGCTTATATAGTAAGTTAAAGCCTTTATCGTCAATAGTGTAATTTTCGCTATCTTTAGTCAAATTTGATTATGAATTTTTTATGCATTTATAAGACAAAGTCGAGTCTTCTAATATAACTTTTTCATTTAATATTTAGAATATTTCATTCTCCTTCCATTTACATGTACTACTATTACAAATATTATAATTTTAAATTAATAAAATATTATCTAATGAAAGACAATACTTTTTCAATATAGTAGATTATATTTTAATTATTTAGATAAAGGAAGAAGAGAAAAACGAAAATATTGATGCGTTAATATGAGGCTTTAGTTTATTTAAAGTATAAATTATAATTGTGAAACATATTTGATTACAATTAGAAAATTCATGTTTATTAAAAAATTACAAAATTTTTTATTATTTTTACGCATTGATTTATATTATGTGTAGATGGTTCAATGCATTTCTGTAAATATTATCGACAGTTTTTATTTTATTTTCCGTTTTAAATTATACATTATCAATATTGATTTACTTTAAAACGAATAACATTAATTACTATCTCTGCTCAATTTTGTTTGATCGTTTAAATATGGTAACAAACTTGTAATTGACATTCTAAATAAAGATAAACAAACACTATACGTTGCAAAAAGCAGAGTTTGCAACGCCTTTGAAACGTGCGTAATGCAGGTTTAAGCTTATTGAGTTATTTTAACGATATGTTAATTATAAAATTTAAGTTTTTAAATTAAAAAAATAGTAATTCTATTGGCTACTTGGCTTATAAAGGAGTAAAAATGTAACAGACTGTATTAAGTCTCTTGAATAAATTGCCTTTGATTATGTTGGAATTACTGCAGGATAAAAAATGTTGATTTAATAGTGTATGTGGTAGATAATAAGAGATCAATTTATCAATTAACTAACTGCATAAGTGCAATATATTTTGATATCTGACTAATCCAATAATAATTAAATATCTATTATACATAAATAATCTGAAGTCACTAATCCTTTGACGGGACGACATCTAGACGAAATTTACTTGGTCTCAGTTTAATGTTTTTGTTCCGTTGTACTGATATTTTATAATTCTATTTATAAATAAGATAAATTAGTACAAATTTAGTTAAAATTGCTTTTACAAGTAAAGTATTATTGGTATGTTACACGACTTAATTCATGTACTGAAAATATTTTATTTATTCGTATTATGATTAGCGATGTACAAGACTTACAAAACTAATTGAAACATAAGTGGTGTAGCAACGGTTCTTAAACAATGAATTTATTATGGCTTGGTTTGTCAATATAACTTAAAATGAAATTACTATATTGAACCCATAATTCCAATTCAAATACTAAATTTTTTTTAGTCATAGCATTACAAATTGAAAAATTTGATAATATAAAAACTAAAATGATCTATTAATATTTGTAAAATTTTGTGTTTAAAATGTTTTGAAAAATTAATTTTACTTGAATAAATGACTACAAAATTTCTAATAAAAATAATATTTAAAATATTTACAGTACACTCATTTATCTATTAACAATATATTCAGATAATTTACTTGTTTATATAAAATAGTAAATTGAAAAATTAATAAAAAAAGTAGACTAGTATACTTAAATCAAATTTATAGTTTATGGAGTTAAGAATTTTTCAAAAATAATAATGCTTATAATTTTTTGCAATTTTATTCATCTTTACCCTTTATAACTAATTGGCAATCCAATAGTATATATGTTTATACTAGGCGCAGCTGCAGTAAGTGCCTGTTATTATTATCTTTCATCACGACCCTCTTCAAAAGTTTCGATATTCCAGACTAATACTTCAAACAAGGTTAATGGAAAGTAAGAATATACAAATCAAAATAGATATTACTGCATTCCATTGCAATTAAAAGTCATTCAAATTTTATGTTTTATATATTTTTTTTATATTTCAAATAAATCATTCTATTCAATAATAAATATATAAAAATGATTATTGTTACTATTATTTAAAAATTTGGCACTATTTCATTTATTCACTCTAACTTGGTAGATAATATTATTTTTTTATACTTTGCCACTATTAATTAAACGTATAATTTTAAATTGTATCAAATCCTTATAAAATATAATATTTATTTTAAAATGTTAATTATATATTATGTTTTTTGTTATAATTAATTTAGTAATGCTTCAATGATCTGCATAATTTGTAATGCAATGCCACCTCGACAATCTTCAGTTACATTATTGTGTGGGCACAGTTTTTGTAGAAGATGTATAGTGGGTTGGATGACTGATAATATGGTAAATAACAATTATATATTTTATTTACATATATATTCGACAAATTTATAAAAAATATTAATATTTAATGAATATTTCTTACAGACAACTACTAGGATATGTCCAGTATGAAGAGGAAAGATCAGAAGATAGATTATTTATATGACGAATGATAATAATTTATAAAAATGATTAAAAAACCTTAAAAATCTAAGCATTTATATATATTATAAGAGAATAATTTTACAAGCAATAACAAAACGTTGTTTAAACAAATTAAAATTTTTATATTGTAAAAAAAGTATTATGTGATAAAGATATCTCGCAAAAGATAATTCATTCATTTAAATAAATAATTATTTGTAGAATATATTTATTTTTACTACTGTACAAAAGATTAGCCTCTGTCATTGGTTTGTAATAAAACTATTAACATTTAAAGTGTTCTCCAAGAATATTAATCATTATAGGTCCCAATAGAGATAGGAAAATGGAGAATAACAAAATGCGAATCCTTTGTCTTTGCATGCTTATCCTTCAAGCGTTGTTTGCAAATTTTAGTCAGTTGGGTTAGCATTGTCGATTAAAAGACAGATGATATATGTTTTATAATACTGTTTCAGTAATAATAAAATATCTATTCTAGATAAATAATGTGAAAAGTCACTGATCCTTTGACGGGACGACATCTAGACGAAGTTTATTTGCTAGCAGTTTTATGTTTTTGTTTCCATTTACTTTGTTTTATAATTATATTCATAAATTAGTAATTTATTAGTTATTTATAAATATTTGCTATTTTGAATAAACCAAATCGATATCTAATCTAAACCGATCGACAACCAATCCATTGTTTAATTGATCATAAGATGTGTTATTAAAACCAATAAAATGCAATGTTCCTTTCTTTCTGTAGCGTATTTGCTACTGTTAATATTTTGTTTATCATACAGACTAGTTATTATTCTATTTATTATCTAAATAATTATCTTATAAATTCA